ACGAAAGTATCGACTCGTACGGTTTTTCGAATAATTCAAGGTAATTAACCACTTCAAAAACCTATTCATAAGAGACGTACAAAAATTGTATAGAACGATATTACAAAAAGTATAGTCCGAAGAAAAGTTAAGAAAACGAGAAATTAATGCAGACGCAGATGATACTTTAAATAAAACATCCATGCGGATATTACAAGAATATTACGTGAAATGGATTTTCGGTATGTAAAGGAAGTCGGAAAAGTTTGTCAATCGAGAGAGACGAATTAGTGATATGGCGGAGACAATATTTACAAAAAATTCGTGATTTTAGATGTCTTGGGAAGTAAAATTTATTATCTGGACGAGACGTGGTTAAATGAGGGTCATACGAAATCCTAAGTATGGCAAGACTTAAATATTAAAGGTTCACGAGAGGCTTTTCATGAGGGACTTTTAACCGGCTCAAGCATCTTCGGGCAAAGGAAGACGCCTCATTATTATGCACATAGGAAGTGATTCAGGTTTCTAACAAGGTGGTTTAAATGTCTTTACCTCTATCAAAACGGGCGATTATCATGAGGATATAAGTTCGGATGTGTTTGAAAAGTGATTTTCCTCTATACTGACTGTTTAACCTAGATCGGTAATTATAATGGACAATGCACCTTATCACAGCCGACGTATGGAAAAAATACTGACTTCTGCATCTCGAAAGGCAGATATAGTAGATTGAGAAAAAAGCAAAAATATAGATTTTGATGAATACATGAAAAAAGTTCAATTACTTGATGTAGTGCGGAAACATAAGACTCCCTACATCAGATTTGCAGTAGACGAAATGGCATGTGACCATGGCATCACTGTAATAAGGATTCCACCATATCATTGTGAATTGAATCCTATAGAACTGATTATCTGGGCAAATATAAAAAATGAGGAAGTGCAAAACACATACCCTTCAAATTAAAAGATATCAAATTATCATTAGAACAAACCATACAAATTATAACCGCTTCCAACTGGCAGTCATGCATTAAACATGCACAGAAAGAAGAAGATACAATGTGGGACATAGACATGCATGTTGATTTTATTATCGAGCCCATTATTGTTACTCCAGGAGAAGACAGGTGAATTAACATCTGGAAGGGAATCAGCATAAAAAGATTTATTTTTAATAATAACTAATATACTTATTTCTAGTGAATTTGTTTTTTGTTACTGTTGTGGTTTTGTCATTTCCTTCTCCTACAAGGTTATATTATTGAAGTAACTTACCTAATAACTTTATTATTATTATAGCAAATTCGTTTCTCAAAATTAAGGTATACATTTGGCTGCTGGGACCAATATTATTATTTTCTGGAAAGCAGTTGGTGTTTATATTTGAATATAAATTTTATTTTAAAAATATCAATAGGTACATAAGATCATTATTAAAATATCAGTACTTTTAAAGAAGTCTAATGTAAAAGGTTCCTTTCAAATTAATCCTCACAATGATTTCCCTTATTTTAAAAATGTACACGCCACCATTGAACTACACTCCTCTCTCGTTTCGTGCCCTTCCTGAGTCTATCATTTTAAAGTGATACCCTTACAATCCCATTGAATTTGGACTATATATATGATGAAATAGATACTAGTGATGTAACGAATATTCGCATTCGCGAATATTCGCATATTTTTGCATATTCGCATTTGCATTCGCAAAATTTGTGCGAATGTTTTGCGAATCTTACACAGCTTGCATTTAGCTCGTTCAGTATCGAAAAGTGGTGAAAAATAAGTCCATATTTCACTATAATTTGATTTACTCATAGTAATAAATCGCTAATCACACTTTAACTAAAAATTCACTTGTATTTGTGCACAAGCAGAGCAGGGCAAGTGGAGTGACTTGTGTCCCGTGAAATTTTTATTGGAACTATAACCAGAGAACTTAGTTCTCTGTTATAACTTTCTCTCTATAACAAGTCAAATTTGATTATAACAAGAGAAAATAAGATCGAAAAACGTGCTTTCTACGTTTTTGGCCCGGACGTGACTATAAATAAATACCTTTTTAAACGACCCCTCAATAAACTTAACCGCCTACAATAAACTTCTTTACAATAAATACAACTGTTTCACATCTTTACTTTAGCAAATATGATAGAATGATACTGAACAATTTAAAGCAGTTAAAAATGACAGACTTTTTCCAATTGCCTACACACCTCGCGCAAATGAGACTGCCGGCAGTGCCGGAGACAATTAAAAATGCCAAATATGTCGGTGGCATATATTCGCATTCGCATTCGCGGATGTTTAAAAAATGACATTTGTTACATCACTGATAGACACATTAACACTGAGATGAAGTCAAGAATTTATAAAGCCAGTGTAAGACCAATAATGACATATGCCTCAGAAAGAAATGGCAGAGATAAGAGTACTGAGAAGAATTACAGGAAATATGCTGAGAGATCAAAAGAGAAGTGAAGATCTTAGAAGAAAATGTAATAACAGTGTATAAATGAATGGACACAAAATAAAAAAAAGAATAGAATAACCACATAAGCAGAATGGTGGAGACCTGTGTGGTCAAAATAGCAAGAGCTAGAGTATCAATAGAGGTATTAATCCGCCAATGAACAAGCATACTTGCTTATAAAAAGGAAGAAGAAGAAGAATACTTATGACATAGCTGAAATCTAAATGAGCTGAAATAATTATTTATTAATGCTCCCAAAAGAATGAAAAGCCTTGTTAGAAAATCGATTTATCTTACAATATTGATGTAGTAATTACCACAAGGAGCTGTTTTTTTTTTAATGTAATCTGATAAAATGATTTCTATTCTTAGAAACATACCATAAAATATTTGGTCTGACAAATAAAGACAATAAAATTTGGTCTGACAAATAAAGACAATAAACAGCATAAACCACAAATATAAAATTGAAACTACCTTATGGGTAAAAATGTCAAATAAAGCAGCTCAAATTATACAATTGTGGTCTTGGTCAAGTACCATTACACAGTACCTAATTATAAAACTGAAATGACACAAGAAAATATGTTTAGAACAAAAATATATATTTTATGTTTTATTTTAAGAGTAAATGCAAATGCATTAAAAGAAGGAGAAAGAAATACTGATTCATTCAAGGAAAAACATATGGAACTTTGATAATAGTTTCATTTTATTCATTTTTCTTTCTACAAAGTTCTAATTGATATTGAAATATATATTCTATTTTGTTATGTACAGTTGCGGTCACGGAATAGTTTACACCTTACTTTTTATATTGTAATACGGTAAAATTGCAGTGTCGTACAGATTTGATAAATGTCAAAGTCAAAAAATTTCAAAACGTCAATGCTTTCGCGAGTGTTCAACAATAAAATAAAAGTATATTAAACTCTTCCAAAATGGTTAGAATACATTTGAATTATGCGCAAAAAGCAAGAGCAATTGCCAAACTCGAAGAAGGTTGGTCACTAAGGCAAGTTGCTGCTGATTTGAACGTGAGTCATATGTGCATATGGAAGATTAAACAAAGATGGGATAATTTTCACTCTATAGCACGGTTGGGCGGTTCAGGAGGGCAGAAGATTTCCACAGATCAACAGGATGAGATGTTAGTAGATTATTTGAGAGAATCTCCTTTTGCCACAGCTCAAAAGGCAAGAGAAGAGGCAGCGTTTCCAGGCAGTATTCGCACTGCACGTCGAAGAATTAAAGCAAGTGGACTGCTAAATTGTGTAGCTGCACGGAAACCTTTTTTGACTGAGGATCACAAGAGGAGACGAGTTGAATTTTGTAATGAATTTATAAACCGCGATGAGAATTTTTGGTCTAGGGTTGTATTTTCCGATGAAAAAGTATTTCAGTCGTATAATAATGGTCGAATAAGAGTTTATAGGCCGAGAAATCATAGGTATGATGAACAGTATACGCATCATTTAAGAAATAGTGGAGGATTCTCTGTCAACGTATGGGGATGGATAAGTGCCGAAGGCCCGGGCGTTTGTTATCATGTAGAGGAGAAGTTAACAGGATTATATTACAAACATATTATACAGCACACAATGTTGCCATCGGTGATCCAGAGATTCCCCAACAACGACTTTATCTTCCAACATGACAATTGCCCGGTGCATACGAGTAGAATTGTTCGAGAATGGCTAGAAGAAACTGATGTTAATGTTCTTCCGTGGCCTTCCCGTAGTGCAGACTTTAACCCCGTCGAAAATGTGTGGGCAGAGTTAACAAAGAAACTAAATGAAAGAAACCTTAGACCACGGAATAGAATTGAATTATAGGAAGCAATTGAGCAGGCATGGGAAGAGCTTGTTAACTATAACATGAGGGGATTGGTGCTATCTATGAACAGAAGACTGCAAAATTGTATTGACAAGAATGGGGCTTCCACCAAATATTAATTATTATTTATCATTGTTTATCGTTATTTAATATAAAATAGATTTAAAATAAAATGCATATTAAAAAAAAAGACTTCTTTATTTTCGTTATTAAGATCATAATCCATTTTATTCAAAAAACTGTTTTCTATATTTTTCATTTTGTAAAATATTTTGATATTTTAATTTTAATCTACCTATTCTAGCTAGTACACCACTGGCAACGTCACTTTGACGTAAAAGGTGCGTTTAAACGAAGTAAAAATTTAAAAAATGGGCTCCTAGATAGGTGAACCTGTAAACTATTCCGTGACCGCAACTGTACCATCTTATATTTGTGTAAGAACAAGTTTCTTGGCATATATTAGTTTAAGATTAGTATGCATACTTGTTTTCCTTTTGCTCTTCTGTATGATTTCAATAAAAAATCTTGATTGTTCAATATTATTTTCAGATTTATATTTATACTCACCACATCCTATACTTTATTTCTTAGATTCACATATAAAAATTACTTTTTCATCTTTAATTTGTAGGGATCAATTTCGATGCTCCTAATAGCAATTAGTTTTGTATCAACTAAAATTGAAATTATGAATTAAACTTACCTTGGGTGAGAGTAGTTGGTAGTCCCTCTTTCATAAGCACCCAATTTGAATCCAACTGCTCACTGGCCTGTAAGTAGTACCTTCCATCTGTCCATAAAAGGGCTTCTTTATCTGTGATAATAGCAGTACCGGCAGATCCAGTGAAGCCGGATATGAAGGCTCTGTATTCATCACATTCAGCTAGGTATTCGCTATTGTGGGCATCACTGGAAGGAACAATGTAAGCACTTATGGGTTCTTTGACATACTTTTTGTTTTGCATAAGAGACCTTAGCTGTTGTAAGAGTTTTGTGGTTGATTTTGGTGGACCCATCTTTAGTTAAAAAGAAACTATGATTTTTCAATAATTGCCAAGTACTTCTGCTAAAAACGGAATACTTTGAAATAGTTGACAACACATCGAAACAACCAGAACTGCTAGTGTGTCATTTTTACTGGTGTCAATTAATTTATACATAAATCGTACATCTTATCTTAAATTAAAAATACTTAACATAACCTGAAACGTCATCCACCACACACCACACTGTCACTGACCTGAAAAGAAACAGAAACAAACAATTTGAAACAGTGTTGCCATGTTGCCAATAACTTGCAAATTGTTGGATTTTAAATTATAGTTTGGTAAATTTGAATTACAATATATATATATATATATATATATATATATATATATATATATATATATATATATATATATATATATATATATATATACAGTGTAGGTAAAATTTTAAGGTCGGTATGGTAAAATTTAACAGGATATCTAACGCAGATATAAAATCATATTTTCAACGAATTAGACAAAGATAACAATCATATTTCCCCTTCGTCTCCCCTCTTAAAATCCTTTTAACACTCATTGGCCATTGCCCATTGGTGAGACGATTAGTTCCGATCAGATATTCTCTGGTTCCGATCCTAATATACCTAAAAAACTAGAGGTGGGTCTTCTCGTTTTTTTAATTTTTATCGGAACCGTTTTTCGTAAACTGTAACTAGTTGATTGTTTACCAGTATTCAAATTAGCGAGTACACAAACATATTAGCTATTATCGTTTATGTGTATAAGTATTGAAATAAAAGAACCTAACGAAGGATATATTTATTGTAACTTGAAAAATAAATTAAATAATAAAAATGGTACTTAAATAGTTACATTTACATTACACATTATTAAATCGCGAATCGTCTAAATTGACATTTAAAAACATAAGTTTTTCCACTTTTCTTGTTAATCGCGTTCTTCTTTTATTTAAAATTATACCAGATGTTAAACATGTGTTCACAAGGAAAAGATTTTGTTACAATACTACAACATTTTATGAATATAGTGGTTAAGTTACGATATACATGGCGATGGTTTTTTCACCAAGGTAATGGACAATCTCCGTTCGAAATTGTTTGTGGGTAATATATCATCAGACAATTACATGTCGACTTCTTTTATACCTTTCGATACAGGTGTATGTTTAGATGAGTCATGTCCAATTAATTCATCAAAAATACACCATGGACTTAAGTCATCTTTATCAGTTTCTTTTTCTTGGACTGATTGATTTTCAAGATTTACTAAACTTTTTGTTTCATCCGTTTTCCATAGTTAAAGAACCAGCTTTTAAAAGTTTGCAGGGTGGATTCCTGGATATAAACCGCCAACAAGAAAAACTTTGTCAGGTTCATTACTTCAGGAATGTTATGTCAAAAGTGAGCAAATTATTAGATCGCAAGTTGTTAAAGAAGTAGAAAATATCTGTATTACTACTGACCTCTGGACATCTGGAGTAACTGAGAGTTACTTCGCATTAACAGGACAATATTTAACCGAAAATTTAGTATTCAAAACTTTTTTATTAGGCTGCTGCCATTTTTCTGGAAACCATAATCCAGAAAACAGCGATTACTGAAATCATTAATCAGTCGGGTCTAAAACGAAAAGTAAATTTTGCAGTAACTGATAATTCCTAAAATATGGTCAAAGCTATTAAATATGTTTTGTTTTATGATGATTGTGATTTATGATGATGATTAAATTTATTGGTGGGGGACGCACTTAAATGCTGTCGTGTACAAATAGATAAAATAAAAAGTCCTTTTTTCGACAATTCTGCAAAAAACACATTTCAAAAAAGTACCTTATCTTCAGAAAGGCTTTTAAAGTATTAATTACAACAGAACACAGTTCCCAAACGGCCAATCCAAGACGTGGAAACTAGGAAGAACTTCACCTATTACATGTTAAAAAGAATGACCGAGTTAGAAGAGGCAACCCGTTCCACATTGGTATTAAATAATACAGACTTAGACTTAAACCTAATCTAAATAAAGAACACTGGATTATTTGTTCTCAACTTTCCCAAATTTTACGGCCGTTTAAAGAAATAACAAGTACAATGAGTGACCAAAAATACTTGAATGCTAGTTCAGTGATTGTTATGGTACGCTGCCTGCAAGAATCTTGCAATAAAATTTTAGCAAACGGCATACTTACATCCATAGTATATGACATAGTACAATTACTAATATCGGGTTTAGCAAAAAGATTTAGCAGAAGCATCATATCAGCAGATGGCAGAGTTAAGATAGATGTACAAAACCGAATAACCCAAGGGAAAAAATGCATCCGAATACTGAATTCATTACTGTGGTCTAATAAAATAAAGATGCATACCAAACTTCGCGTATACAGAGCAATTGTAGAACCAATTACCACATATGGTGCCGAATGTTGGACGATGACAAAGAATGAACGAGATAAAGTAGACGTTGTGGAAATGGATTATCTTAGAAGGTCATGTAGAGTATCGAGAATGGAAAGAATCAGGAATGAGGAAATACGAAACCGTACAGGAATTAGAGATACTCTTTCAGATAGAATACAAGGAAGGCAATTACAATGGTATGGTCACGTGATGAGAATGGAGGAGGAGCGGTGGCCAAAGAAAGCCTTAATGTATGTTCCGCCAGAAAGAAGGAAAAGGGGAAGACCACCAAATTCCTGGAGAAGAGAAATTACAAAAACAATGCAATCTAGAGGCTTAGAAGAGGGAGATTGGGGAGATAGGAAAAGATGGAGGCTGAAATGCGGGAAGCGGCAATCGCCGTAGGACCCCCGTTATATGATGATGATGATTGTTTAGTTTATTTTTCAAGTTATAATAAATATATCATTAGGTAGTTTCTTTCACTTCAAAAGATATACACATAAACGATAATAGCCGTTATGTTTGTTTATGTAGGTACTATCTTACTTGAAACTACTTTTAAACAATCATAGTTACTTGTTTATGAAAATTAAAAATTTTAAATGCTTTTTAGCATTCAAAAAAATTTAAATTTTTTTGGAATCCTGAGAAAACTAACAAATATTTTTGAAAAATTTAAATGCAGAATGAAAGATTACATTATTACCGAGGGCCGAAGGTCCCTTAGAATAAACAAAATGTTTTTTTAATGAGATATTTGAAATTAAAAATCACACTAAATTTTGTTTTTTTTTTCATCCCTATAACTTATTAAAATAAACATTATAGAAGTTTTCAGGGACTTTAAGCTCTCGGTAATAATGTATTGTTTCATTCTGCGTTTAATTTTTTCAAAAATATTTATTAGTTTTCTCAGGATTCGAAAAAAATGAATGCATTTAAAAAACTCTGGTCCGAAATTTTGCTCCTAAGCTCTTAACGATAAACTAGCACGACCCACCTCTACTTCTCGTTACTCGATCTTTTGACCAGACGTGACCAGACGACTATCTAGACTAGACGTTGCCAAATAAATTAGTGTATGAATATTTTTTAATTTGGCGTTATTGTATGCATGTTTAATTGTTTATTATTTCATATTGGGAAATTATTTTGATGTTTAGATTTTTAGTTCGGAAATCGTACTTAAAATACGAAACATTAATAAATTTTATTTATATAAAACGATTTCCGAAATGGAAATCAAAATGTTATATTACAATTATTGTAAAGAAAACTTGTGGCATATTCCCAATAAAAAAAACAGTAACCTGCCATTTAAATCAATTTCGCCCAAATTTGATTATCTTGAGCATTTTATCTTCTTGATAGAACATTGTTCAAATGCAAAAAAAGACAACAGGTCAAATAAAACCAATAAGTTTGGCAACGTTGAATTTCCCCTTTTTTAATATTTCCATTCGGCGATATAAAGGGCGTACCTAATATACCTCTCTCTTTTTAAACAGCTGTTTCTCACTCCATCTCACGTAAGGTCCATACCGACCATAAAAATTTTCCTACACTGTATATATATATATATATATATATATATATATATATATATATATATATAATATAACTTGCATAACTTGAATAACTTGCAATACATTAAGTAAGTAAAGTGAAATATTAATAGAAAATGAAGTGGTCTATATCCACTGATAATGATGTTACCGATCGAAAAAATAGTTTTACATTAAAACCTGATATGTAATATCAAAAATGCAGGTATATAGCACTGCACATATATAAAAATAAAATAGTGATCATAATTCAGATCATCGATAAGGGACAACAGCTAAATGTAGTAAAGACTAAATATATCCACGCAACTCTAATGTTAGCCTAGAAGACTGTAAGTGTTAATTTCTACTTAGTGCAATTTATAATCTACACAATAAATAAAAAGTGATACCAAGAATTTTTCAAAACAGTCGGTAATAGTTTTCTTGTAGGTGGTTAATACTGTAAAGCGAAACATATGCTGCGGATATGTTGTTAACTTCGAAAGGTAGACAACGATACTTATATATAACAATGAAAAGTAACAATATTTAGATACCTATATGGGTATATCCAGAGTTTAATCTATATCATTATTTACAATGCCTATAGGAAAGATAGGTAGGAAATAGATAGACCAAGAAAATAGCAATGCAAGAAGTAAACGTTTCAATGGAAGATAGAGCAGATGGCTGGAACGATCGTAAAGCATTCGAAGTTATATCCTTAGACAGCAATCTTAATGTAGCCAACGAGATCAAAGATATTTAAGAGTTGGTTGATTAAGGTTGGTTGGTTTACAATAGGGTGACATCTAGTAAAAATATTGAAAACTGATATGATACTGGCTGTAAATACAGTAAGAAATAGAGAGATGGGCTATTTGAAGGCCTCAAAAGTTTTTGGAGTGCCAAAAGGTACCTTAGAACGATATGTGAAATCAAACAAGACTACAGAAGAACTCATCGGGATATCAATTGGTCGCCGACCTATACTTCCTTTGGAAATAGAAAATGAGTTGGTTGTGTATGCCCTAACTATGGAGCAACGTTATTTCGGGTTAAAAGCGCATGATATAAAACGACTGGGATTTCAACTTGCAATACGAAACTAAATACCACATCCATTTAGCGGAGCCAAAAAATCAGCCGGAAAGAAATGGTTGAGGCTCTTTCTGAAAAGGCATCCGACGCTTTTAATGCGTACTCCTCAGGGAATCTCAGGTGCTCGAGTAAAACCTTTTACTTCTGAAAATGTATCTAATGTAACGTAAGTCTAAATTTTCCGACGATAGATATGGCGAACGATGGGCAAAGTATTACCAATGTGGCAGGTAGGCACATGAAGACTGTGGAGAAATAAAGTCCAGCACATTTATTTGCCTTTTCTGCAAAGGAAAGGGCTTTTTTGAATAGTATCTCAAATTAAGGTACCTATCTCAAATTTAGATACCTGGCTATCCAAATTGGGGCATCTTTTATTTTCAATATTAAATGTCACAAAAAAAATTAAATGTATTTTTTGCAAAAATATATGTTTTATTCGCTTTATTTTTTTTTTATTGTGTTCTAGAAACATTAAATTTAAGTTTTCGAAATAAATGTTTTAAAACTTTCTAATATTCTGTTTGTTTGTCTATTTGTTTTTCAAAAAAAGTGTCTCAAATTTGGCGCCTTTCCTCTAATATTAATCCATTAATCTGGAAGAAAAACTGATCTGGAAGCAAATAAAGTTGCCAGAAGACTGGAATGTAGGTATAATTGTACCTATCCACAAGAAAGGAGATCAAACAATACGTGACAACTACAGCAGAATAACCCTCCCAAACGTAACATACAAAATATTGGCATATATTCTTTACGACCGACTATCGGGATATTGTGAAGACATAATAGGTAAATATCTGTGTGGGTTTCATAAAAAAAGATCAACGACCGATCAAATATTCCTTCTAAGGCAAGCTCTAGAAAAAACATATTAGTATGGCATTCACCTGTTTGTTGATTTTAGATGTGCCTATGATAGTGTTGAAAGAAACGCACTGTACAAGGCCATGATAGAATTCAGTATCCCAGTAGGTACACTTAGTAAAATTGGTGAAAGCGATCCTCTAAAAAGTCGACTGTAAAGTTAGAGTGCAGAACGGAGTTTCCAGTCTCAGAACTTAGACAAGAAGACAGCCTATCATGCCTTCTATTCAATATTGTACTAGAGAAAGCGATAAGAGAATCCGGAATAACAACCAGAGGAACTATTAATAATCGCAGCGTATAATTACTACCGTACGCAGATCGCATCGACATTATTGCAAGAAGAAAGGCGGACGTGATCGAATCATCCAAAGCGCTTGAAGCAGCAACAAAAAAGAATGGGACTAGAGGTTAACACTAGTAAGACGAAGTATATGAAAGTATCAAATTATATACAAGCAGCACAACCCGAAGATCTAACGATCGGATTATATACTTTCGAAGGAGTAAGTGAGTTTATATAGGCTCACAAATTAATCAGAATAATGCAGTAAGTGCAGAAATTAACAGACGGATATATCTGGCAAATAGAGCCTATTATGAATTAAGAAAAATTTTAACAACAAGCCTAGTTACAAAAAAACGAAATTAGTGATATACAGAACTCTATTGTCTATTCGCTTAGCTAGGGCATATTTTGACAGACTCATTGTCGGAAACCTACAACACAACAATTCCTACTTCTCCGTATTAATAGCTCAAGTATACTACTATTGCAGACTTCTTTCTTTGAAAAAAAGAAGAATTATTCTAAATAGTGGAAGTGTATACTAAACCCATCAAATTTTCCCTGTATATTTAAAATATAATATTTGAATTGTTATAATTTAAAATATTGTAGTAAATATTTGTATTATTCGCGTTGTTTATTTAATTTAATATAGTTTTATTGTTTTATTATCTTTGTTTAATTCTTTTGTTAGTTCTATTCAGTTAATTAGTTAGTTATATTTTAAATTTTATTATTATGGATAGTCAAAGTTTTCCATTTGTTCCATCAGCTAATGCGTTGGTAAGTTTTTCTTAATGAATATGATAAAATGTTTTTTAAAAGTTAATATTTTTAGATTAGTTATTTCTAATTTAATATAAACTTGTTTATACTTACATGGAGGTTTTTGTTGTTTGTTTGGGTTTATATGACTGCAGACTGCGGCCAGGACACTGAATTCATACACCATATGTGGAAGATTTTAACATCCTCAAATACTAATGAGCAAAAATTACTATTGAACCACGAATTTGCCTAGTCAAATTACTAATATTTGCTTTTAGCATATGGAAGTACACTTATTTTGTAAGATAATAAAACAACAGTTTATGTTAATGCTATCCAATGAATTGTTAATCTTTAATCATTGATTCCATCCTAGTCACAACATAAGGAAGTTGTTGTGTCTTATTTAACCTCACTTTGACTTTTTAATTTTGTAGAATTTATCCCCACTTTTTTTATTTTGTACAATAAATAATTTTATTATTTGTTATCAATACATTATACGGTGTAAATAAATAAATATTGATTATCGGCAAAGTTCTATTTTATTTACTTTTGTTTACATTAATATTGACTAAGAGCTCGTATGCTTGGTTGTGGTTGTATAGTAATTTCCAGCCACTTCGAGTCTGTCAAAAAGTAACTAACTTCGCAAAAAAATAATTACTAAAATCACTAGACAGTTCGGACTGGGAATAGCGAACCGGGTATATCAAGCCCATCCTCACCTAAGCGTCGGAAACATGGTTGGTGACAAAGAGCGATGAAAAATATCAAAGAATAGATGGAGTGAGAAGGAGAGGCAGACTCAGAGCACGATTTAAGGTTCAGGTGGAAGAAGACTTAAAAGTGTTTGGAGTACGAAACTAGAAAGCCACGGCGAAGCATAGGAGAGAATGAAGACTTATTCTTAAACAGGCTAAGGCCCACCATGGGTTGTGGAGCCAATGATGATGATAATGAAACCATATTAATCTACCGCCAATTATGTCAAAACACCAGCAAAAATTTCAGTAACAACTTTTTGAAAAGCTGATGCTGGTTAGATTATAACCAATTTCCTCAGAACTCCAAATCTTAAATGGAAAACTCATTTTTTTTATTATAGTTACATCTATTTTTTTATTCCCTACAGATGGCGCTGTAATCTCAGATAAAAAAATAAAGTCTGCAAATGGTCAAATTTCTCGGGACATACCTACGAACATAAATTAGTATCAACAAGAAAATTGAATTTCCTGTAGTCGGCTTTATACCATAAATCACAAACATTTTAATAAAAAAAATCGTTCATAAAAGACATAATTAATTAAAAGAACTCTTCCAGGCTACTTCACAGAAAATTTGTTTAAATGTTGTTAAATTAGTTTTAATTTATAATGATAATATTACAGGATATTAAACTTTTAAACAGAATTCACCACGCCTTCTAGGAGGTGAAAATATTTAACCTTTAAATAACCCCAGAAAACGATGGATAGTTCAATTTACAGTAAAAAATGTTACACAGATTTTTCTCGGTAAGTTAATATTTTCCAAGTTATTCACGCTTGAACACTTGTCGATTTTCTACCTACAAAATACATGTTTTTGGGTGGTTTTTCAAAAACACCTCCAAAGCAGTACAGCCGACATCCAACGCCAAAACCACATCGGCACTATATAATTTTTTTCTTTGGCATGTTTCCTATCACAAACCATACATACTACTATGTTTCCTATGCACATTTCAAATTTCATGTCAATCGGTGCGGTTCTTAAGAATTCTTAAGAATTGTAAAAGAGGTTTTACAATATTTTGACGTGAAAGAATGGACTTTAAGGACCTTTAGGTAGCAACAAAATTAGCAAGGAGCGATAGTTTTAATTTATTTTATTTTATTCTGTCTATTTAATAATATTTCGATTGGATTAGATAATCGATTCAATTCGATAATAGATTCTCGATTCGATAATTGATTTGATTCCAATCATCCAGCAATTATTGCTCGATGATTCCAATATCGATTTCATTCGATACTCGATTCAATTCAATTCAATATTCGATTCGATATTTGATTCGATTCCTTTTGATTATTTTAATTGTTTTAAATATTATTTTAAATAGCGCAAGCGGTAGTGTGCTTGCCTCGCATGCCGGTGGTCGTGAGTTCGAATCCTACCGCCGGCAAGAACAACTAGGCATTTTTAAAATGTCTATAGGCCCCAGGTCGACTCAGCCTGAATAAAATGAGTACCTTGGGTAAAACCAGGGGTAATAATAGGCGGTTGAAGCGTAGCACTGGCCATGTTACCTTCCTTGTATACCGTAGGCCCTAGATATAGCAGACTACCCTGCTATACTCCCAAAGCCGCGTGCGGTATAAAACGGGAGACTATTATTATTAAATATTAAAAAAAAAAAAAATTGATTTCTTTTCAATTATACTCCTCATATAAATTTTACCTATAAATTTTATCTTACCCACCTCAGGTGAGGAAAAACTTTTATGGAACTAAATACCTAGAATCCTAGAAGAAGAATCAAAGAAGGTTGGTCTAGAAATAAAAATTTACAAAACCAAAAAAATGCGATTTGATACCAGAAACAACCAGTCTATTGTGATTATTATCCATATCTAAGGGATATTAGAATATGTCATTATAATTAAGAACTTTAACTGTTTCTTACTCTATGGCAGTACTTATTTTTTAATTTTAATAAAAGATTACATATTACAGGGTTTAACACTATCTATTAACTAATAAGTCAATTACGACTTATTTCATCTTCAAAAAATTTTAATTTCATCAATATACGCTACACTACTCAACATGTCTAACATACTCAAAAAATCGGAACGCGATGCATAAACCGGAAGTGGTGATAACGTCAAATTCGTCAACGACTTAAAACGATTGGTCTAGAGAAAAGAACATCCTTTTTAATGGCGGACACATCGTTCGCTTGATGTGTGTGTGAGCTACTGTAAATAATTTATAGAATAAGAAAAAATGGTAAGTTTTCAAAGCTTATTTAATGTGTACAGTAACTTGTTATTAACTATTTAAGAATAAAAGATATTATAAATGCGATGTGGAAAAGTGTAAGAAGTTAGTATAACATCAAGTTAGAAAGTACCACGTGTATGTACATTGCCAATATAGTGTAATCTAGCATATAGACGTTCATTATTCTTAATAATCAGTCATATTTGAAGTGAAAGTTAAATGCAGTTACTAGTACCGATGCATAATTATATTTGTTGCCGATTTGTTGAATATTGACTTCCAATTTTTTAGTCATTATCAACCGCTCGCCCATTAGTGAGCGTATACAATGAGAAGTCGGAGGAAGTAAAGGGTTCAAATATTTCACTTCCAGCAGTGTTTAAGGCCCCAATCAGACCCGATGTAGTAAACTTCGTTCACCAACAGGTTTCTATGAACCATCGTCAACCCTACAGCGTTAGTGACAAAGCTGGTAAGTTTGAGAACAAAAAGCATGGCTCATTCAGAATTAAATTATTGGGGACTATGTTTTTAGTAATTGTTTTATATGAAACAAGATTATAGGATGTTACCATGTGACAATTTGTATTTTAAGCTTATTAGGGATAATAATATCCACATGTTTGTATAAAAATTTGGGGTCACATTTACTCAATTAGTCTCCTTTGTCTGGTTGTAACTTGGATTATATTCAACTTAAAATATTTCTATCGAATGTCCATTTGAGTATCATATTTAGAGTAGACCTATAATCTGACTTTAGAGAAAAATGACTTTGTTACTTTGTCAAAAGGGTAAAATTGTTAACATTTACATGTTCAGATGTTTATTATTTGTAATAAAGCTAGATTTTAATAAGGTAAGGTTCAACTGTTTGGAGGTAGGTGACTTATTAGATCAAATCTATCCAGGATGGACAAAAGTTAACACAAGGGAACAGGTACATGAGGAAAGACATCCAATGACCCAAGAAATTAACTTTAGGAAAGTACAAGCTGAAGATAGCCACATTGGAAGTGGAACAAAAAATATTTCCATTTGGCAGTATTGAGATGTTTTTATAATGCATAATGCTTTATGCTTCAAATATAAACAGAGAATGCTTTTAAAGAGTACATTTAGAATATATTATTTTATGAATTCTACAATTTTTAATTTATATAAAATAAAAGTAAATATTTGTACCTTTTGAGATTAATTGCAAACATCTGTTGTAATCTGGCAACTGGTGATTTGCAGGCAAATCTTAGATCAGGCCAGGATCCACAGAGAATTGTCAAGCCAAAGCCGCCAAAGCCTTTTCTGATTTACTTCTACGTCATTAGTATACTTATTTTTGCTTTTCAGTTAAGTTATTGCTTTGTTGAGTTGTGCTTTGTAGATTTATAAAGTGCTTTTGACAGGGTGAAGCGAAATGACATCTTAAATTTATTATAAGCTGAAAAAATAAACCATCAGATAATGACGGTTAATGAAATTAACAAGAACAACAAGACCAGAGTTATAATGCCAACAGGAGAAACAGAATGCATATAACTAAAGGGAGGAAGAAAATGACACAGATACCACATGGGAGCGTATAAAATCAAGATACTATGCTATGCCTATGATTCAGTACTAATTGCTGATAATGAAGATGACCTACAAAGGCAGCTCCACACCTTCACTATCACAGCAAACAAACTTAATATGAGAATATCAGTAGAAAAAACTAAATGTATAGTAAAAAGTAAAGAGCCGCATAGATGCAAACTAGAAATAGACTGCAAAATTGTAGAACAAGTAATGAAATTCAATTACCTAGGAGTAGAGATTACTTGTGACAGGGATATAAGAACAGAGACCACAAGACAAGTGGATCAAAAGTGGCAAGAATAAGTGGTTGCCTCTGAGAAACCATATGGAGAAACAAATATCTGACCACAGAAAGCAACATGAAAGTATACAAGACAACATTAAGACCAATCCTAACATATGCAGTGGAGATCAGAGAGGAAGTTTCAGAACATCAGAAGATTTTACAGGATACAGTGTATCTGCCAGTTTTCTTCTGTCTATAGTGGTAATGATTGTGATACAGTGTATCTGCCAGTTTTCTTCTGTCTACAGTGGTAATGATTGTTGAAGTGGCTCAAGATGCTTAGAGATTTCCCACCTAATTGTGATATGTATTCTTTGGTTCTTATAAAATTTGTTTAATTTACTGTTTGTATTTTGAGAACGATTTCCAAAGTGGAAATTGAAACGTCAATAAACATATTTTTATCTTTAATTGTGGCTTATTCCCAGTTTAATAGTAATTAATCATTACTTTTATTGTCAATGATATACATTAAAACAAAAAATCTGTATAAAGCATATTCTCAAAAATAAACTATTGCTTCTGCAATTAGAAGAATTATTGACTGCTTTAAATTTTCCAGTATTCTATCTATCATACTTTCTAAAGATGTGAAACAGTTGTATGCTTCTTCATTTGCATTTTGTCTTTGGATAAAGTTTCTTACAATGTGTAAAGCACTTTCCCCATCTTGTCTATTAGGACCTTTTTATTATTAGGTGTGAATGGTCAACCCCCTACAATGACACTTGTGAATCATAAATGGTAAATTTCTGGAAAAGTTTCTTGCAGGTGGCAGTTAAAAAGGGTATTTATTTATAGGGATACTATAATAGCAATAGGGGCCAACAACTAAAAAAAAAACATGTTTCTTAATCTTATTTTCTGTTTTAACATGTTATTTCCTGTTACAACCAAATTTGCCTCGCTATAGAGGGTTGTAGTTAAATAGAAATGTCACAGGACATCTCTTGTACCTCGTTATAAGCGAAACCTCGTAATATCCGTGTTCGTTATAGAGGGAGTATACTGTTTTCAGTACTTATTTCTAGATTAAATTTATTTAAAATTAAACATTGTACATAATAATGTCCACATTCTTACATCATATACTTTGTATTGAATGTCCCATAAATGTGCTAGAACAATTGATAATTATAGGCGTTCCTTTCTTAACTCTGTATAAGAAAAGGGCAATATTTATCATACAGTAAACCTATGAATATTAACTTGTAAACACCATGTAATTATAATGTAGTAAAAATTTTTTATTCACGCTTAATTTTACAAGTACATTGACATATTCAAGAATTTAGTATGCTTTGTCAGATCATCTGGATCCCTAGGATCTTTCATGTTGCTGTTTTTCTTGAGGTTCGCTGTTATTATTTTCATTAGTTTTGTTGGGATTCCTAACTGCTCTAGTAGTTCTATCATTCTACTGTATCATTTATGTAGGTGTTCTTTTTAATACTCACTTTATCGTTTTCCTTAGTTTTGTTAGGCCAGTTGCTATGGTTGCTCTATCATTTGACTTTATCAAAAACAGTTTTGAAAACAATGACTATTGCATGCATTTCTTAACTATGTTACTTTGTTGATGTGTGTACAACTGAATTTGTTGTTTTGAAAAGGACATTGACATGTTACATAAGTCCAGGATTTATACCATTTTTAAAATTATTTAAATTTTTGTTTGCCTTTGATGTTGACTTGCATATGAAGATACATCCTTTTCACAGAAAATGTGTAAGACGCTTCAAGAAATAAAATGGTAACCAAAAATCGTCTTTTAAATTAAGGGTGACTTATGCCCTTTTCAAAATGATGGGTTCCGTTATCTTAGTGTTTAGAACTGACATTTTTCTCTAATTTTTTTATTCCCTTTTGGATTTCTTTGTTTTAAGTTGGCACTATAATTTCTGTATTCAATCCATTCTGTGTGAGCATATTTTATTAATTCTACTGCTGTCATCTCCCACTACTTTTTAATTTCAGTTTACAGAGTCTTAATCTCCTTGGAATCCCCTTTCCTTATCGAGATTTGACTTATTATTGTATCTGTTTTAAGGGTTACTCCTTTGTGTCTTGTAGCATTTTTATGTTGGATATGTTGTTATGCCCAAGAAGTCATTTGTATTCATGTTTGCCTGTATTTGTCTTTGTCAGATCTCCCTGATTTTTTTTTCGGAATTCTTTCCTAGTCACACGTGCTTTAAGACTAATATTTATGTTAATTCTTTACTTAAGCTCAATTCATGCTGGCAAAAGCTATTACATAAACAACTTTTATGAAATAATATATAAAATAAATATTGAGTTGATAAATTCAACTACTACGCAAAACCCTCTGCTTTGAAAATTATTTTAATGTTCTTGATGTACTAATATTACTATGATGAAAACACCTAAATATAGACATTCACAGAGCATTGGGTTCTGAAAGTCCATGATTGGTAAAATAATCTGAGTAATAATACCTTACATCAAGAAAAAAACATTTTTAAAATAATTTTTTAATACGATTTAACCACATATTCTTTTTTTTTATTGCCAGAAAGAAGGTTGTAAGTCATGTATGTTGTCTTAATCCATTGACCAACACCAAGGCTATGCTTACATTCAATCTATATGCTGCTGTACTCAAATGTGAAGCCATTTTGGAACCTTTGAAGAATTCTCTTTCCTTATCGAGGTTTGATCTATTATTGTATATGTTTTAAGGGCTCTTCCTTTGTGTTTTGTAGCATTTTTATTTTGGATATGTTGTTATGACCAAGAAGTGATTTGTATTGATGTTTGTATTTATCTTTGTATGATCTCCTGGTTATTTTTTTTTTGAATACTCTTCAAGTCACACTGTTAATTTAATTTTTACTCCAGGTTGGACAAAAACTATTTGAGAAAGCTTGTAGATTATTAAAAAGGTAAAAATGATTGAGATAGCTTATTTTCTACTTAAATTTGAATTTTACAGTAAAGTTTTCTCACAATATCTCAACCAACAAATATTGATTATTTTTTCAACTAGCTGCTAACTAAAAAAGCAATGACACCAAGTTTTTTCATGACTCGAGATGGGACATCTCTAGTTGAGCTTAATTAAGACTTCCAACGACAAAATCCAATTAGTAATTTTCATCTATATTTATTCTTCTTCAGGACATCAAACATCTGCGGAATCATGGGGTACTGGACGTGCTGTTGCTCGTATTCCCCGTGTAAGAGGAGGTGGTACTCACCGTTCTGGTCAGGGAGCTTTTGGTAACATGTGTCGCGGTGGACGCATGTTTGCCCCAACCAAGCCATGGCGCCGCTGGCACAGACGCGTGAACATCAATCAACGCCGTTACGCTTTGGCGTCTGCTGTAGCTGCTAGTGGCGTACCAGCCTTAGTTATGAGCAAAGGACATGTCATTGACCAAATCCCTGAATTGCCATTGGTTGTCAGTGACAAGGTACAAGAAATGAACAAAACTAAACAGGCTGTTCAGTTCTTGAGAAGAATCAAAGCATGGGCTGACATTCAAAAGGTTTGTTGCTATTTTTGGTAATTTATTTTATGTTAATAATATAAAATTTTCAGTATTTTAATTAAAAGATCTTGATACAGTAATAATACAGTTGAGTTACGTATTTGTTCTTTGGCTTTTCTTAAATAACCTTATTTCATTAGTATCATTATCTTTTATCTGATTGTTCATGTTGCTCTTCTATAAAAATCAATTTATATCATACAGTTTTTAATTTCAATAAAATTAATATACCATGATGATTTGCTTTTGGTCCGTGTTTATGAGAATTTATGATTTTACTTTCAAAAGCGCTGATATATACCTTCAATCAGAAATATATTAGAAATAGAAAAACTTTTGATTTTAGAGTAGTTATTTTTCTGATTAGGTTTACAAGAGTCAACGTTTCCGTGCTGGTAAGGGAAAAATGCGTAATAGGAGACGCATCCAACGTAAAGGACCATTGGTTGTTTACTACAAAGATCAAGGTATGTTATTAAATAATTTTTATGGGGTAATTTTTGATATAACATATTGTTGCACATAAATGTCCACATCTTAGTAAAAAATACAACGTGATTAAGGTGTTCTTAGAATGTGCTAGAGTAAATGACAGCTATAGGCGTTCCTTTCTTATTTTTATATCAGAAAAGGGCAAGGTTAGTCATACAATCTTACATGTATTTATATCCTATGGTATTCATTTCACAACTTTTTAAATCTAGTTCATGTAGAAAAAGTTAGGTTAGGGATGTGGGAGAAAATTTATTTTCAATTTTTTTTATTTTACATAGTATTATATCAAAATGTTCAAAAAAATTCTAGAAATTTGAATTCTTTCTCTCAGGTCTTCGTCGTGCTTTCCGTAACATCCCAGGCATTGACCTCATTAGCGTACAGAAGTTAAACTTGTTGAAACTTGCCCCTGGTGGTCATGTGGGTCGCTTCGTTATTTGGACTGAATCTGCTTTCCAACGGTTAGATAAATTGTTCGGCACATGGAAAACACCATCATTGGAAAAGAAGGGTTACAATCTACCCCAACCTAAAATGGCAAATACTGATCTATCAAGATTGTTGAAGGCTGATGAAATCAAAGCTGTATTACGTGCTCCTCAGTAAGTATAATATTCAATGATATAAATCAAGGTTGATATTTTTAAAAACGAGGCTTATGTGAAGAACAGGAAGTTTTTGAAATTGGCCAAAAATTTTTATTTTGACATTTTGTTTTATTTTTGTATTATGGCGTAGGGATGTGGCGACCCCATCGCCCAGAATAAAACTTTTTTGTCATACAAATAAAACAATTATATATTGTTTTATTTTATGCCAAGAAAAGTTTTAGTTCTGCAATCAGCCTTTCAGTAATGAATAATCTTCTTAGAAACTAGGCTACCTACATTCTAATTAGGTTATTCTTTACTCCTAACATGTATACAAACAATAAAAAAATATTACAAAATTCAGATGTGAGAATCTAGTTTGTACTGTTTACATTTGGCATTATTTTGTATAAAGCCTATTTCTGTCTTCGTGGATCTGAGTTGGAATCTTCATGGATACCTATTTGGTAACAACATCAATATTCCAGTGGAATAAATTCTGTTCAAGACAGCCAGAAAAATTCATAGTGGTACCTTGATAGCTGACAAATTTATTGGCCTGTTTGTTTTACTTTTCCATGAAGTTATTTTTTTATTTTAATCATATTATGTTAGTAATCACGATATGGTTTGGTAAAATAATTACTTATTATGCAGACTTAAACAAACTGGTTCTGATAAATTTCAAGTTTCAAGGAATCCAACAAATTTTTGAAATACTTTAAAAATCTAATGATTTCGTTTAGAGTTCCGTGAGGGCTCTAGATGTTTTCATTAGTCATGATTTTTTACCAGCGTAGAAGTTATTAGACAATAACCATGATGCAAATAAATGCTATTGCATGTATGTTGAAAAAAGGATTTGGCTGGACAACAAAAATGCAGCTACTGTGAGCAGGCAATGTAGGCTTTCACTATCTAGGTTTTTGTAATATTACATTGGTTTTCAGGTGTATGGGCTACTGTTTGAAATTAGTTCTTCTGATCTTTCAACTGTGGCATAAATCAGAGATAATTTCAGACCATAGCTTATAAGCCCAGAAACAGTATACTACACCTTTTGTCAGGTTCCCAGTCTGCTGGAAAGGGTCTTTCCCTCCAGCAGCAGTGGTGGCTCAGAAGGCATCTCAGATCTGAAACAGTTCTGAATAGGCTAACTGAAAAAAATAGTAAGTGTGGGCTTATGAAGTTCTGGGCTCGGGCGATAGATCGCCAAGGCAGGTCTATGTCTAGGTCTTGCACTTCTGCCTCACTTTCATTTGGTTTTGGGACCTATAGGCTGCCGTTTGAAATTATTTATTTCTATGTTTTAACAGTGGCTGTTCCATAAATCAGAAAGAAATAATTTCAGACTGTGGCTAATAAGCCCAGAAACAGGCCCTTGGTCTGCTGGAAAAGGTCTCTATCCTTCCAGCAGCCATGATGGCTCAGAAGGCATCTCAGATCTGAAAACAGTTCTGAATGGGCTAACTGAAAAAATAGTAAGTGTGGGTGTATGAAGTGCAGGGCCTGGACAGTGGCTCACGGAGGCAGGTCTATGTCTGGGTCTTGCACTTCTGCTTCACTTTCAACCTTAAGGGTGGAGTATTCCTCCCTAAAATCAGTGAGTTGTCTCTGGTTCCGGATGGAACACATTTGGGCCCCAATAGGAGGTCCATAGTGTACCTACGGATCTGGTATGTAGGGGCTCAGGGTCTGGTCAGTTTTGTTGGCTTGGCAAAAACCTCTATGGCTGATCATACCTGACACTACAAACTACCACTGATAATTTCACTATAAAAATGAGATCATTGCCTAAATTTTTGGTTAATATTGTTTTTTTTGTACTAAATTACACATATTTCTTCCTACCTGATATTGGAGTGTTAGTTATCACATAATGTCTTAGTAGTCAGAAATTGTATTTACACTTTGGTGCATAAATAATACCAATATTAGCCAGTAGATAGGGCATTTTCTCGTTCCATTTAATATTCATCCACATGTAAGATGTTAAAATGTGAGTATATGCTTGCAAATATTTTGCTAATCTTTGTCATACTGTTTATATCACTTTTCATTCTGTCTTTACTGTGTTAGTCATCATGGAAGGATTAGATGAATGGTGGTATTTTGTACAGGATATAAGGGAGGCGAAATTTTTGTAAAGAGGTATAATTAATGGTTACCAATGGTAAAGTATAAATGGAGGTTCGGTGCAGCTAGGTCCTCGGACGTGCCAAAGACTAGACTTTTACTGCTGGTCATAGGCAAATGAATGGGGAACTAGGCTGTGCTGCATACTCTTATTCTCATAAGACTGGGCTGTCAATATAGTCTAGTGTGTTAGGGGTTTATACATGACCTACTAAATAGCATAGCTAAATGTAAAAATGTATTTTATGTACTATATTTTTTGGGAATAAACCACAATTATAATCAGAAACATTTTATTTTTGATGTTTTGACTTTTAGCTTAGAAATCACTAAACAAATTTATTTGAAAAAGATTTCTGAGGTGGAATTTAAAATATAAAAACAAAAATTTCTGATATGTTGATTTATTCCCAAAAAATATAGTACTTAAACCTCTTGTACAAGGTAAGGGTTGAAGAGTGGTTTAGCCTACTCCTCAATCAAATCAAACAGTAAATATTATAGTATTGCTCTAAGACTGATATTTTTTAAAATTCTTTGCTTAAAAGCTCAATTCATACTGGCAAAAGCTATTACATAAACAACTTTTATGAAATAATATATATAAAATCAATATTGAGTTGATAAATTCAGGTACTACACAAAAGCCTCTGTTTTGAAAATTATTTGAATTTTCTTGATATATTAATATTACTATGATGAAAACACCTAAATATAGACATTCACAGAGCATTGGGTTCTGAAAGACCATGATTGGTAAAATAATCTGAGTAATACCTTACATCAAGAAAAAAACATTTTTAAAATCATTTTTTAATAAGATTTAACCATATATTCTTTTTTTCATTGCCAGAAAGAAGGTTGTACGTCGTGTACGTCGTCTCAATCCATTGACCAACGCCAAGGCTATGCTTAAATTGAATCCATATGCTGCTGTACTCAAACGTGAAGCCATTTTGAAGAATCAAAAGAGACAGTTAAACAGGGAAGAACTTTTGGCCAAGAAACGTGGTGTAAGTACAATTTTTACCATTTCCATTAATCATTGATTTTACCATTTTAAATTCTCTTAATAATTTTAATATATAAATAATACAAGAAAAAATACCTTTATTTTAAATTTACTCATTTATTACTCATTATTGATCTATTTCTAACTTTGATTTTTAATATTTTAATTCCATTTCCATGATTCCCATTATTTTGTACACTTCAACTCACGATATTTGCTTCTGGGCGTGTATTAATATATGGTCATTTACAATGTAAAAAAACCCATTTAAATAGTCACCATTACTATTTTTTTTATATCTTAACTGTGACGGTAGGTTTTTCCAGCAACCAATTGTGATTACTGGTTCCATGTACTTATTAGGATACACAGTAAGTATTTTTGAGACACAGGTACTTTTCCCACTTCATTTTTTACACTTTAAATGCAAAATTTCATGGTTTAATTTAATCAAAATTTGTGTCCAAAGTATCTTACTGTTCAATCACATGATCAAAATATTTTCTTTAATCCTTTACACCAAAACTATAATCTTTATCTGAGCAATTTTCCAGCTTTTTAATTTCCATTGTAGCAGATTGTGTCGCTAGCCGTAAAACTTTTGCCCTTGCAAGATTTCAGTAAAATAAATCAGATATAGCTATTGAAGTAAATTGTCTAGGCATTTGTGTTTTCGATTATTGATTAAGAAATGCATTCAAAGGTTTCTAAAGAGTATTTTCTAAGTATTGACACATCTGCAAAATTTTCTGTGTAGATGTTTCATTTGGTTTGGAAACAAAACAGGTTCTGTGTAGGTGGTTGTTCTTCTTTTTTTTTTGGAAGCTGTCCGTTATACCATCAATGGTTGGTATGATGGTTTTCGTCAGTTCATTTATTTCTTTTTGCTGTAGAGCTATCTTTTGAGATTAACCACAAATGAGTGTATGGAACATTATCATTAAATGAAAATTTGAGAAATAAGTTCACCTTCAAGTAGATTTTCCTCACCCCACAAATGATCCACCTATGCAGGTAAAGCAAGGATGCCTGCTTCAATTTACTCAGAACCGCACGAGGGGGCTAATAGGTGAACATAGTTGTTTAATTTTGTAATTTAGTTATTAAAATTTTTTTTGGTTGTAATATTTATTGTTGGTATTGTAATTTATAAAAGGGGTATCAACCTAATTTATTGCTATGATGATATTTTTTGGTCCGTGTTTATGAAGTCTTATGATTTTACCATAACCACCTCTGATGTAACTATATATAATATAAATTTATCATAAAATTGACAAACATCAATAAAAATTGTTTTTTTTTATATTCTAGATTACCTTGAGTGCTGACAACGTCGTGATTAGATCCAGAAAATTGCAAGAAAGGAGAAGGGCACAAATCTTGAAGGACAAGAAATCAAAACCTAAGAAGGTCAAGAAGGCTCCAGCTAAGGCTGCAGGAAAGAAATAAACGGACTGCTACGGTTTTTGCGTATTGTTAAGTTTTATGCATTTTGACTGTGGTAATCCGAGTTATATATAAAATAAAAATATAAAAATTGATATACTGTGTTAGTTTTTTTTTTATCTGTGTGAAAAAATAAAAATATTTTACTTTTTTTTATTGTGTTTGGATCGCCATTGAAGATGAGGTTTGAGTTAATATAAGAATTTCAGATATACTGAGCTATGGATGAAATTGTCTATGACTAGCTTTTCCTGTTTAGTTAGGAAAGGTGTCCATTTGAAATCTGAGAATAATTTTTTAAAACATGAAATATTCTTATGAGTGGTTTCTTGCTTACTATTTGGTTTTATCAGAATTCGCCTTAAGCAGTTGTGCTGTCAGCAGCCTTCGTGATAGCAGATACAGATCTTTCTATACAAGGATGATTAAGAGTATTGGAAAATTACTAATGCCATTCAAAAACAAAAAAATATCAACTGAAATCAATATCGAACTTACTGAACACAAAATAACTTACAGTTCCATCTTTTATCGAAGGTTGGAAATTATGGCTATGCGGACCCTTTTGACTGTCACTCTAAATAATAGTTCTGACCTACCATATTCAAACCATTCCCTCCAGGTCTTAAGCCAGGATATTCTTCCCGCATTTCGCTTTTCCACGAATTTTGCCTTTCCTATAAGTTGAAATGAATATTTGTACTTGCATGTCAATAAGTACTCAAGTTTTCATCTTTTGATAGTTCGCGTCATTTTCTATCCCAAGTGGGGTTTCGCACCAAAGTCTGGCGAAAATCGCATGAGCGCTAAATAAGTAGGATTTCTATGTGAGCATTCAAATTCGAGGCCGACCAGTCCTACCTATCGCCAATTCGAGCGGATTCTGCCATTTTCAGTTAAGTCATATTGCGCAATGAGTATTCATATAGAAATGTTAATTATTTCGATTCAAGAATGACCTTCGTTGTGGGATCAATCAAACAAAAAATACATGGATAGGGATGTTGCCATGCGTCTATGGAAGGAAGTATCTGCGGAATGCAACAGGTAGGAATCTATACATTTCTACAAATAAATAAAACTATTAAGAACAGTTGTTTTTTCTTTATTTATTGTTATTACTAACAATAATATAAAAAAGTTAAAGCAAAATGAACTCTACAATGGATGATTTAAATTGATTCGCATTTCTTCATCTGCAACAAATGGTCAAGACAGCTAATTTATTTATGAACTTCTTCCAAACTGTATTCACCAAATAACAACCTTTACATACCTATCCATCCATCAAATACCAACTTTAGTACAAATATTTGTCCTTCTAAGACCACCATGACTGATATTTTTAATGGCATAAATGAGCTGTCCAATAAGCTTACAGCTGGTCCAGATGGTGTGCTTAATTTTTTATTAAAATAGTTTGTACCTAAATGAAATCGTAGGCTTCCACGGCCAGAGTCAGAATTATAGTTTATTCGTCTTCCGGGTTTGGACCGTGTCATTTGTGAGTGACCCAAAAGTGGGTTCATCTCTGACGATGAACCCACTTTTGGGTCACTCACAAATGACACGGTCCAAACCCGGAAGACGAATAAACTATAGTTTGTACCTTAAAATAGTTTGTACCCTTGTAATACCATTTGTTATATTGTTGAATATATCTCTGGAAACCTCTGTGTTTCCTTCTTCATGGAAAGAAAGTTATGTTCCTATATTTAAAAATGGTCAGAAAGACAATATTGAGAATTATCGCAGCATTTGTATATAATCTGCATTCCCTATACTCTTCGACAGTCTTATAGCAAAGCAACTTTCTTGGTTATGTAAAGGCTTAATCTCAATCACATGGTTTTCATAGGAAAAAATCAACTACAACAAATTTGGTTTGCTATCAATCTGATATATTATCTCATATGGAAGACCGTAAACAGGTAGATGCAATATACAGATTTTTCCAAAGCATTTGATCGTGTAGTTCACCAAATACTTTTGGGCAAATTAATTAATGTAGGCTTTCATGGCAGTTTTGTTGAATGAATTAAAAACTCTACATCTGGGAGAAGTCAAGATAGGTTGTCATCTATCTGACAGTACACAGTAACATCTGGAGTTCTTCAAGGAGGCCACACTTCACTTCTTTTTAATATCTTCTATTAAAAAAAGTAGATGATCGCAGAAGCAAACTAGTAGGTTCCGGTATGTGGATCGATGCTAACGTGTCTCAAATTGCTGAGCAAACTAATGCAATAATGTAATGAACCGTTGAGGTTCCCATGTTAAATGGGAATTCACTGAGGACTCCGTAGTTTAATGCTGTTGACAGATACCTGAAAACAAATTGTATGTTAAAATAAATGAGCCACTCCTACAATAATTATGTAATATAATTTTTCGAATATCAAAAATAAGTCCCTTTTTAACAATATTATTGTACAATAGATATTTAGATATTTGCTACAATAGATATTGTAGCAAAGAAAAACTGGACAAATTTGAGGTACAGTTTTCGAAGTGGATTAAAAAAGAAGGCAAACCGAAATCTGGAGACACACAAGGCGATTCACCATGTAAAACCCAATGGAAATGGTTTCAATAGATAGAATTTTTAAGAGAAACCCCATCTTCGAGAGGTATGGAAGGAATCTTGAAAAGTGATAGCTCGTATTTCACTCAGGATGAGCCTCAATGAGAAATAGAGTCTATTAATGGAGGAGCGATGGGTTGTCCACAAGCGTTAACTGATTCTGATAACTGAATCAATAACTAATTACTATACCATCTGGAGTTTCAACTTTTTTAAGTTTAAGTGTCGGTAGAAATGCAAAGGCACTGAACCAGAAAAAGGAGAAAGGTTGCATATCGAAAAAGAAAAACTGGACATCATGAAATTAATGGCAAGAGAGGAAGACGAGAAAGATACAACGTATCATTTTCTGATGAGCCTGAAAGACCCCATTTACAGTCTTCCTATAAATTCACAAATGCTTCTGAGATATAAAATTATGGAAATTGTAATGAAGGAAATTGGGAAAAATAAGAAACCCAATAATGCCAGTCTGCCAACTTTCAATTACACTAACTACGTTTCGTAGCTCCTTTATTCTACTTCGACCAATTCAGGAAACGATTCAATTTTAATTTAAACTTGTATTGATGATACAATATAGGTGAATAAATACGTACAATATCTGAATTGGCGTATATTTGTAAATACGGTTTAAGCTAGTTCATTCTTTCTTATTTTTGTTTCTTCTTCTTACGGCGCCTTATCCTTAAGGACGTTGGCCATTACATTTGCCCATTTAATCTTATTTGTAGCAGCCCTGAATAGTTCGATGGAGGTCATGTTCGTCCATTGCCGTAGGTTTTTAAGCTAAGAGTTGCGTCTTCTTCCTGGTCCTCTTTTGCTATTGACTTTGCCTTCGATTATAAGTTGGAGCAGTTCATACTTTTGATTTCTTATGATATTTTCTAATGATTTTTGTTTACCGATTTTTATCAATACACTGTTTCAAAACATTAAGTTTTTTTACACCCCTTTACACTTGTAGATAAAGAAAAAATACGTTAAATAAGTTAAAAGTAATTACCAATTTATTTAAAATCTTGGTTACTTGTATCGAATAGTCACCATCAGCTTTTCTTTATATGGAAATAGCTCTTCTGTAGTTCGTGTTTTCTTTTCTGGATTTCAGTATATAATCAAATGTAGGGGTACTCATTCTAAAATATCTCTAAAATCTTTCTTCATCTTCTCGGAGTTTCTCGTATAGAGTTACGAACTGTTCACTAGTCTCGTGATCTTTATTGATATTATTAGTCCAGTATCGTCTTCGTTCTCCAACACATTCGTCATCAAGTGAGGAACTATCTAGTAACATCATCTTTATAATTCGATGACCATTTCTATATTTTATGGCAAATTCTTTTTCACCTTTATTTTGTCTGCCTTCTAATTATTTCCAACTTTACTGAACATATTCCCTTTGTACATTTATTTGATCACTATTTATTTTGAATATTGAGTTCTGTAGTCTTTTTATTCTTTAAAATGTTGTTAACAACACTATTATTAAAAAAAAAATAGCTCTAAGAGAACGAGACTTAGTACATGTGTTCTTCCTTACTCGAATAACTTTCACTAAATCCTCCATTGCTACATTTTTTCCCATTTGCTTCATAATTTCCTTGACTTTGGCTCTATCTTGTTTTTTTCCATCTTTAATATTTAAAGAATTTAATTCGGGAACATTGAACAACATAACATTGTTAGATTTTACAATTCTCCCATTTATTTCATCTTACTTGTCTAGCTGTCACTATGTAGGTAAAGCCATCTATCACATTTGAAAGAAGTCTTGGCTTATCTTCTGCCGCATCTTTCTTGCATATTAGGTAAGCATTTGCCCATATTTAAATATTCAACAGAATTTCAACCATAAATTCTTTAATAAAGATAGTAAGTCACTTCAATGGTACATGGTAATTACTTATCTATCATTATTAATTTGTCCTAGTCCTATACTCGTTTAAAGTTTTCGTTTGAAAGAGAAAAACTAAATATATAAACCTCTCATTGCGGTTATTGAAATTTACCAACAAATTGTTTTTTTCAAAAAAAAAAATGGTTTTCATATACCTTATAGTAATTATGCATATCCCGATATAATTTTATTAATTAATTGTTGATATTTACTTGTAAAACAACAGTTTTTTGTCATTTGCTAATGATATCCTTCGAGGTTGATTGACAAGGATGACAAATGTTAATTTAATATCCATGATAGGCAGAATATAAAGAAAAAAGTTTAAAGACCTAGATATGAGTGTATTCTTCATAATGAAAGTCATTTGTGCAATTAAAAATTAATAAAACGTATACTAATTATTTCAATTTGTGTATTATTACTAACGTATACGAATAAATTTATAATGCAAGTTCTCTTATCTTCAAGATTGTATTAAAAAAATATATTTTTTAAAATAAATATTTAACTATAAAAGAAATAGTTGCATTTTTATTTTTGCTACAGCCGTTTAGATTTTATTTGGTCATATCAACATTGTTAAGACAATTAACGAATTTGAAATTATTCAAATTGAACTGATAGCTGCCTTAGAACATCTTTGTGGATAAAATAATTTGTAAATATCTGTTAAAAAACTTCCATTATTTGTTATTTTATATTATAAATTTTTAACCCTCCAGTAGCATGTTACTAACATAACTGTGGCGTTACTATGGTTGCCTATAGTAACAATTCTGTCCACCAATCAAAACTCTTAATTTGAATAGTTTCGTTATCCGATCCAGCAACCTTCGCCGGCTAAGTTGCTAAAATAATTTTTTTATAGAGAGCCACAATTGTTTTAATATTTGCAAAGTGATCTGTGTAGATAGAAATTGGTGAGTATTTTTATTTATAAACTATTTTCTTTTGTTAAGGTATTACAAAATTAACAAAAGAAGACGTATAAATAGATTTTCATTTATTAAAATCGGCAGGAGCGTAGTACAACCGTGCCATCATTTGTTTTTTCTAAACTATAACATTTTGTGTTCACACCTATTATAATAAACATTTAGTCCACTGCGGTATATTTTTTATGTAACACATTCAAGTTTTTTAATTATTTCTATAAATCCTGATTAACTATATACATACCTATTATTACTTTTTCTTCAAAACCGGTGCATTTGTGTTGCCTCCAATTAACTCTTTTGCGATAAAACTAAAATGAAATCGAACAAAACATGTCTTAAGAGGAGCTATTCCGGACTAATTATGTTAATGTCATGCTTAACTAATTAATTTTTTTGGCTCTCGGAAAAAACTGGAATTAAAGTTGAACACAAAAACACGAATTTGTTTTTGAACTGTCTTTAGCAAATAACTTGTTTTTCTTGTCGATGAAGACTTTACGTAGATATTTACTTAAATTTATATTCAAGTGTAGACAATAAGTTTTGCTATGAAGGCATTTTCAAAAGATGAAACAATCTGCTTTACCAAAAAAGCTGCTGATACAAAAGTCATGGGCAGAATATAGAGCAAAACGTTAATTGATGAAAGCGTACTCTTTAAAGTGAAAATCATGTTTGTTATTAAATAGCAATAAGATGTATTATTAAATAGCAATTTTATTATAATTTTTCAATGTCCCAGTACCATAAAATGTTAGTAACATCACTATGACGTTATTACGGTTGCGTATAGTAACAATTATGTGTACCAATCAAAATTGCTAATTTGAATAGTTTCGTTACGCGGATCCAGCAACCTTAGCCGGCTAAGTTTCCAAAATTTTAGAAAACCACAGTTGTTAAGATGTTTTATATAATTTATTTGATGTATATAGCCACAAATTCGTAAGTATATTCATTCAAAACTACTTTATATTAAAATGTTACAAAATTGGCAAAAGAAGATGTATAAATATATTTGAATTTATTAATATCAACAAGCGCGTACAAAACAATAATTTGTTTTCTCTAAACTTCTAAAATATTATTCTATTTTTATCGAAGCTAAGGCCATTTTCATGTACCTTCTAAAAGTTTTTTCTCCTATCAAAGGTTCGAAATCATTATAGCGATTCTTTTTTCACAACTGTTGTGGATAAATATGTAACTCAAATTAAACTACTTGTTTAAATTTTTAAGTCAAGAAATTCGTTGAATACTCGCTTTGCGATTATTTTTCCCTTCGTTATTAGTCGTAGCATTGTTATACGTAATATTATAAGTCAAAACAACCTTTTTAACATAATGTATTTACAACTTTTACGCCTCAATTCTATACAGTAATTAAAAAAAAATGTAGCATCTTAATAGCGTTATTCGTCATTCTAATATTTTATCTCTATGATTTAGTAACTTTTTTATTTTTAAGAATGTGTCCATGCGCCAATGTATTTATACTGTCTGACTTTTTCTATTAATGTACTAGGGACTTTTAGTGATTTTCATAATTTTTGTCTTCTTTAAAGTTATTTTTTTTCCATATACCTCATGTTCTGTCATATTCTGTAAATCGCTTAAATAATCTGCAATTATGACAGTATCATTAACGTAACACAAGTTATCGATAACGTATTTTTATCTCTTTTAATAGTTCCTAATCCACTTGTATTTTGAGTTTCTGGTTTCAATATAAATCATCATCATCAATTAGCCTATATTTGTCCACTGCTGAACGTAGGCCTCCCGTAAAATTTTCCAACTATTTCTATTTTGAGCTTCTTGCATCCAGTTTGTGGTGATGCACTTTATATCATCCGGCCATCTAGTCGCTGGTCGTCCTCTGCTTCGATACGCATCTTGCCTTGGTCGCCATTCCAGAATCTTTCTGGTCCATCTATCATCCATTAATCTGGCAACATGTCCGGCCCAAGCCCATTTAACCATGGCTATTATTTCAACTGCATCTGTGAGTCCTGTTCTTCTTCTTATTTCTAGGTTTGGTACTTTATCTCTGATGGTAATAACTAATATTGATCTTTCCATAGCTCGTTGTGTAACTGTTATTTTATCTATTGTTGTTTTAGTCAGAGTCAGTGTTTCTGCACCATATGTAAGAACCGGTAAAACGCCTGGTTAAAAACCTTTCGTTTTAAACAAATAAATAAATTTATATCTTTCTTTCAATATAAATGCCAATATACAGAGTGGCCCAAAAGTCTGGAACCAGCGAATTATCTCGTAAATTACTAGACATAATTATACAAAATTTGAGATACCCCTATTTTGGGATACGTAGATTCCATATTTGGTATTTGCAATGTTGCCAGAATTTCAGTTTCTCTTATATTACTAGTAACTTTGGTTTTTCAAATGCATCACTCTGTATATTTAGTCATTATTGGAATCTCCTATTAAATACGAGTTCAACCATATGTAACACTTATGATTTTATGTAGTCTGGAAGGTCTTAAATACATAAAACAGAAGTCTGGCAACGCCTAAATTGTTTCAATACATTTTTTAATACTAACTATTTTCAAATACTTTAAAACGTAACAATTGATAGTTTAGAATATTTTTAACATAATAGTTACGTTATTAAGTGTTCAAAATGTGCTCCATTTGTGAGTTGACAGCACTCTAATCGATGGTAGAATGCGTCTACCACATTTCTCCATGATTGTCTAGAAATTATTCGCGATTCATCGATAATTCATTGCCTTAGTTATGCAAGACTTGCTGCTTAAGTTTTGTAAACTGAATTTTTCAAGTATCTCTAATAAAAATAATCTTTAGGATTGAGATCGGGTGAACGTGGAGGCCATTCAATTTTACCTTGTCTACCAATTTATCGTCCGGGAAATATCTCATCTAAATAACGCCAAACATTTACACCAACTATCTGACGTTAAATTTCTTTCGGTAAAAAATGGCCCAATTAAATAAGTACTTACTATAACTGACCATACATTTAATTTTTGTGGTCTTTGAGTATGGTTTTCACGCATTCAGTGTGAATTTCACACGAGTTCAGCTATTCAATAGGGGTTCAACCATATGTTCACTTGATTTGATGTAGTCTGAAATATCTTAAATATACAAAACAGTGCAAAATATGTAGATTTTAAATGGAGATGTAGAAATTAAATATTTAAATGGAGAATGCTGTGATTTTGACATTTGTTCACCATTTAAATTATGAACTAAAATTGACAGTAGTTGTGGTTCAAAAAGTTCTGCAATTTAAATTGCTTCTTTAAAATGCCGTTCTCTAAACCGTTCTCCTATTCATAAGACGACGGTACAAAAAACTGTAAGGCGATTTAAGGAATCTGGAGAAGTAAAAGATAGATACCGATCAGGTTGACCGAAACGAGTTATCAATGATAACAAAACTTCAGATATAAGCAAAGTTTTGTTGAAGATCCACATACATCCCCAGGCAGGGTTGCACAAGTACATGATGTAGGTCATTCTTCAGTCTTACGTTTATTACGTAAAAATAAATTTAAATCATACAAAATTAACTTATTGCAAGAATTAAGTGAAGATGACTTTGGTCGTAGATTAGAGTTTACTGAGGTAATGATGGATAAAATTGGAAATTATTAAAATTTCATTAACAGAATATGTTTTTCCGATGAAGCAACTTTTACACTGTGTGGAAGTGTAAATCGACACAATTTAAGGTACTGGTGTGACGTAAATTCACACTGAAGACTGAATGCGTGAAAACCATACTCAAAGACCACAAAAATTAAATGTATGGTCAGATATAGTAGTTACTTATTCAATTGGGTAATTTTTTGTCGAAAGAAATTTAACGTCAGATAGTTGGTGTAAATGTTCGGCGATATTTAGATGAGATAGTTCCTGGACGATAAATTGGTAGACAAGGTAGAATTGAATGGCCTCCACGTTCACCCGATTTCAATCCTAAAGATTTTTTTTATTAGAGATACTTGAAAAATTCAGTTTACAAAACTTAACCAGCAAGTCTTGCAGAGCTAAGGCAACGAATTATCAATGAATCTCGAATAATTTTTAGACAATCATGGAGAAATGTGGTAGACGCCTTCTACCATCGATTAGGGTACTGTCAACTCACAAATTGAGCACATTTTGAACACTTAATAACGTAACTACTATATTAAAAAATGTTCTAAACTATCAGTTGTTACGTTTTAATGTATTTGAAAATAGTTAGTATTAAAAAATTTATTGAAACAATTTAGGCGTTGCCAGACTTCGGTTTTATGTATTTATGACCTTCCAGATTATATAAAATCATAAGTGTTACATATGGTTGAACTCGTATTGAATACGAGATTCCAATAATGACTGAATATACAGAAAAACCAAAGTTACTAATAATATAAGAAAAACGGCAAATCTGGCAACATTGTAAATATCAAATATGGAATCTCCGTATCCCAAAATAGGTGTACCTCAAGTTTTGTACAATTAGGATTAGCATTTTACGAGATAATTAGCCGTTTCCAGACTTTTGGGCCACTCTGTATATTTGATATCGTGTCCATCAACATATTTTCACATGCCTAATACCTATTGTCTTATATGTGAATTTTTAAATTTCTAGCAAAAATGGACCCAGGCGGAAATAAAATAAGCGGTAGTTCGGTAGTAGGCTCTGGCAGTCAAGATTCAAGAAAAACTAGTACCCCACAGCGGTTTACTTCACCAAGAAGGATTTTGAGATCCCCTAGTCTTTCGACAATATCGTCTCCTGCACTGTCGACTAGATCTAAACAAAATCAGAGCGTCGAAGAAATTTTCAAGAGTTTGTCAATAAGTGAGGAAATTCGTTCAACACCAAGTATTAGCGAACAAGGTGATATTTCGATTGATGGTAAGTCTTTTTAAATATTTCGTACAATAATGGTGAAATTGTCTATACTGGATATTTCATATAAACGGTACATTAGATTTATCTTTGAAAATAACTGAATCTGGTATTCTGTGCCTGATCTACACATATAAAATATTTTCATTTCTTTATTACTTCCTCTTTTTTTAAGCGAAACTTCTATATTGGCGTTGTATTACTTTTTCTCTATTGGCGACGTGCAAGTACGTGGATGTGATACGAGAAACGATCGTGCGCGAGTAGCGGAGAAATCTTGCATTTTTTACTGCAAATTTCATAGATTTCATACATTCATATTATCAATTGTCATATTCGTTTGTTTATTTACACGATTTACACCTTGTCACTGAAGAAAATGGGATTTAGGAAATGCTGTGTTATAAATTGTAAAAATACAACAAAAAATTGTCAATTTAAGTTTTATTCGTTTCCAACTTCCAAGTACAAATTACTACAAAGAGAAAAGTGGATTTATATCATAAAAAAGCATAAGTAACATATCCTAAATTATGGATTATTCTTGCGCCCGATTTTAAAGTCAGTTTGAAATAAATAATAAATAAAAATTCACTTTTAAGTGTAAATTTTAGTTTCATAACACTCACTTAGTTCATTTTAACCCAAAAATCAAGTTTAATGTTTAAATTGTATTTTTTTGAAGTTTACAAAAATGCATCAAGTTCAAGTTTTTCTGAAGATGCATTAAGATATATTCGCTGTCCAAAAGTTTACAGGGAAAGAATTAATTGTTCAAACCAATATGTTGATATCATGGACTTAACCTGCTAATTTATGCATTTATGCATTAGCATTATTTATGGTAATTTATTTTTCTTAACTCTTCCACATAATACTTCCATTCTTTTTGACATTTGCCACTACTAAAGCTTTTCCATTTGACTCAGTGCTTGGTTGAAAAGTTATTTGGTGATTTACTTTCTCAAATCCAGTTTTTATTATTGCATCCATATTAACAGTAATGCTGTAATTTAATAATATATTTATTTGTATTTACACTACATACAACGTTTACCTTTTAATAACATACCGACATAACCTCAATCTTATTTTTTCTTCTTATTCTTTTTTGGGGCTACGTCCGTGACAGTTATCCGGTAACCTCGATCTAACATGAAAGCGCAGTAAATTTTGCTGATTTACGACACCAGGTGTCGCTGTTCCGAACTTGCACGGTCAGAATAGTAAAATGCTGAGGGGAACGTCACAGAAGTAGCGCTAAGAAACATAGAATTGTATAGGGTAGGATATATTGAATAGGAGTGGTACACGGACGCCACTGCTGGTTCTGGAGAGAAGAGTCACATTCGACTGTGTACATCGAGGAAGTTTTAAATCCTGTCGTACGTCTATTACGAGGGGCAGTAGGTGATGAATGTGTGTTTATGCAAAGCACCGCATCTCCTCATCGAACAGCAGCAGTACAAAATTTTCTGGAAGAAGAAGAAATATCTACATTACAGTGGCCCTCAAATTTTCTCAACATGAACGTTATTAAACATGCTTGGGCCATTCTCAAAACATGCATCAAGAAGCGACTTCTTCTTCTTCAAGTTCCACTCCTATCGGAGTAAGTCAGAAGATGAAGAAGCCACCTCGAAGTTTTTAATTCTGTCTGGTTTCTTATTCTGTAGAAGTTTAGCATCTCATGGTAGAGTCCTAGGAAAAAGTCTATTTCTCTGTGCTAACAACATAATGTGTTGATTCAGTAAAATAACACATTATCTTGTATACATATCGCAATTAATACTTTTGTTTTTAAATAAGACCATCTATTTGTATATTCTTCTAGTTTAACAAATAATTATTAACTTTTGTTTTCTAGAATATACCGAAGAAAACTATGACCAATATTTTAACAAAATAAGGCGTCAACCAATCAATAAAAACCAATGCAAAACGTATAAACCCAGTGCAAAAGACACTCTGTACGCCAAAATCTTCGATGAACCATCTGACACAAAGGTAATAGCAATCTATTAGTTTTACAATCCTTTCTGACGTAGAAGTAGTGTTTTTAAAAAGATTGTCGCCATAATATTACCTTTTTATGAGTGGTTCTGAAATTGTTTACATCAGGCATGTTTCACACAGATATTTTTTAAATGAGATTAAAACACAAATAGCTGTAATGAAAATTACCATGGACGTATAAATATAGATGGACACAGCAATAAGATACCTTTAACACACAATGTTTTGAAGCTTCGATAGAATGTGATGCTTCCGCAATGAGCATAATTATGCTTAAGCGTGCTTGAATTTTTACTCGCGGGTAAATATTCAGATTTTAAAAATTGGAAGTAGTAATAATGTATAAAAACACGTTCAAAGAATTAAAAAAAAAACGAGAGTTTAACTATTAACAAATCACGTCTTTATAGAAAAATTAAAATACAATTTTATTTGCTTTAAAATTAATACAAGTAAATATAGTTGAATTCAAGTTAATTTTTTAATAGATATCAAAATAATGCTACAAAAAAAAATCTTTATGTTTTCTTCTAAATTTGCTACCCAAATAGTTCGATCGTCAATATTATTTGGAAACCTACATAGAAAAATAAATGAGTTTTATTCATTTCACTAATTTATTTGTATCCATGAGAAATATTAAATTAAAAAGGTACTAAACAGATCTTTTTTAATCAGATGATGTCTACTTACAATTTAAAAATGTCTACTAATTTCATGAACTCATATCTTATTCAATACATTAATGAACATGAATAAACCCAATGGTACGCCTATTAAAATGTAAACAAACACGCTTCCTCATTTCCTCATCTTAAATTATGTAAATTATATGTACTTGATGAGAGATCGGGATGTAAATATTTCGTTTATTTTATTTCACTTTTCACAAATACCACTCAAAATACAGCCAAAATATCGAAAAACAACTTTTCCTCATCTACTGTAAAAAGTAAACAAACATGGAACAGCATTTAAAGTTTGACGTAGATCCATAAAACAGAGAAATGTAAACAACCGTTGCCATTTATAAATAGTTTTCAGTGCTTCTACATATAAAATAATTGATTGATATCTATTATACGCTATTATTAAATGATAATGCACACTTGATATTTTGATTACAATTAAATATATTAATCTAAACAATAAATTATTATTTTGGTTTGATAGCACCTGTTGAGTATAAAATACGGAGTAATATTTTTAGCGACTCGCGAATAAGAAATTTTAAAACAAAACGTAACAACAGTTGAAGGTGCTGAGAGTGTGATCTGTTCAAATAATTTTGACTACACAATTTTATATAAATAACTGAGTCCATCTGTGTTTATGCGTCCATGAAAATTACCTATTACTCGTCAAATATAGCTTGGCAATTTTGCGATCTACCTAGAAAACAAAGTGAAAACGCATACTGAAGAAAACATATGCATAATTATTGTTGTTTAATTATTATATAGATGCATAATTGCGCTATTAGGTAAATTATGTTATTTTTTTTTACTCGACATATATAAAACAACAACTCTATCAGATTATTTACAAACAAAAATTTAGATTAGGCACAAGCATGGCACATTGTCTAGTGCAAAAAATAAATTGGTAGATATTAGAAAATTTTTCCAAAAGTGCTGGATGCTGCACAAAACCTTGTTGAAGCAATAATTGAAACAGTTAAAACAAATTAGCGAAATACCATCTTTAAAATTACATAAAATTTTCATTGAAACTTCCATGCAGAAGACGAATCATCATCACCAGCCCTTTGCGTCCACTGCTGGACATAGGCCTCCCTCATTTTTGTCCATCGTGCTCTATCTTGAGCACTTTTAATCTAATTTCCTAATATTTTCTTGAGATCGTCAGTCCAACAAGTAGGGGGTCTTCCTCTACTTCTTTTGTCTAACAGCCTCCACTCAAGCAATCTGTTCGTCCACATTTCATCACTAATTCGGGCTACGTGTCCGGCTTTCATTTCAGTGTGGAAATTCGGGAAATTACATCGGTAACTCCTGTTCTTCGTCTTAAGTCTTCACTTCTAACTCGGTCACGAAGCGATATAATCAGCTTTGACCTTTCCATTTTCCTCTGAGCTATTTGCATCGTTTTAGAAGTTAGAAATAGCTGTCAATGTCAAGTTTCGGCACCATAGGTCATCACAGGCAACACACATTGGTCAAATTTTTTACGTTTTAAAGACATTGGTATATCGCTTTTAAAGATATCTTTGAGTTTTTCATAGGCTGCCCATGCTAGGTTTATTCTTCTTCATAATTCGCATGTTTGGTTGTCTCTTGTGCTCTATTTCGTGTTCAAGATGTATACTTTTTCCACCAGCTCTACTTTGTCTCCAATATTGATATTTCCGCTAAATACTAGGTTTGTCATGAATTTTGTTTTGGAGATGTTTATTTTAAGACCCACACTGGTATACGCTAACTGAAGTTCATGTAGCATTGTACCACAAGCATAATCCAGTGCTGCGGTAAATAGTTTAGGCGATAAGGTATCACCCTGTCGGACTCCTCTGCCGATTGAGATATGATCCTTGTTTTTATGTAGTTTTAGCGATATAGTTGCGTTATTGTATGTATTGTAAATTAATCGGTCGGTAGTCAATGCGGCATGCTTGTAGTGCTTCCAGAATTTTGTCAACTAGACGAATCAGGAGACGAATAACTGCTAAAAGAATGTTTAAAAAGTTTAGGAGGGGGTTTAGTGCATTCCGTTTAGAGGTAAGGTAAAGTTGACACCATCTATCTATTGTCCGTCGGCAAATTCAAACAAAAATATAACTTTCAGACCATCTATTACCACCTTTAGTCCAGACAAATTAATATATTTTTTACAATCAAAAATGAGGTGTTTTAACCAAATAATGCTTCACATATAATGCCCAGAATAATTTTAAATTACGTTCCGCTGATGAACTTGCTTTCTTGTCCTTAAAAGTAGAAAAAAGTTTTAATTATATTGCTTAATATATCATCTAAATATAATCCTCTAAAGGTACGATTCCGAACACGACCGCAAACTGCAAACCGCAGACCGGAGCAACAGACCTACTGGTTCATATGGTTTCTTATGAGCTGTATGTCGAGTAGAGCGGCACTGTCGCCACCGCAAGCAGAACGTCGCCACCGCAAACCGCAGGACTGCACCAGAACCCGTAGTGTCGCCGACCGCAGAGTGACAACACTATACATATTTTTTCTGTTTCTGAATATATCTTCGTTAGCCATTAGATGATTTTTAATGAGTATTGAATACCTTCCTTCAAATTGTCTATTTTTAAATAGGGACCTAGTCGGTTTCCTTTTTCTTTTATAATGCAAAAGTAAAAGATCGTCGTCATCTTCTTCTTCAATCAAAAGATATAACATTAATTCATCGTTGTTCATTGCGTCTGACATCCTACTTATACTTTTAATATTATATAATTATATATTATTATATATATTACATACTATTATAAATTCCCATCGTGTAATGCTGTTGTCGCTGTTTTGTAGATGCAGTGTAGTTCTGCTCGGAATTGGTCTGACCGCAGACGACACTGTCGCTGCAGTCTGCGGTTTGCGGTCTGCAGTCTGCAGCCACTTTCGGAATTTAACCTTAACAATTTTAACTGTACTAATGTCCAAGTAATCATTTTCAAGTTTTAAACTGACTGATTTACGATGAGTAATCCGGTTGTAGAAATACCGGCATGTGCCTTAATTAAGGGACTGGACTTGCAAATTTTTAGTTTAGTTGTATCTTTGCAACTAGCTTGTTTATAGATATATGTGCATTGTGCATTGCTTTAATTTTGAGTTGTGTTGAAATATTGTTGTGAGTAGTTATAATAATTGTAGTATTTTTTGTTGTTTGTTTTTTTGAAACTGTCTATTTGTGTATAAAGAAAATGTTTAGACCATGGGAAAAATCACCTACAGATTTTCGTGCATGGGAGCATGAGAACCCAAGTATTAGTAGAGAAAGTGTAGTAGTCAACAATCTTTTAAGTATACGTGATACAAAAAACAATGACACTGAGACTGTAACTGTAGAAAAGTATTTAAGACTTCCAAAGAAAAGGATTATTTTGAATGAACAATCAAGAGAATTTGTATAAACGTTTACAAAAATCTTATTGGTATACAGTATATATACCAACAACTATACATACCAAAGACGTATGATGCAGATATATTAAAATTTTATGACATATAACAAGTGCCTGAAACAAATGAGAAGCGATACGTCCCTGCACATCGGTTACTCGAATTTCATAACATACAAATATTATCTGTTTGCATTTGCCGACGAACGAAATATCGATGGACCCGATTTTAGGTGCCTTTATTTTTAGTCAATACGGCTCTGATGACAGTTATTGCTTTTCGGATCTCATAATTCTAATTTCTTTCTGTATGCTTCAATAAGTTTTTCAACTTGTTCATAATTCTACTTGAAACTCATACATATTCTCTCTTATTCAAATTTGACGCTGCAGTGCAAGTTGTTGTTCCCACTACATAATTATAGTCGCTCAAACCCGTGTTGCGCATCAACAAACCAAAACAAACAGATCAGCGCAGTTTGACTCTGGCTAAACAGCAAAAAGACCAAGTCTCAAGCTATATTTGCCGAGTTTGCACACGTTTTATTTTGGTTTAAACTTTTGATTTTTTATCCAGAAATTGAACTTGATACATAAATTTTTTACCATTTTAGGCAATAACGTTAGAATTCTTTCGTTTATATCAACAAGCACCAGATGCTGCTATCAAACAACTGATTAAATTATGTATTGATGTGGCAGGATTCCACAAGTTCGATCCAGAACCTCATTTCTTGATTAACGAATACGACAAATCTTCAAAACGTATCATTGAAATGTTAGTTTCGGATGAGAATTTACTCAAATATTCAACAATAAGGGTAACAATTTTTTTATGATAATTATTGTAGCTTTGGAATTTGTTATGTGTTTTTTTGTGTGCTTTTTGATCTAGTCTCCGATACCTAAACATAGTGTGGTTAATCTAATGATTAAAAAAACCTATCCTTTACTTTTACCCTATCCAATATACACTGCTCAACAATTCATAAGGATTCACAACTATTATTTTAAATATTTATGATTTATAATATGAAATATAAGTAGGAGAGGTAGGTACATCAACAAGCACCAGATGCTGCTATCAAACAACTGATTAAATTCTGTATTGATGTGGCAGGATTCCACAAGTTCGATCCAGAACCTCATTTCTTGATTAACGAATACGACAAATCTTCAAAACGTATCATTGAAATGTTAGTTTCGGATGAGAATTTACTCAAATATTCAACAATAAGGGTAACAATTTTTTTATGATAATTATTGTAGCTTTGGAATTTGTTATGTGTTTTTTTTGTGTGCTTTTTAATCTAGTCTCCGATACCTAAGCATAGTGTGGTTAATCTAATAATTAAAAAAAATCTATCCTTTACTTTTACCCTATCCAATATACACTGCTCAACAGTTCATAAGGATCACAATTATTATTTTAAATATTTATGATTTATAATATGAAATATAAGTAGGAGAGGTAGGTACAGAGAGACTGTAGGAACACTGAGACAAACTCGGTGGAGCTTACGACGTTCGGTATTATCCGGTAGAACTAAACGAACATGCCTCTATTACCACCGTGAAGTGAAGCAAACAAGAAACCGTTGATATTAACCAAGAAATGTTTTAGTTATCGCTGGTCATTCAAAATAAGTACCTCATAGTAAATATACCGTATCTACGTGACCGGTGTTTTCACAGAAATTTAAGTTTTTTAGACAAGATACGTTATTTTAACTAAAAAGTAAACCATTTTACAAGACAATTAAATTAAAACACACGATTTTTGTATACATTTTATTAGTTTTTTTAATCGACTTTTATTAACGAATTTTTATGGAACAGTGAGACAATACAGCAGATGGAACAGTGAGACGCATCAAAAGTGTTTGCAGAAAGAGGTATATAACAGGTTAGTAAGACTATAAGTGGCGAACGTGAAACGCTCGTAACAACAAGCTGTATTGTTGAAGCATCTAGAGCAGCTATTCCTCCTGCTCTGGTATTCCCGAGAGTACACTTTAAAGATTTTATGATAAACGGGTCACCCCCTGGAACTTTAGGACTAGCTTCAAAAACAGGTTGGATGAATACAGAGTGCTTTGTGCATATTGTTAAGCATTTTATTAAGCACACTGGTAGTACCAGAGAAAACCCTTCTTTATTGCTAATGGATAATCATCAAAGTCATTTATCGATTAGGGCAATCGATTTATGTAAAAATAATGGCATTACAATCCTAACTATACCAAGCCACTGTATGAACAGATTACAGCCGTTGAGGCTTATTAAAACCATTTCAAACTTTCTATAATGATGCTGTAGAGGCTTCGATGATGAACCATCCCGGTCAGATATTTACAATTTATAACGTAGCAGCCGGTGCCCTGTTATAAATATCTGGGTGCTTGGATCACAGACGATACTGATCAAACAAAAGAGATTAGATGTAGAATAGAAATCGCTAGATCAGTCTTTAATAGAATGCGCAAACTCTTTTTCAATCGTGATATCAATATAAAGTTACGAATACGAATGCTGCGGTGTTATGTCTTTTCTACCCTGTTATATGGAGTTGAGGCTTGGACACTAAAACAGTTGTCCATAAAAAACATCGAAGCTTTCGAGATGTGGTGCTATAGGCACATTCTCAGAATATCACGGATGGACCACGTCACTAACACGCAAGTACTCCAAACTTTAGATAAAAGATGCGAAATTCTAATGCAGGGCAAAATTAAGGGCAAAAGAAGTGTGGGAAGATGAAAAATATCGTGGCTTCGTAATCTACGTGAATGGTTCGGGTGTAGTTCGATTGAACTTTTTAGGCGCGCTGCTAACAAAGTCGCAGTGGCCATGATGATTTCCAATCTCCGCTAGGAGTGGCACGAGAAGAAGAAGAAGCCTGTCCCACAGCATATCCCCTGAGCACAGCATATCCACGAGCAATGACGCCAGTTAACATCACAAGCACTTCTCAAAAAAACGGAATATTTCCATTTAATCAGCATGTCTTCACTGAAGAAGATTTTTTGTCAAGTTTTGTGGCAGACAGACCACTTGTTGCAGTTGAAGCTGCTGCTGAAAATATAAATGAATCTCTAGATGTAGAAAATCCAGGTCTAAGTAATACTGATACCATGAACACCTTTGTTAGCCCAACAGTTTTTAAGGGTTATTCTAAAACTCCAACAAGAAAATCTGAGGAGGGCAACAAAAAAAGCAAAGGAAAAACGATGATAGCTACGTATACCCCGGAAAAAATGGAAGTGATTAAATCTAAAGAAAAAACAACAAAACGGAAAAAATAACTAGGCACGTATTAGATAGTAATTCTGATGAGCAAGTTAAAAATGAGATGGAATTATAAGATTCCAGCAGAGAAGAGGATTTTATTGGTGAAGATCCCGAACCAATTAGTTTCGAAAATGTTTATCGCTGTCCCAATAATGAGAATTATATGCTTGTTGAATTTAACTTTAAGCAAACGACATACTATGTAGGCAAAGTCTTGCCTCAATTAAAAGAAAATGATTTTGAAATATTGTTTTTAAGAAAAAGCGCTAAATGTGAAAACAGGTTATTTTTTTCAGTTGTCCCAGATGTCTCACATTTATTAAAAAGAGACATTGAAATTATTTTAACGCCTCTGTAATGCAAAAGTTAAATAAGCGCCAAAGTTCCCTTTTAAAATTTGAATTAAACTTTAACAGTCTTAACGTAAAATAATCGTAATGTTAACTGTTGCGTCTCAGTGTTCCCACATTGAAAGGAACAGTGAAACATTTAGTAATTTTTAATTTTAATATTTTTGATATTATGTTAATTTTAGTTTTTATCAAAAAACGACATGGTTTTTCAGTTCTTGTTTATATACCAAATATAGAGGTACAATATAAGTTTAAAGTAGCATTTAATAAAAAAGTTATTGTTATTGAAAGTTTTGCGTCTCAGTGTTCCTACCACTCCTCCAATCAATAAAAAAAATAAAAATTTTTAACAAAAAAAAAAACAATTTATTGAAATAAAGTACAAAAACCAGTACAAGGCACCAGTAGTGACGGTGCCGTAGTAATGACAAGTGAACAGTGTAGTAGTGTCTGGGGGCTCGGGAGACTGAGACCTCGGAAGCCCTGAGAAAGGCATCAGAGAAGATGCCGAAAGCTCTCTGTCTCTCTCTTACTCATTATCTTACATATGTAATGGTTTCACAGATTCACTCTCGTGCGCGAGAGTGAATCTGTGAAACATTTCCAATGCCGACCGTGCGTATAGAAGTATAACTTCAAAAAAGTCCGGGTATTAATATATTTTAATTATATTAAATTTTTAAATATTCATACTATTGGTGGCGTAAAATATTACTTATTTTCAATTGTTGAGCACTGTATTTTAAAGAGAACTAAAGAATTTTATAGAACACATATACAGAAACCAAATGGAGTTAAACACCAAAGCAAAATTTTGATCGCAAGGTTCAACGTAAGATTCCACAAATCTCTATAGATAAAATAAGTTACGCTCTTTCTTCAATAAAAAATAATAAGCCCAGGTAAGTGCGACAAGGCAAAATTCACAACTGTCTTTCTTTACATTCTGTTCCTTTCTACTATCCATGTTTTGCAATCTAAAATCGTATGTGTCACAGTGTTCGAGTGTCCACAGTATAGGCATTCATCTGTGTCTGCCTTTCCGAACCTAGAGAGGTGGGCCCTAAAACACCCATGTCCTGTGAGCACCTGCATCAGGAAATAATCCAGTCGTCTGTGGCCACAGTTCACTCAATCTCTTATGTTCGTGATGAGCAGTTTCGTGCACTGTGCCACATCCTCCGTGTTGTTCCATTCTTCTTGCCATCTTTCAATTGACCTTTCCCTTTCCTGTCTTCTTTCGACCATAGTAAGGTTTGGGCTTCTTCTCATATAGAGCTCTTTTCTTTCCATCGCCAAAACATGAAACGGAACATATCCAGTGATGGTCCACAAGGCTGCCGCAGACACAATCCTGTAGGCGCATGCCACTCGCAACAGACTTGTTTTTTCCACTTGTGTCATGAACCAAGACAGATCCCTGGAGTACCTCGGCCGTCACGTCCACGATCGTGCCCTTTTCCATCATAATCCTTTTCTCGGACAGATACTCCGCCACCACATTCATCAGGTAGCCAGGACATTCACTCTCCTCCATTGCCTTCATTACCTCGTTCCACTGCAGCGTATTGAATGTATTCTTAACATCAAACAACAGCAGGTCCGCCCAGCGATGTTCGTCCCCTCTGTTGCGCAATGCTTCGAGTACACTCATGATTGCATTAATCGTGCTTTTCCCTTTACAAACACCAAATTGCCTCCGAAATAAAGCACCTGACTTCTCAATCATGTCGTTTATGCGTACTCGTAGCATCCTTTCATAGAGCTTATTGATGCATGGAAGAAGATAGATGGGGCGATAGTTTTCCTTAGCCTTGAGGAGCAGTATTAACCTCGATGTCCTCCAAGGCTCAGGAAAGGTTTGTGCTTCCAGCAGTGCTTTCATGTACTCCAGAAGTCACGCAGGCTCTGCCCATCCTAGACCGTTCACTGCCTCAGGTGGTATCTGATCCAGTTCAGGGGACCTACGCGTCTTGAGTGAACCCAATGCCTCGACAAGTTTATCCATGGTAAAGGGTACAGCCCGCTTAGATCCTTTATCTCTCCATACACCATGCCATCTGCCGTCCCGAAAGAGCTCTCGTGTTACCTCAAGCATCTTGTTCATAGGCATTTCGTAAGGAGGATCCGCATGGAACTTCTTCATGACGATCTTGTATCCCTGACCCCAGATGTGCTCATCCAGCTTTTCACACAGCTATTTTCAGTGTCTTCTGTATCTACGAATTTTATTTTACTTTAATTATTTATCCTGCAACAACAGACAATAACTATGCTGAATATTTCCATTTGGTGGTCAATATGAAAAAGGAAACATATATTATTACTTTTATTTTTCTTTTATATGTACCCAATGTAGTGTAGTGTTAGTGTTTTTCGAAGGGGTACATGCCGTAATTTTTTTTGCATGTTTTATCATCATTGTTTTTCTTATATACAACACTTAATTTGTATGTAGATTTTAAGAACTGAAAAACTACATATCACGATATAATTATGACTCAGGTAAACTTTAAATTTTAATCATTTTTAAAACAACATTCAATATTAGGATCATATTTAAATGTTCTTACCAGGTTATGAGTTACGTTTATTCGGCATAATATTTCGAACTCAGAAGTATTTTATTCCAAATCTTTTTTGTCCAGAATTATCCATTTATTGTATTTAATATGTAAAAGAGAAAGTATTCATATTCTAAAGTTTTTTTTTCATTGTAGGAAGGTAAATACCTTCTGAGGGAACGACCCACAAATTTTATCAAATACATAAAAATGGGCATTTATAATTTTATACAGAAATTAATACAACAAGCGCATTTTAATAACATCCTTTATGATGAGATTTTTATTAAGTGTTTGATCAGTTTCTTAAAGTGTATGGCAAGAAGCAGATGTAGATGTCTAAAACATGCTGGTGTAATAATGGGTAAGTGAATTTTTGTATTTTATTTTATATGATGAGTGCTTACAAAGTAATACCTTGTATAATAAACATTAAATTATATACAAAATGTTAAAGCTTCATCAAAATAAACGGTCCTAAAAAAATTGTACCATTCTTCTTCGACGTATTGAAAGGAGGCGAGTTGAAAATGGAGACGGTTAATGGGAGAGAAGCAATGGTTTCGAAAACCTAAAGGAAAAGTAATAGCTAGATCCTCCACCCGTGAAATGCCTTGTAACCGTTTCAAAAGTTAATCCTTTATAGTTAATGCAAATTGTAATTCTTAATAAATATTTAAATTAATGTTAATCCCGCCACCTATCCGTTAAGTACGGAAACATTTAAATTACCTTCTCAATGATCCAACTGCAGTTCATAGTAAAATCCAATTTTGGCTTCAAAAAATCCGGTCGCCGGTTACCTCCCCGCAATTCATCTCTCTTTCTGAATGTTCAGCATACAAGACGGATTTTTTTTGAGCGGTCTCTTGACGAGACTCTTACCGGGTACACTAATTGCTACCAGAACTATGTTTGCTGGCTAGATGTTACCTTAATAGTTATGGAATTATACCAATAAAGAAAACTAATATTTTTGATATATTGATTTTAACAAATATCTACACTTAAATTAATTTTAGTTTCAAAAATGCTGACTGCAGTAGTCCTAGTCTTGAACGATGTGTCTCAAAATTCTATATCAGAAAATAACAATACTTCTACAGAAGAAAAAAACCGGATCCTCATCAGTCTCATTGAGGGTCTCTATATGATATTTTACAAATACTGGTAAGTTGAATTTAAGTAATTTAAACCTATTCTTATAATCATTATCATCATCATCTAGTCTCCAACGTTTACTACTACATAGGTTTCACGCTTGCTTTTCCACTTGGTTTTACAGTGCAATTTTGCCCAATCTTAATACCAAATAATATAGACGCATATAGAAGGATCTTTCACTGCCATTTTTTAGCGTCGGCAAAGGTTATATCAAAGAATATAGACGCATATACGTATAATATTCTTTGGTTATACACAAAACAATAGAAGTTGATCAAGATTTTAGTTCTTTATTTGTACCACTATGGAACGGTCATGTCAGCTTTATTACTGCTTCTAAAATAAGAAAGAGTGGAGCAACAAATGCAACTTTAGATAGTTGTATATGTATAGTGCGCGCAAGCACTCTTGACCATGGAGCTGCGCGAAGGCGGAGTCAAATTCACGTAAAGGCAGAAAGGTTCTATTGTAAATGGAATTATACAGTGCATAGTACAATGCGTTTCACATGGAAGTGGTGACTAAATCAAATTTCATCTACTGCGCCGTGGTCAAGAGTGCTTGCGCGCACTCTAGATGCCGCGTGGTCGTAAAATAGCATTAAATTTTGGTTTTTATAAAATTCTTTGAAGAAAATAAAATAATATTTATATTCTTTGTTAATACAATTTGTAGTCACTTTTTACGTCATGATCAACATCTACTTTTATTTTAATTAGTACACTTAATATATTAGTCAAGTTTAGAAATATCTATGAAATTATCGTACTTAATGTTACAGCCGAACTCGAGATGATATGATAAAGAACATGAGAGTTGAGTGTATACATGAAACAAAAACATGGATAAAATATTTTCCGAAACTGTTTATAAATGATTTTGAAATATTTGAAATTGTCATGAAACTGATGATAGATCCCGTAAGTATTTTTAATTCTCTTTGATATGTCGCATGCTCCAATAGTAGGTATATGAATCTTTATAATTTTATGCTTAAATAAAGCTATTTATTTAGAAATATGTTAACATAATATAGAGGATACATCATTTATGTTTTTTAAATAACGTAACATATAAAATCAGAATTTTGATGTTTGTTGAAGGTAAACTAAATTCACGAACAAATACTTACAATGTCGGGATAGTATTATGAGGTTTTTTTGCCTCATAATTTACTATGGAATCACTAACAGGAGAATTTTACTGTCATCATGTCATGTGTTTGTCGTTTTAAAGACGAATTGCATGCTATGATTTTTTTCTGACGGATATTCTCAAGTTAAAGTTGATTTCATGTAATCGAATGAACTATCTTATAAGTAAAGTCGTCCCAGGAGCGCAACTCAAAAATATTAGCAATATCATTTTAAAGTCGTCTACTTTAAAACGCATAATGTATGTCTGGATTGTCAATATAAATGAGTCAGATAAAATTAAATTATTAGAAGAATTTTTCACTATGTAACAAAAAACAAAATTTGTTTAATTTACTGTTTGTATTTTGAGAACGATTTCCGAAGTGGAAATTGAAACGTCAATAAACGTATTTTTATCTTTAATTGTGGCTTATTCCCAGTTAAATAGTAATTAATTTACAATGCCACAAGAAAATAGCTTCAGCACAATAATTTCTGGTTTGTTCTGATTCTGTTTCTGGTTTACAATTATTTACAACATTTGACATTTTAGTGTGCTGTTAACCATAAAGAAATAAAGTATTATAATATAATTTATATTAAAAACAAACAATTATAATCAACTAAAAATATATAAAACAATAATTTTTTTATTATTTCTTTTAGATTATTTACAGTTATCTTTATTTATGATTTCCTCTTTTTAGTCTAAAGAAGTTAGAATGGCAGCATTGGAAGTATGCGAAGAGCTGCTGCAAATCGCTTCAGTACGAGAATCAATCAAACCTAACCAGGACGTATTGTTGACAGCAATAGCAGGAAGATTTTGTGATGTGGACATTCCATTGTCCGTCAAAGCCGTAGACATATTTACTCTGATATTAAAATTGTAATTATTTTATTCCTTTTCTGAAATGATACGCGCGTATTTAAAAAAAAAAAGTTGGAAAATGAATTTTACACGATATAGTTAGCACGGGGAAACATCGGTACAATTATGAGCTATAAACCATAGCAGCTCTTCCACTATCAGTGGCGGCTTGAGGTCAATAAGTGGGGAGATCAATTTTCAGTCAATAAGTGGAGAGATAAATTAAAATAAAAAGTGTATTTTTCGTCATTTTTCTCAGATCTTTATCTTTTGCCATCGTGTAGGTGATCTTTCTTTGTTTATTTATGTTTTTTTTTCTCCATTCTGGTAACCTACGTGTCCACCTTCCATCCTTCAACATGGCCACGTAGACAGCTCATTTCCATTTCAATCTGCAAGCTCGCTCCACAACTGTGACTCTGGTTCTGTTTCGTAAATCTTTGTTTCTGATCTTGTCTTTTATTGTTTTTTCAGAACTATAAAATGTAACAATTATTAAACATACTTATTTATCGACAATCTATTCTCCAATTTCGAATCGCACAACTACCAGGAGACTTTAAACTAATTTAACCAATTAATTTGTTTTTTCTATTGAATATTATTAAAAAATCTATGTCAATTAACTTGAGAACCAACAAAAAGTGACTAGTGACCAAAAACTTAAGGAAAGGACTTTTTTAAACTTAAGCAAATACCAAGTGGCCCATTTTATTTTCTGTTTATGTTAATATGAACGTTTGTAATAAAAATAGTTTTAACAATTTCAGCATATTACCTATTTCCAGGTCAATATTACCTATTTCCAGGATATATGCTGCTTTGGACTAGACGGACATATCGGAGATATATACGGACTTAATTTTCAATATATATATGATCAAGCACCAACATTTATTAAAATAGTTGAACAAAGGAAGCCTATTAAAATACGGCGAAGAGTCAGACAGGGTGACACTATATCACCCAAACTATTTAATCAAGCTTTGGAAGACGTTATGAGGAAATTACAATGGGAAAAATGGGGTATTAACATAAATGGCCAATACTTGAATCACTTGAGATATAAAGACGAAATTGTATTAATAACAGATAAAAGGGAAGAATTACAAAATGTTATGGATGAATTAAATAGCGAATCAACAAAAATAAGTCTACAAATGAATTATAATAAAACGAAAATTATGACCAACTAACCAGAAGAATTAATAATTAAAATTGCATAAACAACTAGAGAACAAGTATAAGAATATGTATATTTGGGACAACTAGTTAAATTAAATAAAGAAAATCAAACCGGAGAAATAAAGAGAAGGATACGGTTGGCTTGGATATCCTTCGGAAAACTTTCCTATATACTAAAAAAATAGAAAATACCCCCAATATTTAAAAACAAGAGTCTTCAACCAATGTATACTTCCTGTTCTCACCTACGGTTCTCAAACTTAGACGTTTACAAAGGAAAACATGGAAAAAATAGCAAAGACCCAAAGAGCCATGGAAAGGCAAATGCTGAACATCAAGCTATTAGACAAGAAAATAAATACTTGGATCCACAACAAAACAAAAGTGACTAATGTATCAACGCAGATAGCAAAACTGAAGTAGAAGTTCGCTGGACATACCATAGGACAGAAAGACGACAGATGGAATAAGATGATTATACACTGGAGACCATATAGTTACAAACGAAAAAGAGGAAGGCCACAAATAAGAGGGTCAGATGACTTGAAGAAACACGCAGGCCCGAAATACAAACTGTCTACAATAGAGAGACGTGGAAGAAGGAAGAGGAGGTCTATATCCAAAATTGGACAGCAACGGCGGCTGTATAGATAGATAAATAGATGCTGCGTCGGCAATAAAAAACTCTACTAAAACACTAAAAAAAACTAAAATAAAATTATTCAATAAATACATTTGGCAACGTCAAAAATATAAAATTTTATCTTTAGTTCATCTAATATACATAACCAACATTTTGTTACTATATCATACAGGGTGTCACAGATATTTTTATGTTTCTATACTTTACGCGCGCAGTGTATATTAGCTGACCCAACAGTCCTTGTACTGTGTTAGCTATATGAGTCAAAAATGAATAGAATCTGGCATTTTTTATGGCAGAACGGCATGTAGAATGCAATTTTTACAAACCTAACAATCTAATAAGACCTAACATCTAATAAGTTAGAGCAGTATCTTGCATCGATGATTATATGATCTATTTGGTTAATTGTTTCATTATCAGGAGATTTCCAAGTTCCGTGATGTATATCTTTATGAGGAAATCGTGTCCCAGCTATTACCATGTTCTTAAACATCGCAAAGTTTATGATACTAAGACCGATATTATTAGAATCTACGTGTAGGCTCCCTTTTCCGATGGTGGGCGAAAATATATTCTCTCTTCCGACTTTGTCAGTAAAGTCTCCTGCTATTATTTTGATGTCATTGTTTGTGCACTCAGCGTACTCTCGGTCTAATAATTGATATTAAATTAAATTTTTAATATAAGACGTGATTGTGATAAACTCATTGTGATCGTTGTTAACTCTTGTTATAAAAAATATTTTATTTTGCGTATTATCCCTCATTTTAATATTATCCAATTTGCTTCTAAATAAAAAATCTCCCGATAGAGGAATAACCCCCCCCCCAAAGAACGTCACTGGAACTCAATAGATTCGACCAACCAATGTTGCTATACACTAGTGGCCAAAATTCTGGAAACTTTACAAAAATTATCGTTTTTTTTAGTAAGACTCGTCTCATGATCATTATTTATATATTTTACGATTACAATTACACTTTTATTTTATTGTTTTATAATCCTGCATAATATTTTATATATTTCTCACTCTATCATTATTTAAAAAATATGGAACCAGATTCAAGCGAAACGCCGAAAATCCGAGTTTTGTGAATGACAACATTGGCAATACTGTATTGCGTCAGGGTTTTGCTAGTCAGTCAACAACCCAACTGGAAGCGGTCAGGTTAGGTGACCTTTAGTACAGTTTCGTGCAGCTCACGCGGCTTCCAATGTTTATTAGTGACATCAGGTAGTTGTATCTAAGGAGATATTGTTTAATTGTCGGAGAGGAATTCATCAGCGTCGATTCAACGAAAATGGCAACCAGAAACCCAAAACGTGTTGACAGGTCGCCAGGAAAGAGAACCAAAGCAATTAGGTATCCTTCGAGAAGAAGGTTACACTTATCAAGAAATAGTAAAGAAATTGGATGGTGGCGCCACAAAATCAGGTATAATGAAAGTTTGCAAACGTGGAACGACAAAATCAGCAAAAGGATCTGGCAGAAAACCCAAAGTTAGTCACTACGATGTGCGTAGAATATGCCGACTTTCTTTAGAAGATCGTCGCAGATCCGCAAAAGATATTAACGGTATTGTCAAATCAACTGGATTACAAATATCGGACCGCACTATCACACTAACAGAAGAAAGTTGTGTGAAAATGGATTGCGAGCATGAATTCCTAAAAAGAAGCCGTTCCTTAACAAAAAACAGAGGCAAAAACGCATTGTTTGGACTTTGGCACAGAGGGTGGACAAAAGAACAATGGAGTAAAGTAATTTGGAGTGATGAAACCAAAATCTCGATCTTTGGGAGTGACGGAGTGAAGTTTGTTCGCCGCCGACCGGGAGAAGACCTTTAGCCTCAGTGTACTACGGTCACTATGAAGCATCCTGTGAGTGTCATGGTATGGGCTTGCATGACCACTAATGGAGTTGCCCTCTATTACGAGCAGTAATAGAGGGCAATATTAATGCAAAAAAATATCAGGAAGAGATACTGCAAGCCAAACTGCTACCGACTATCAGAGATTTGTTCGAAGGGGATGCCCAACAATGCATCTTCCAGCAGGATGGAGCGCCTTGTCATACGGCTAAGACTTCCATGGAATGGTTGAGAAACCATGATGTTACTGTTTTGCTTTGGCCTGGAAATAGTCCCAATCTACATCCAATAGAAAATTTATGGTCAAAGCTGAAAGTCTTAGTATCACGATGAAACCCTTGCAACAAGAGAGAACTGATAGAAGCCATTATTCAAAATTGGTTTAGAGTTATTACACCAAAAGATTTGGCTCGTCTCGTTAACTCCATGCCTCACAGAATTGAGTCTGTCCTAAAAAACAAAGATTATCCTACCAAATACTAATTTTGTTGATAATAATCATTGTACCATTTTTTTTTTAAATATATCTACTAATAGCTTACTGCTGTTGTTTTATTTATTTTTAAATTTTTAGAGGATTTTAATAAATATTAAGTAGAAGCATAAAACGATGTAATAAAATTATAGATAAACTTGTAAATAACATAAGTCTTGTGAAAAAGAGGAATGCTGATAACAAAACTAAAATTTTTGAAAAGTTTCCAGGATTTTGGTCACTAGTATACTACATTTGCATCGTGGGAACGATCAAACCCGAAATTGTTACACGCGTCAAATTTAAATACTTGTTAAATTTTTTTGAAATTTTTCAAGTTTCTGCTCAATTTTTTTTCGCAAAAACCTTCTACATAGGGATGTAAGGGACAGGGATACAATAGGCATTCATTTTTATATAACGGACAAGAAACCTTTTAAATAAAAACTCTTATAGGTATTTAAAAACACTTGTTTTTTCAGCGATCTTAAATTTATAAACGACGAAATATGTACTAAAGTGGTAGATATAATATTCAACAAGTACGCGCCATTGGGAAAAGCGGCCTGTCGGTTTTTCTCCTTATGGTTAGATTTGGCACAGAAATGTCCTGATGAAATAATCATTTACATCGCTAGGATTTTTACTTCCAGGGTAAGTTTTTGTTTAAGAATAAATATGAAATTCATAAAAAACTAAATTCCCAAGTTAGTATATTTAAGTATTGGTTGTTGTAAAATATTTATTTGTAATGTTTCATCAAAAAATATCTGGCAAAAATTTTTCCTGTCCTCATAAAGACCAATTGGGAAATATGTCTGTTTCATTTAAGTTTTTTGGTACGCTTCAACTTAATGATGAACGCTATGTGAGTAGACATCTCCGCTTGTTGAATAAACTTCCAAAATGAATAAACTAATTTGTAAATAAAATTGTATTAAACACAGATTTCAAATATTTTTGAAATACAATAGTTTTTTATGTTTTCCAGAATCACAAATACGGAAAGGAAATTGTGGTGGATGGGTTTTTGGATTCATGCACGCATATGGACAACTGGAAACTATTCTGTAAGTTAATTGTGACAGAAGTCGAAGATAATGAACTAAAGGAGGCCTTAGCTCAGCTGTTTTCAGAAGCTGTAAAACAACGAGTATCCGGAACAGTCGGCATACCTAGGCTTATGTCAAAACCAGGTAAGTTCATCTGAATACCTACATTAGTATAGAACATTCGAAAAAATCATAATTAGGGTTAACTGTGAAATTTCTTGTTTATAAGGTTGGGTGGTACTGTAGTAACCGCCAATTTTCGACGATTGACATTAGATTAAGATCTGAAATTGTCAATACAAATTTTAATTATAAACTTATATTGTTACATTTTCTTGACAAATTACATAAAAATGGTATTAAAATTGCATGGCAAGTTAAATAAAATTAAGTAAAATTAAATAAAATTAAATACAATAAAATTAATTAAAATAAACAATAGTACATTGTTTACCGGGTAGGAAAAGCTTAACATTCCTGGACGACTGTGAAGATTGCTAAGTCAAGGCGCAAGCCGAGACTTGCAACACAGAGTCCAGGAATGTGGCTTTTCCTACGAGGTAAACATACTATTTTTTCGCAAATCGTTTAAAATTCGACAGATATTGATTGATTAAAAAAAACGCGATAATTTTATTCCCAAATAAATGGTGCTTTGAAATTCCTAATAAAATTACTTGGGTTACTATGGAAACGTATTGAGGTTGAATTGTCAAACTTGACGCTTATAAATTTAATTGCTGGTGTTCTCGAAAGTAAAATGATAAGTGATGATGAAATTTCCATTCCTGGGACTCCTCCAGAGCTGGTTGAGGCAGTGAATACTGCTTCATTAGAATTATTGCCAAAGAAATCAAGAGAAAAGTATGAAAATGCATACAGAACTGTACGGAAATATCATTTCCTTACAGTAGGGAAATGACATTTCCTTACAGTAAGGAAGTCCTGACTTTTTCTTCAAGAAATTTTGACAGGAATGTCAAAATTTCCTGGCGATTTGCGGAAAAAGTTTATTATATAAATTTTATGGTCGTTTATAAATAAGTATTTACAAATGAAAAGTGTTTAACAAAAATTAATTAATATTCAATCCCATTATCCATAATTCATTTTAGAATATAGTGATAATCAAAATAAAATAATTAAGCATAAATACCAGATAATAATGAAAATGTATATGATGAATAAATTTGTAGTTATTATATTTAACAAATTTTGAAAATTACTAAAATCAATAAAATTTTTAAAGAAACGAATTATAATTTTTAAAATTGCAAAGAACTTAAATATTTAGTGTTACTATAAAAAATATTAAAAATTCAGTAATAAGCAGATATATAGAAATAACACGCTATAAGACGTATTCACTTCTGTCGGCATTACCCAAGTGCCACGATTTTTTTTTGACGCTGTAAGTTGACAGAAATTTGGTGGATACAAAATAAGGTAGTAAACGAGTAAAGAGAAATTTTTCCATTGCAAATGTCTAATAGTCCCTTTAAACAAACTTTTGTCGATATATCATTTTGTAATGCCACTTGCATGTTCGTTATTAACTTGAGATAATTCACATATCCCCATAAATTTGATACCTTCAAGTAAGCACTTGTTTCATCAGCAGCTATTGATCCGAAAAGGATCTGATTACTGCTTAAATCTCCAATGCTCGTTTGTGTGCCGTCATCGTACACTCATCCTAAATTGTTATTTTACAATTTTGTAGCACTGTCAAAAATTTGCTGGTTTTGTTATATTACATGTCAGTGTCTCTATTGTAATGTAAACATAGCAAGAAAATAAAGAATAGAAAAAATACGGGCTAGTAGCATAAGGGAGAATAATAATCATTCAATTAATTATTATATATTCCATATTAAATACAGTAACGTATACATTTTTAATTATACAAAGAATAACAATTGACCTAGTTTGACACAAGCCCAAATGTTTAAGAATTACGAAATCTGAAGACCTTCGTGAAAATGAATACAACGAAGCGACACACCATCGCATGTTACATTCCAATACGTGGAACAGTACAGCAAAATCAGCAAAATAAACTAGGAATGTTCGCGGGACATAAAAACTAAAAAAATTGGTCAACCAGTCAGTCAGTAATAGCTGAGCACCGTAACTGCCCGCTCAGGCAGTGATCGCCGGCTCCGGGTCGGACGCGATAGCGTCCAGTACGCGATCAGTAATAGTCAGGCAGTCGGTGTCTTCGGGTAGGGTTGTTAATACGAGGGACCGCACCGGTTTTTCGGATTACGCGCGAATATTTCGACGGGTATAGTACCACGTAAGTGTCGAGTACCGAAGTTCGTGACAAAACGAAATATTCTCCTCAACTGAATCCGAATTTCCAGAGGAACTGAAGGGCGTGTCACTAGCTAGAGTCTAACTACACGAAAGGTAACAAATTTCTATATACTAACCTGAGTAATTATATAGTACAGATTGTCACCCCTTTACTTTCTTGCTAAGCTCTCTTCTCGTCTCCCTTCGCGCCGAACGACTTATTATTGATTATATTTGACAGCTTGTTAACTTAATTGTAATCCACTTAGTATATTCAATAAATTGTAGACTCTAAGGTTGGTTTTAATGTTCCTTCCGGCCGATTCAGACAGAGACTAGGAGAGTACAAGATTTCTGCTTATGCATATCTCCGGCTTCTAAAGTAAGCCCATAAACCCGACTCATTTACAGGACATGAGACCTAGAAGTCCTTAACCCCTATTCCGAAGTTCCTTACCTTCTCGTAAATCCACGAAGGCGAGCCAGCCCTCCACACTAGTGGGACCAGTATTCCTTGCAGCCGCTCGCAGGGATAAGCATCCTTTAAGGTTCATATCGAGAACATCATACTATAATTTGCGAATTAAATGAAAGTTTGGACTCAAAATGAGCAGTACGTCTGCTTTCTAACAATGTAGCAGCAATCCCAGATGATGGTATGATAGGTGCAATTTGGCATAGCATCGGGATCGTATTTAGAATTAAAAAAGTAATATTTTAAAAAGAAAAAGCATGATCATTATAATTTACATAAAAAAATTAAAGAATTATCTGGAAAATCACGAACAAATACATCTAACCGATTAATTGACAAAAACAATAAATCTATTAATAACCCAATTGAAATAAAATAAGTATGGACTAAATATATTGAAGATCTTTTCATGGACACAAGAACGGAACCAACGCAAATTGCGAGGAATCTCCAATAATATTAAAATCTGAAGACCAACACGCTATAAACAACTCAAAATCTGGCAGAGCCCCTTGACCACATGAAGTTCATATCGAGCTGATTAAACTTATAGACGAAGATAATTTAAGTGCAATAACTATACTATTATAATGATTTTATTAGTCCTAATTTATTGTCTTTATTCTAATTTATTAAAACTCACGATAATTTATCAAAAGTCTTTATTTTATACTAATTTATTTTACACTTAATAATTACAAATAATTTATTTGCGTTCGATAAAATTTAAACCACGTTCCGCGAGTTTCTTTTCTTCACTAACTCCCTCAATAAAACTCATGGTATTTATATATAAAATCTCGAAAAGTCTGGGGATGCACCGATGACGTTACATCCAGTAGCTGACTCATCCAGCGGGTCTCGAAAAGTCAATCGCATTCTGGTAAATTCAGAGAATCGTCGGCGACGGCATTCTTAGTAACTGAACCGGTTATCCGACCATTTTTCTAGAATTCGGTAGTCTATCGGTATATCTGACCTAGGACGTTCGTGAATGAGTAAATATATTTACAGTTTTTATACGTCATAATATTTAAACTCGTAACACTATTTAACAACATATACAAATCTGGTGAGATACCTACAAAATGGCTGCTATCGACCTTTGTTCCGCAACCAAAAACCAAGAACCCCAAACACTGTAATGACTATAGATTAATCAGATTAATGTCACACTTATTAAAAACATTTTTAAATATTATACATGTAAGAATATTCAGACAGTGCGAAGCAAATATAAGTAATAGACAGTTTGGCTTTCGTAACGGTTTCGGAACAGTGGAACATTACTATTTAGTATATATTCCGAAGAGTTATTTACTCAAGCACTTGAAAACTATATAGAAGGGATGAAGATAAATGGTGAAAATATAAATAACATCCGTTACGCTGACGATACAGTCATTATCGCTGAAAGTGAGACAGACCTGCAGACGTTACTAAACACAATTTGTGCTACTGGGGAAAAGTTTGGTTTAACAATAAACATAAAGAAAACAAAAACCATGATTATTAGTAAAAGAGGCAAAGTCAAGACAAGGATCCAGATAAAAAATGAAGATATTGAGCAAGTGGACAAAATGAAATACTTAGGGGTTTGGATTACGGAAGATCTGAATCCGAAATCAGAAATTCGCTCAAGATTAAAGCAATCAAGAGCAGCCTTTTTGAAGGCGAGGAAATTTCTGAGTAACCAAAAACTCAATCTGCAAGTCCGATATCGGATGGTAAAATGTTATATCCATTCTAATGTGGCTTTTTAGGATAATTCTGAAGAAATCATGGACTGATCATATTACGAAAGAAATGGTGTTGCACAGAATGAAAAGAAAAAGAGAACTTTTAGCCACCATTAAAAGGCGAAAAACAGCATATTTGGGGCATATATAAACTTAGAAATGATAAGTACGAATTATTGCAGCTAATTACAAAGGAAAAAGGGGTCCTGGTAAACGACAAATTATCCTGGCTGAAAAACATTCGCGACTGGAGCGGGTTAAACACACATATGCTCTTAAGAAAAGCAGGAGATAGAGACCAATTTGCAATGGTTATTGCCAACCTTCATTAGTGGAGACGGCACTATAAGAAGAAATATACTTTTTACTGTCAATTTAAAAGTGGCACCTTACTGTGTATGGATTGACTCAAAGCATTTCTATAGTATTACAGTTCTCATTCTACATCTAGTGAATGCATCGTGTATGTTTTACATTCAATTAAAAATATACAGCTGTATGGTCGATACCATTCATCATCATCATTCAGCCTTCTGTGTCCACCTTGAACATAAACCTTTCCTGCCTTCGCCCAGCGATTCTTTTGACGCCATCGTGTAAGTGGCCTAGCTCTGTTGTTTTTTCTGTCTATCTGTTTATTAAATATATTAAAAACTGTTTGCCGCAGCACATATTTCCTTGTCGATAACAGTTTGTAGATAACATGAATCATTTTTGATATGTGTAGACTTAAGACTTTATGTGTGACAAAAAATTATAAGCCACACTTTATGTAATATATTCTACTGTGGGAGAAGCTCTATTTAACAGCCAACCCTAACTACTATTTTCTCAATTCTATACTAAAAGCAGTATATATCAATGGTTATAAACATTAAACATTGCTTATTACAAACTCTATTAGTACTCTTGCTCACACCTAGTGTAGATATAATCTTCCAAATGCTCGCAATAGAGGACTCTCTATTTAATCTTAATTTTTTAGTTAAGCCAGATACCCATACACTTCATAACGATCTAGCTAAGATGCTACCCTGTTTAGATTCAATACTGGTGGCAGAAACTAACATTAGTATTCTCAAGAAAGTTTTGGAAATTATTCTGAAACTGGATGTAACTGTATTAGATGAGGATTATTGCAAGGTATGTATTCAAACACAATTTTAATATTTTAAACATTTTTTCTGTTTAAATTCTGTTTAAAACATCTTTTCTTAACTGTGTCCATTATATTAACTTTATTACATTTTGATAAGTAAAACCATTGGTGTTCAACTAATAAATTAGTTAAATCCAAAATTATCTTGAAAGTTATTCCGTAAAATAAAAAAATAGAGTGTTGCTTAGAGAACAAACTTAGAGAAAAAAGCCACTCGAAAAAAAGACTGGTGGTTGAAGCGGGGCAGTACGGGGTTACATTTGAGGGCATGCATTTTGCATAAAAATTCGTCCCCCTCCCAATACAACTTGACTTATTTTTTTTTATTTTGAATAAACTCTTGACTTCTGAGATTCTGGGGGTGGGGGGTCAAATTTTCGGATAATTTATTGATCGATTGTTCCTCAAAGAGTTTCTGTTGTGATCGATGTCATTATAGCACAGGTTTTTTTCTTAGTAAATATATACTTTTTTTAAGGAATTTGGCGATATATCAAGCTCAGCCAGAAACTTATTTAATACTCAATACGATTTAAAATTGTTGGACTTGTCGGCACAAGTTTTGCACCATTTTACACAAGCTGGTGTTTACGCCGAAAGAGGAAGCAAACATGCGAAAATTATCTGTCAAGAGAATGTAGACACGTTTCTTCAGTTACTGAATACACAAGTAAGCCAACATTTACTTTTTGTATTTTTTGTATTTATTTTACGGTAATATAAACAAACCCAGAGCAAGTAAAGAGTTATATGTGTACTATACTTGGTCCCGTGAGTCTTTGCACATCTAATGAATTAGTGTTAAGAATATTACTCTGAGCGTAGTATATTATTTTTATAATTAGCTCATAAATATTTTATATAAAAACTTGTTTATATAAAGATAATGGTTAGTGGCAATAAAAATATTAAAAAAAAATTTAAAATAAATTTAAAACTTAAATAATATAAAGACCAGTTAACAACATAAAAGCTTTCACTTGGAAATTGTTAAAACTTGAAATTCTGCATTATCTAGATATCATTATTTTCTTCTATCGGCCCTGTTTATCTTTGGAGAGTTGTAAACTTGAAGAACCCCATTGTATTATTTTGATTTACCGAGATTGCAAACGGTTATAAAAACGTATTTTTTGCTTAAAATTAATTGATCAATCACAAATTAGTCCATTAATTTGTAATCTCACATTAATCTTAATTTCCTGATTTTGTATAGTTTCACCGTCAGAGGACTATGTCGAGGACGTCAGACTGACCTCTCCTAGGAATTTTAGTCGTTTACAGAAGTGCTACGCAGTTGCATAGTATATGTTCTGCCGTTTCTTTTTCATTGTGACAGAAACGACCATGGACGTATAAACATAGATGAACACAGCAATAAGATACCTTTAACACACAATGTTTTGAAGCTTCGATAGAATGTGATGCTTCCGCAATAAGCATAAGCGTGCTTGAATTTTTACTCGCGGGTAAATATTTAGATTTTAAAAATTGGAAGTAGTAATAATGTATAAAAACACATTAAAAGAATTAAAAAAAAAAAACGAGAGTTTAACTATTAACAAATCACGTCTTTATAGAAAAATTAAAATACAATTTTATTTGCTTTAAAATTAATACAATTAAATATAGTTTAATTCAAGTTAATTTTTTAATAGGTATCAAAATAATGCTACAATAAAAAATCTTTATGTTTTCTCCTAAGTTTTCTACCCAAATAGTTTGATCGTCAATATTATTTGGAAACCTACATAGAAAAATAAATGAGTTTTATTCATTTCACTAATTTATTTGTATTAAATTAAAAAGATACTAAACAGACCTTTTTTAATCAGATGATGTCTACACTCAAGTTAAAAATGTCTACTAATTTCATGAACTGATATCTTATTCAATACATTAATGAACATGAATAAACCCAATGGTACGCCTATTAAAATGTAAACAAACACGCTTCCTCATTTCGTCATCTTAAATAATGTAAATTGTATGTACCTACAAATGAAATGAGAGATCGGGATGTAAATATTTCGTTTATTTTACTTCACTTTTCACAAATATCACTTAAAATACAGCCAAAATATCGAAAAACAACTTTTCCTCATCTACTTTAAAAAGTACATGGAACAGCATTTGAAGCTTGACGTAGATCCAAAAGACAGAGAAATCTAAACAACCGTTGCCATTTATAAATACTTTTCAGTGCTTCTACATATAAAATAATTGATTGATATCTATTATACGCTATTATTAAATGATAATGCACACTATGTGCACACTTGATATTTTGATTACAATTAAATATATCAATCTAACCAATAAATTATTATTTTGGTTTGATAGCACCTGTAGAATATAAAATACGGAGTAATATTTTCAGCGACTCGCGAATAAGAAATTTTAAAACAAAACGTGATAACAGTTGAAGGTGCTGAGAATGTGACCTATTCAAATAATTTTGACTACACAATTTTATGTAAATAACTGAGTCCATCTGTGTTTATACGTCCATGGAAACGACAGTTCTCACTATCTGATTTGCCCATCTTCTTGAGATGATATCTCAGAGGGCAGTAACCAGTGAGAAGGCCAGTGCCCTTTCATCTATCTTAGATCCATCCGTATACCATACGAGTGAACTTTCTTTCACTTTTGACTCAATTTCTTCACCCATTTGGTGGTTTTTTATGACCATTTCAAAGGTTGTTTCAAAGTCGAATTTGACTGGCATAGCATCTGTCGGCATGTCCTTAGAATCCAATGGAATTTCTTCCAAGATTTTCAGGTGACCAACTAGATCTCCAGGTTTCATTATTTGTGTCTGTTGTAGTTTTAAGGCGGTAGTTGCTGCCTCCCTTCTTATGCAGAACTGCAAGGGAGGAAGGTTCAGCATCGCCTCTAGAGCTGCAGTGGGACATGTTGACATTGCCCCTGTGATTTCCAGACAAGCTAGTCGCTGCACTTTTTGCAGCTTGGCGTTAGCTGTTGTTTGTTGTGTTTTTGGCCACCATACGAATGATGCGTATATGACCATGGGCCTAATTACTGTTTTTTATGACCAGAGAGTCATTTTCGGTTGTAGCCCCCAAGTCTTTCCAAACGTCTTGCGGCAGGTCCAACTTGCCACCAAAGCTCTGGATAAAATTTTTTCAATATAACTATACCAGGTGAGTTTTTGATCTAGGGTTACCCCCAGATATTTAACGTCCTTGGAATAGTCTAATGTGATGCCATTCATAGTTGGAGCCTGTAAATTGTATTTACGTCTCCTTGTGAAAGGTATCAAAGTCGTTTTACTGGGGTTGACACTTAAGCCCTCTTTCGAGCACCAACTTTTAATTTCGTTAAGAGCAGTTTGCATGAGACTAGATATAGTCTGGTCATGCTTGCCCCTAATTTTAACAACTAGGTCATCTGCGTAACCTTGGGTTATAAAACCAGAATCATGCAGCTTAGTGAGGAGGTCATCCACAACCAAAGACCACAGTAGAGGCGATAATACTCCCCATTGAGGGCACCTCTTTACCGCTGTCACAGTCACAGATTCTCCTCCAATACTAACAGTGATGATTCTCGTTTTTAGCATTGACTGAATCCATTGTATTAGTGAGACTTCAATGCTTCTACTTACTAGTGCTCTTTTTATGGATTCAAATGAGGTATTATCGAATGCGGTAGTATCAAGATTAAATAAAACGAGCGGTTCGAATTTATATAAATATATTTATTTATAGGTTTACAGTTCGGTACTATCTTATCAACTCCCCCAAACTCATAACATCGTTACATATATGTACCAAAAGTATTGTTCTAGAACCATCTGGCGTAGTCTCACCTCTAATTCGTTGTTTGATGGGTCGTCGGCTCCCCCGCGCTCGATACATCTGTGGAAAGTTCTCGGCGCTTCGAGATGAAATCATTACATGGACCACGCCAAATGCATGTTCGTAATAATAGTACCTCCACCAAATTGAACTCTCGTAGTAAAACAACATTGCTGATAACGTTCACTAGCTCTTCTCCATATCCTAGGCCGCCCATGCCCATCTGATAAGTACTCGTTAAATCTTGATTCATCAGTGAAAAGCACAGCACTCCAATCGTCGACACACCAATTAAGATGTTCGCGAGCGAAGTGTAAACGTTGCCTCCGATGATCTGTTGTTAATAGAGGTCCCGTTACAGGTATTTTGGTACTGGTATTTAAACAGTATAAACGAAAACTGTGTTTCTATGGATATCATTTAGGTAATCGTTGAACAAGTACTGGAGCTGATAATGTACGATCGCGTAATGCTTGTAACTTAAGAAAGCGACTTTTGACTTAACTTGTGGTTCTTCGTCTACCTTGTCCTGGCCTCCTAGTGTATTGTCCTGTTTCCCGAAATCTTTGTATTGCATCAAATACTGTACTTCGAGAAATTTCTAAAGCATTTGCGATGTAATTGTTGAGAATGTAATACATTTATATTGTATACACAGATATATTGGTGTAAGAGTAAGCGGAACGCACCCATAGTGTCATGGGTTGACATGACAGACAATAATAGTAATGTCAATGAGTATCATGTAGTTGTAGGTAGTAGTAAGAAGTATGGTGGCTTAAGTTAGGTTAGTTAATTAGTATGTATGTTATAGGAAATAAAGCCTTTTATAATAGTAGTAAAGTACGACTATTTATTTTCCAAATCCACACCTTAACATGGTAGCAGAGGTCCGTGGTTGGAAAGTCGTACCTTTTACAACAGAAAAAGTTTGGTGCAGTTTGAAAAAAAAAGTGTGACACATGATGGCAGGTAGTAGTGATTTTAGAATACCTATATTCGATGGGGAGAATTATAAAATGTGGAAAAAACGTCTTATGCTATTTTTGAAAATGAAGAAGTGTGATGTTGTGGTAACCAGACCGAAAAATGAAAATGATGATACAAATTGGGATGACGATGATGTAAAAGCAATGAATTATATATGCGGTGCAATATCGGATCGACAGATGGAGTACATCGACGAAAAAACTACGGCGTATGAGATGATAAAGAAATTTGATAATTTATATTTGAAAGAATCAACGGCATTGCAGATAGTATGTAGAAATAACTTGGAAAGATTAAAATTGAACAACTATGGAGACTGTGCAACATTTTTTAGTGACTTCGAAAAAGCTATAAACGAGTTAAAAAGCGCGGGTGCTAGTGTGTCTGAAAAGGAAAAATTGAACTATATGTTAAACACGTTGCCAGAGTCGTACAGTTATATTGGTGATTTAATAGATACATTAAAAGAAGATGATCAAACTGCAGACTACGTAAAAACTAAGGTTATGATGTCCGAATTAAAAAATCAAAACAATGATTTTGGAAGAAAATCCAGTACATTTGTGGTAAATAAAGGTCGACAGGATCGATCATGCTTCCAGTGTGGCGAAGTTGGTCATTTCAAGCGAGATTGCAAAAATGGCGCCAATCAAGCGTCGGGTAATGGCGGACAAACGACAAGCAGTAGAGGCTGGTGGAGAGAAACGCGAGGTCGACAAGAAGCCGGAAGAGGAAGCTACGTCAGAGGACGTGGCCACTCACGTGGACAGCGCGGAACGCATGGAACAAGTGCACAGCGGTTCAACCGACAAGGACAGAAGAACGAAGAGCGAAACAGTGCTTCTTGGCTTACAACAGTAGCTCTTGGTAAGGATATGTCAGTTATTGCACAAAATACTGAAATAGGTAATGTAAATAATTGTATTGAAATAAAATGGCTTTTAGATAGTGGTTGTACAGACCACATTATTAATGATGAAAAATTATTTGATAAATGTAAATTACTTAAAGATCCCATTAATGTTTATTTAGGAGATAATAGGGTTGTAAAAGCTACTAAAATTGGAAATGTTTTAAGTTACTTTGATGCTTTTGGTAAAAAGAGTTTAGTAGATATGCAAAATGTTTTCTATGTTAAAGATATGAAATCAAATTTGATAAGTTATAGCAAAATAACAGAAAATAATAAGATTATTTCTCTAGGTAATATTTCAAAAGTTTTTGATAAACTTGGTAATATAACAGCAGTTGCTTTAAAAAATAATGGCTTATATATTATGAAAAGTAAATTAAAATCAGTTGAATTGCATGTAAATGTTGCAAATAAAGATATGAATAATATGAATCAAAAGGAAAAATGGCATCGTTTATTAGGTCATGTAAATTTTAAATATTTGAATATTTTATCTAAAGATCAGCTGTTGAATGGAATTCCTAATGAGTTTGAATCTGAATTTATGAAATGTAAGATTTGTATTGAAAGTAAAATGCATAATATTCCGTTTGTAAACAGTAGAAAAAAAGCTAAAGATATTTTAGAGATTGTACATACTGATGTTTGTGGGCCTTTTCGAACTACTGGGTTTAAAGGTGAAAATTATTTTGTTTCTTTCATTGATGATTATAGTAAGATTTCTAAAGTATATGCTATAAAATCAAAAGCAGAAGTATGTGATTGTTTGAATGAATATACGAATGAAAGTGAAAATTTGACTGGAAAGAAAATAAAGATTTTAAGATGTGATAATGGGAAAGAATATTTGAACAGTAAAGTCTACAGATTTGCAAAAGAAAGGGGTATAGTAATTGATAATTGTCCTACATATGTACATGAATTGAATGGGACTGCAGAACGGTTTAATCGAACTATAATGGATATGTCAAGATGTTTGTTGGCTGAAGCAGATATTCATAAAAAATATTGGCCTGAAATAGTTTGTGCTGCGGTTTATTTGAAAAATCGTACTTTATCTGATACAATTGAAAAGAAAACTCCATATGAAATATTTTTTGGACAGAAACCTGATGTTTCTAATTTGCGTTTGTATGGAAGTAAAGTTTTTGTACGAAGACCAGAACAGAAGAGAATCTCTAAATGGGATAAGAAAGCTGATATGGGAATTTTAATTGGTTATAGTAATGTTGGTTATCGTGTATTATTAAATGGCAGAGTCATTGTTGCTAGACACGTGGATATTGTTGAAGAAAACGTTAAGTGTATAGGTTTAGACTTTAACGAATCAGATAATGATAATAATGAAGAGTGTTACCCTGATAAAATTGATGAAAGCTCTGAAAATGACTCAATAGATGAAACTTTTGAAAGTACAAATGAAAGTATGGATGATAGTGTGAATAAAAATGAACCTGAGTTACCTAGATCTCACAGAGCCAAAAATCCTCCAAAGAAATTTGATGACTACTATGTATATAATAGTAGTATTTTTGTAAATATGTGTAGAACTGATATACCACATACATTTGAGGAGGCGATAAATTCTAATGAAAGTAAGTATTGGAAAACAGCTATGGACAAAGAAATTGATAGTTTAAATAAAAGTAAAACTTGGAAATTGGTTAAAAATGATACAAACAAAAATATTCTGGATGTTAAATGGGTTTATACTAAAAAGTCTGATAATACTTATAAAGCTAGATTGGTTGTACGAGGTTTTCAACAAACTGATGAAATTGATGATATTTATTCACCTGTGGCTAAAATGCAAACATTAAAGATTTTATTGTCATATTGTTGTCAAATGGGCCTAGTAATTGAACAAATGGATGTTGAAACAGCCTTTTTAAATGGTAAAGTAATTTCTGAAGTTTATATTAAACAACCTAAGGGTTACGAAGATGGAACAAGTAAAGTTTGTAAATTAGTTAAAGCTTTATATGGTTTAAAAGAAAGTCCAAGGGCATGGTATGAGTGCCTAGATACATTTTTGATAAATTTAGGTTTTGAAAGAAGTAATATTGATCCTTGTTTGTACGTTTATAAAATTGGAAATGATATTATTTACTTATTAATTTATGTCGATGATTTATTGATTTGTGGTAGAAATCTAAATGAAATTAAAAGGATTAAAATTTTATTATCAGAAAAATTTAAAATGAAAGATATTGGTGAAATTAAAGAATATCTTGGTATTACTGTTGATTATGATTCTAGTAAACATGAAATGAGATTGGATCAAAATAAATATATTGAATTATTAAGGAAAAAATATAATTTAGAAAAAGGTAAACTGTATAATACACCTATGGAAGTAAATTTAAAAATTGATAAATCTGATCATTGTGAAAGAAATATTAAATATAAAAATTTAATTGGTGCACTATTATACATAAGTTCGGCAACAAGGCCTGATATAAGTTTCAGCGTAAATTATCTGAGTAGATTTCAAAATTGCTATAATGAAACGCACTTTAAATATGCTGTACGAATTTTGAAATATTTATGCTTAACTAAAGATTTAAAATTGTTTTATAACAGAAATGAAAAAGTAAGTATTATTGATTGTTATGTGGATGCCGATTGGGCAGGTGATCATTTAGATAGAAAGTCTACAACTGGTTTTGTAATAAGATTGTTTGGTAATGTAATTTATTGGAAATCTAGAAAACAAAAAAGCGTTACAAAAGCTTCAACTTTTGCAGAGTATGTAGCATTGTCAGAAGCAGTAAGTGAATTGATATTTGTAAAAGAATTGTTGAAAATATTTGATATTGAAATAATAAAGCCAATTGATGTTTATGAAGATAACACTGGTACAATTAGTATAGCTAATTATGGCAATTTTACAAAAAATTCTAAGCATGTTGAAATTCATTATCATTATGTAAATGATTATGTTAAAGCAAATGTTATAAATGTGGTTAAAGTAGATTCTGATGATAATATTGCAGATATTTTTACGAAGTCCTTGGGCCAAGATAAATTTGAAAAATTTCGAAGTATGTTAAATTTGAATTAATGTAAATACAATGTAAATGTAAGGAGGCGTGTTGAGAATGTAATACATTTATATTGTATACACAGATATATTGGTGTAAGAGTAAGCGGAACGCACCCATAGTGTCATGGGTTGACATGACAGACAATAATAGTAATGTCAATGAGTATCATGTAGTTGTAGGTAGTAGTAAGAAGTATGGTGGCTTAAGTTAGGTTAGTTAATTAGTATGTATGTTATAGGAAATAAAGCCTTTTATAATAGTAGTAAAGTACGACTATTTATTTTCCAAATCCACACCTTAACAGTAATGAATGCTCCGCCCATCATCATGTAAAGCAATAGCTTGTGCTACTTCTTCTGGCGCCATTATTTTTTTAATGCAAGTTTTAAACAGGAGACAATACAAAAACCTACAGCCGAACTTATAATCAGGTACAGTACCACAATACACTTAAATTAATACTAAGTCACTATTTCACATTAATAACAAAAGGTATGTGTAAAAGTGTTGTTGTTCGCACAAAACATCTAAACAGGTTTAAACAAGAAAAAATGTTATCGCTAATAAGGCATAAAATACAATTCAAACAAATTAAACAAGTTTTTATCTAAACACCAAAAAAAAAACAAAAAATCTGAGTGTCCGGTCAATTTTGCACCCCACTGTATTTTATTGAAAAAGTGTCTTACTTTAAACTACTTGTATCTACCACTATTCAATTCCAGACTTAACATTAAATTTATTTTAGAGCGATCACCTACCAATAGTGGCAAATAGAGTTGCAATTTTATTTCAGTACTTTGATTTGAGTGAGGAATTAAACTTCATGGATCCTACTGGCATGAATGAAACGGTACGTATATTTTTAGAATATTTTCTGAGTAAAAGAACTGAACTATGATCTACTTAAAAAACAGAAAAAAACTTTTAAATAATTGATTTACACTAAAAAAATTACTAAAAATCCCACTAGATTCTTCTTTGGCACAGAAATTTTCCTGAGTTAAACATCATTGGACATCCATAAGGAATCACATCTTGTTTAACTCTATTAGTGTTGTGCCCGTACACACTTTGTAGATATCTTGACTATCTTGGTTGATGTCTTTAGGATTGAAATGAATGTACTCATAATTTGTAAATTACATCTTATATTTATGAAAGCATGTAGTACCATGTAGTAAAATGAAAATAAGTTAACCCCCCGCAGAAAATGACAGCATGTCATTTCATGACATTTGGTGTGTTCCGAAGGTGTAGGCCGGAACAGCAGTTTGTAATGTTATAGAAGATATAACACTCTTCTAACGTCGCAAAGGAACATCTGAGCAAGGCAAGGAAATAATACTTGAATCACCTTGAGTATGAGAAGGTAATCTATTGGCATCCATTCGTTCTGATTGTACCTCAGGTATATTGGTATTATCACCATTTGGTGTTGACTCACAAGCAGCTGTTTGTTTCTCGATATACAGATATACATGGGAACGTAATTTCTAAATCTATTTTGTAACGATATATTTTTTTTACCTCAGGGTAAGAACATGGGGTAGAGGATTGGCAAACAAAATAATCGTAACTGATGCGTACGACACTCAGAGGGTTGTTGAAGAGCTGGGTTGTGGATAAGTTGAATAAAATTGGTCGGATTGGGGTATCTACAAAATGAAAACAAAGGGATACTTACATAAATCTCCTGGGTAAAAAACGAACAAGATATGGCAGATAAGATTTACCTCTAGCTATTTTCTTTCTCCCAGCAAGAAAACTTCTTGCTGGGAGAAAGAAAAATTTTTCTTTCCTAAAATCAATAATACATAAAAGGATTAGGACACCTTTCTAAATTAAAACACAAAATGGATCAGACAAACAAATCAAAAGTTTATTTTTGTCTCAAACAAACAGTTTTCAAAAATACAGATTACACAAGAAGCATACTATATACATAATACAAATTAACAAAACTTACGTGTTATTTGTTTACAAAAAAGATTGCTACAAAAATTTTGAAATGGTTCCTAGGTTACAATGGCCAAATTCGATTATCAAAAACTTATGGATATCCTTTTTATGAAAATACTGTAGAATTTAACCTTATATATAGAATATCTTTTATATATAATAATCAAATTGAAATTTTTTTACAACAATGGATTAGAGCAAATGTCATATATGTCAACATAACATTTTAAAACAGAATAAAATATGAAATTTTTTAGCTACGACTCTAACATAATATAAAACTTTAATTATTACAAATTCTTTTATTTTAATGAAAGCAATTATTAAAAATATATTATATAAGGTAACAATTCAATATATTGAATTGTTACCTTAATTTACAAACTTTGAACTTAACTTTGAAACAAAACTTGCTAAATCTCTGGGATTGGAGCTGCAAGGACAAATTCTCAAACTGGAACACAGGAAACCATTTCCATATTCAGGAACGAAGATCTGACTTAAATGGGTTCGGTGGAGGAATCTAGCTGACAAACGACAACAAAGCTGGTGGGACATCCTATATGTTAATCCTCAAAACTTTCCATTAGTCTCCGGTACACTGTATAAATCTTCCGATGATTACTCTGTCTAAACTGATATGCAAAGAGTATTATCATCTTATCAGTCTTAAGATATAACACAAAAAAAATTGAATCGACTTTTGATTCAAATTTGCCCCAACATTACACCTCGTCTAAGTGCTATTTTTACTCTACATCGTTCGGTTGATCAGGCTTGACTACTTTACCGCGTTACCTTCTACAAATTCGACGCCACAATCCATTTTCCCTTCTGTCTTGCAGCTAGTTTGTCGTCAACAAAATTAAAACAAAAAAATACCTCGGACAAGTGTTCATAACAACCTTGAAATATCCACAGCTTATTGCGTGTAAGAACTTGTACGGGTTGGAAAATTTTAAATATAAACAAATTGTTTTCAACTACAAAAAACATCTTGAAATATATACTTTTAAATTGGGTAAAAATAACACGTAGTTTGTTGATTATTCTAGCGTCCCTAATTTTAAACCGGAGTTTCTACCTGACATTGTAACAGAGACAAAAAATTTTTAAAGCATTATTACGCATTTAAGAATCTCAACTGAAAATAAAACACAGATTTCTTGGTATAAACAACCAGGGGCGTACTGCAAAAATTTAAACAGAAACTATATTAAATATAAAACGCTACAATTTGACGCATTGGGTCCCTGTGCATTTGAAAACCAACAGATTTCTTGATTAAAAACAGTATTGCGTATAACAAACAATTTTGAAAGGCAATAATACATTAACCCCTTCAGTTATCGCAGCTTATTTTTTATAAAAACTGGAAACAGAAACGAATGTTGAAACAAAAAACTCATAAGATATCTTTCGAGGACAATATTTGATGCATGGAGTCTTATGAAGGGGTAGTGGAAAATACGACAATTTTCTCAAAAATATTGTATTTACAATCAACATTTCCAGTATCTACTTGGCTAAATACTGGAAATTAAAATTATTTAGGCTAAATTGCATCCCCTTCTTCGTTATGTCACATACTAACTATTATTTTGCATGCAGATGATGGTGCCCATTTTAAAATGCTGTTCTTGGCACTTACTATGGAATTTAAGAAAACTTAAACATCAAGCTCAGTTAAGAAAGACTGAAAATTTGAACCTGAAGATCAAAAACCTCGGTGTTGGAATCCGAGACTTTTTAACAGTTTGCATCAGCATGTTGCAAAAGGTTCAGGCTTATAGAAACAACGAAGAATTTATACAAGTAAGTTCTTTTAATTTCTATTTTATTTAATTTAACTATTTTTTCTAAATACATTGATTAAATTGTTTCGTTGTCGAGGAAAGCTTGTTAGAATTACATACCAGGTAGGAATTTGTAGAACTGAAAATATAAGATTTAACATGATATGGATAACTATATTTTTAAAAGAGGCAGAAAGAGAGAAAAACACTTTTAAATACTTATTAATTCAACTCATATTCTTCTCTTAGTCAATAAATATAACATTAAAAAAAATGTAAAAAATTAAAAGTAAAACTAAAATTATTATACACCATAACATTAATTTAGAACGATTAAAGACTTTTGGGAATATTCGAGTGTATTTCTGGATATTACTATAAGGGGTTGAACATTGAGGACAGAAATTATTGGGGTGGAGATAGGACAAACAAAAGATATCGAAACTTATGCGAACGGCCACTCAGGGTTTATTTGGAGAACTGAGTCGTGGATAAGTGAATGACAAGGGGATTGGATTGGAGCAACTGCAAAAATGAAATAAAGAGGTACTTACATGATTCTTCTGGACAAACAAAATACAAGAAGGTTCTCAAAGCTATTTAAAATAAGGACGCTGCTTTGAAGAATCTTCTTGCTGGATGAAAGAGAAGGCTATTCCTTGCTAAAAACACAAAAAGTGTTAGAATCTTTTTTTAAAATAAATAAACAAAATGATTTAGGCATAAATTAAATATTTAGTGCTGTCTCACCACAAACAGTTACAAAAGTAAATAGTACAAAAATACAATCAGTTTACAAACTCTAGAATTTGGAGATACTATAAAACCAAATAATTGTTAATGGGCGACAAAACATAATTTGTAGCAGAAATAAATTGTTAAAAATAAAAAAAATATCTTTTTAAATGAAACAGAGAGAAACACCTTAAAAAAAACAAAACGGCTTCTTAGGACAGACAAATTGAGGTTGGAAGTTGGCATTAGACACAAACTTCGAAAGTCTGCTTCTTTAAAAAACTGGAACCATGTGGGTATTTTTCAAATTTGTTGGAAACGACGCAAATCTCTTAGATACAAATCTCTTAGGTGAGAGACGACATAAAACAGAAACAGTGATTACTCGTTTAAAATTGACATATTAAATTGGGTATAATTCACTTTTTTAACCCATTTACCGGTTCACTCAAACAACCACGCAGCTGTGTGCTCTCAATGTTTCCCTTTCCCCGCGTACCAGTCCACACAATGGGCCAGCGAACCGGAATTCTTTTAAAAGGAGCATTTGACCTTGAATCATTGCTTGCTTTTATAATTGTAGAACTAAGACATACGAATAAAACCATATTTAACGTCGCAGTTATAACTGGAATTTGGAATTTTTCCTTTACATCACAATATAAACAGAGAATCAGCGAAATATTTTTACTTGCCCCAGAGGCGTACCAGAAAATTTTTTATTACTTGTATATTTGTATATAGTATATTAGATAGTTAAGGAATTTTCTACACGCTGCAAAGGGCAGTGGAGCAAAATATATAGCTTTGAATTATAATAGCTCTTAAATGATCCAGGCGTCATAACGTTCATTACAATAGAGCGACTCGAATAGACTGGACACATAATACAAATGCTAAAAAGCTAATCACTGAATCACCTATAGAAAAGAAGAGGCAGTGACCGACCGTGAAGTTGCTGATGGGGTATTCAAAGTAAAAAGATGGTAATAGGTAACCAAAAATCAATCAGAATTACAAAGAATGTTGGAACAGACCAGGATCTTCAAAGGATTTGTAGGATGTAAGTTAAATCTTATTAGAATTTCACGTAATAATACAAAAACAAATCACTTAAACGTAAACGTATTAAAGTAAAAAGGCACATGTAAAATATGTTATAAACAATAAATTTAAAAATAGCGTCCTTAGCGTAACGATGGTTGTGTTGAGACTCGAGTGTGGACTGTGTCTCTCTTCTCCCCGTCACTACCGGCATCCCCTCTCGAGGGGTGTAAAATGAACGTTGGGTTGTACTTAACTAAAAGTGTAGAATACACTTAACAGAATACAGTTTAACATGATTATCGAGCCAAAGATGATAATGATGACTCAAATAAACCAGCTAGTGAAATATTTCTTCAATAAATTATGGCTTTTATTTCAAAGTAATAAATTCCTTAAATTTAATAGAATTATTTTTAAATTACTTAATAGCTTTTATTTTATCCAGAACAACGATTATCAAATAATACCAAAAGAAACATTTTGGTAAATTAAAGCCATGTAATAATTTGTTGTAATTGTAAAGTTATTAACAAAAATAAGCACATTCTACTATCTTAATTAACATTAACCTCATTAGACAACGTCGCACTGACTTTTGTAATGCTACGAGTAGTAATAAAGCCATTTGTGGGCATTGTGAAATATATCAGCTATATATTCAGTTATTGGCGTTCCAACCCTGTAAATGTTTTAAGAAGGCATAGTTAGAATAGCAATATAATTTTCGTTGTAGATGTTTCATATCTTTTGTCAAACAAGTACAACGTTCACTCAAGAATGTGAAGTTGCAAAAAAGATTAATGTAAGCTTCAAGGAATTGAGTCTGAACGTTGAAGAACCTGCAGAACGACAATTTTTGCAGAAACTAGTCGACGCTAAAATTATTTGTAATAATGCAAGTAAGTACCTATCAGAATATATTATACATTTTTATGTAGGTATTTCTTTGTATGTTTATATAGAGCAGGTTTTTTTTATAATTGCCGCATCCACCAATAAAGGTTTTACAGTTACTGAATACAGTTATTAATTATTAAATAATATATAACTATTCAATTTTATGTAGTTATTTCTTGATGCATCAGTAAAAAATTTGTTATAGCTAGTGTATTTGAGCAGGTTTTGTTAATTTCTAATTTCTATTTAAAGACTGTGAACTGTTTATAACAAAATATCTTTTTAGTGCCACTAGATGAACGAAGACGATTGTTGGAAGTTTATGTTAGAGCCATACATCTGGGCATTCTTCCTATACAAACGTTGCACAAGGTGTACAAATATTTTCATTCAGTAAGTAGACCATTTCTATCGAAGATTTCTATTAACTTTTATTTACATCTTCCATAAAATGAAATTTTTCTGCTATTAAAAATACACAATTTTATTTTGAAATGCTCTATATCTGTTACCAATACACAGTGTAAAGTTTTAGAGCAATTTTACACAAAAAAATGTTGTTGATTGTATATACATAAGTTCAGTTTAGAACAACACTGGTTTTTCTAGTTAATATAATATATTCTATATATTACGAAATACAAAAGAAATATGTCGAGTGACGACCGGTCTTACCCTGCGTAGCTGCATTTATACTCTCAGTATGAAGACCAGGGTGGAAGTACCTTGTTCCAATTGTCCACGTACATACATAGGATAGACAAACCGACGAATCCCTAACCCTAGCCTCAGCTCCCTAACTTCAACCCTAGACCAATATCATATTTCGACAGGTCATAAAAAGGATTTCGAAAAAGCAAAACCATCGCTCCCGTTCGCTCCTTAAAATCGAGAATTTTCCGTGAATCCATCGAAATTGAAAAACGAGCAAACAGCTTAAACACGCTAAAAGACTGCCGGCAACATGGTGACCGCTGCTTCAGCGACCCCCGACCCAATCCATTCCATTCAGACCGTTTCCCCGCATACTGAGAGTATAAAAGCAGCTACACAGGGTAAGATCGGTCGACACTCGACACTGAGGAGTAGGCAGATTGAGATCTCAGCGCCGTTTGACGGTTCTTGTATTTCTACAGAACAAGGTACTCGAACGAAACCATATCCTTCTTGATAATGGCTCCAAAATGGGTGCCGCAACGTTTACCTGACCGTGGAAATGTATCCGAATATAAAGACGATTGCGTTTCCTTTTTGACTCTCTCATCATTTTACTACACGTGTTTTAAGCTCTACCTTTCGTCAGGAAAACTTGTGAAGACTGAACTAAGTATTTTTTTGTTTACATCAAAAAGTGCACCTAACACCTTTATTACCTCATGTCTTCAATCATGGCAACAATAAATCACCAATTGCTTTCGCTTTCAGTTCAACGAAGATTATGGTGAATTGATAGAAGCTTCCCTAAAAACTCTTCACACGATGGATGCTCTCGTTACACCCTACCCTATTTATCATACATTAAAAGAAGTTTTTGAGGACATTCTCGAAAGATATAATGGCGTTGTAGATATTAGGTCCGAAGAAGGAACACAACTAATGGTAAATGCCACCCTTATTCTCAGAGTGCATATGTTTAATTTGTAACATTAAATGCTTTGCTTATTTTCAGAAACTTGCCAATCAATTTGCCACCTCTAAGATTTTACGTGAGTCTAGTATCCTGTTCAGAATATTGATACTTCTTTTTGATTATGCATTTAAAGATGAGCAAAAACTTGTCTTCCTACACATTGCAAAACATTTCTTTAACGCTATCGACAACAATGATACTAAGAAAAAAACGTAAGTATAAACAATTTGAAATAAAAACGAATAACTCTACATATAGTATAATTATTCTTATTCACCTTGAAAAATAACAAAAATCGAGCTAAAAAATTATTAAAAGTCCTTTAAAAAGGTAAATGCATAGATAAATAGATATGTTCAGCAGGGTGGAGCGAAAAAGTCGATATTTTTTTGCCATGTAATACCTGCGAAAAGTTGACTGACTATAGTATACTTGCTCCTTAAGTTTCAGTAGAAAATAAAAATATCTTCAGGGCTCTACCGCGCATCAAAAAAAGACAAAAATCAAGAAAAATCGGTTTTATTAATTTTTTTTCTTTTAATAAATAAAAAAAGCTACTTTTATGGGTATTAATTATTTTCTATTATTTTAGTTAAAAACAATGTCATTAGAGCTCTATCTGTCACCCAAGTAAAACTATGAGCAGTATTTTTGGAAATAAAACAGATCAAAAATCTCATCAAATAATGTTCAATTTTCGCCTTGCAGTTAATTTTTATTAAACAAAGCTACGCCACTGGTAAAGGCTTCCCGTGAAATTTTCTTTTCCTGTAAAACATCTTTTGACCTATTTGGTGTCTTCAGTCCCACTGTGATAGCCGTAGAGATAAGATCGTTATTGTAATAATTAATCGGTACGTAATGCGTTTGCCAGTGAAAGACACTAGGGGCACTAGTAATTGTCCTATATTTGGTGCACCTGCGAATATACCTTCTAATGTTTTGCCAACTATAGAAGATGTTCTATATACTTACTAGGAATTAACTAAAAGGTATGGATTCCGGCAAGGATCCTAGTGTTCTAGATATTTCTCAATTACTTACCAGTGAAATCGAGCCATCTGGGGAAAAAGCCTCAGTTTCCACTGTATCAAGCAATCGTATTATTCGATTAATTCGTGATATCCTGAGTAGGTACCAAACTCTGATCAGATATCCAAAACAAAAACGTAATGAGACATAACTTAAGAGTAAAGAAAGTTCAAAGATGATTCAAGAAAACTCTTTGATATCGTTCCATTTGATTCATGTGTTTGTGATAAAAATGTAAAATACCACCTATAGAAAGAGACTTTATACAAGATCAACGATCAAAGAGAAAATTTGTCATTGGGAACGAAACGAATTGGGAATTGATGTAATCGAAACGGAAAAACTACAAGCCAAAGAAGAATGACAAATTAAGGCCAAGAAGTATGAAAGAATTTCAAAAGAAAAAGAGAAAAATTATCTTAAAGATCACAATCTCCAGTATAATGTACAAGATAATGTTAAATTTGAAGGAAGACGACATGAAATTTCAACAATCATATCACGTCGCAGTACCAGTCAGCAAATGAGATTATCTATTCCCAATTTAGCATGAATTTCGGATCAATTTGGCATATCAGACCGGTGTGCAGCAGCACTTGCGTCTGCACTATTGCAAGATCTGGGAATTATTTCGAAAAATGACACCTCTTCCGTTATTGACCGAAGTAAGCTCCGAAGAGCACGTCAAAAGCACCGTTCTGCTTTGCAAAGTGAATTCGAATCATACACCGCAGAGATAATAAGATTATACTTCGATGGCAGAAAGAATAAAACTGTGCCAAGAAAAGGTTGGAGATAAACTTAATTGCAAAATAAAAACCGAAGAACACATTTCGTTACTTAAAGAACCAGGTTCTAAATATCTAAATAAGATGACTCCAACGTCAGGTACAGGAAGACATATTGCCACATCTGTTTTAAATTTTTTTGAATAATCCGGTATTGGCACAGAATAATCTTTTGGTAGTAGGCTGTGACGGTACAGCAGCCAACACTGGGAGGAAGAATGGGGTTTTACGGTTCTTAGAGACAAAACTAAAACGTCCTCTGCAGTGGTCAATTTGTCTGTTACACATGAAAGATTTGCCCCTCCGGTATATCTTTCAATATCTCGATGGAGAAACTTCGGGACCTCGTGAATACTCTGGGACTCTAGGTAAACTATTGGAGTCTTTCAAAAATTTGTCAGTAGTCCATTTTATTCATATTCATACCACTCTACCACAATTAGATGCTGCAGTTATAAGGCACCTTAGCAGTGATCAAAAGTACTAATACGAAATTTGTCATTCGGTTTCTAGTAAGGAAAGTAAGTACTCGATAGATTTAGCAACTCGTAATCTGGGTAAATTATCACATGCACGATGGATTACTAAGGCAAATCGTATATTGCGTGTTTACGGCGGAAGTGAAAATCCGTCTTAGGTTTTAAGATCTTTGGCTGAATTTGTGGTAAAAGTTTATGTGCCAGTGTGGTTTAATAATAAAACAAAGCCATCGTGTAGTGAAGGAGCAAGACACGTCTTTAAAATGATTTATCACGTTACCCGAGCAACGAGTTAAAAGCCGTCATTGATCCTGTATCAAAAGAAATTCGTATTTTTATGCATAAATTGTTTGTTTTCTATATTAAAAGTATTTACAAAATAAGAGATTTTTATTGTTTTCTATATTAAAAGTTTTTATAAAATAAGGAATTTGTATTTTCTTGTCTACTTAAATGTATAAGATTTTTTGAAGCTATAAAAGTTGGTAAAAGCCTAATAGTCATTAATACACTTAGCTTCCGCGCTATAATATTAGAAAAAAAATTAATTATTTTGTTTGTTTCACCCTGTAGAACCCTGAAGATGAAATAGTAGAAAAAAATATAAAAAACATGGTACTCCTCTTTGCAGTAATCAACTTTTCCGCGCTATTACATTAAAAAAAATTATTATTTATTTTGTTCCACCCTGTAGAACCCTGAAGATGAAATAGTATAAGAAAATATAAAAAACAAAAATTCTTCATGTTTCACCTACCCTAATGTTCAGTGATCCATCCATTACTAATCTATTGGTGATTTTTAGACAATCAGTGTTTAAGCGAAAAATTAAGCCGGAATTTGAAAAGAACGATTCTGTGCTATTTTTTGTATCATTAATGAAGTTATCGTTGAAAGAAAGCAGTACGGGACCGGCTAAACAGAGAAGAAGCTCTACGATAGAAAATGTATCTCCCAATCAAAGCAAAATACAAGATCTATCCAAACAGACTGATGTAACAACAACAGAACATTATTCACCTAGAAAGAGATCTAGACGCATTTAAAAGATAATTTCTCGTATTACTGACTTAATTTATGTGCAATTTTTATTTATTTATTTATTTATTATTATTAGATTTAGGTCTTATTGCTGAGAATAGAATCGAACTGTTGAGTAAATATGTATGTAATTGTTTTCTTATAAAACTTGTATGTACGTAAATGAAATGTATATATTAAAAGTTCCCAACCTTTTTCAGTTATCGGCGCACTTAGTTTATTAGTTGAAGTACCCGTCGGCAAAAAAATTTTCTATAAAATACATTCATTTTACAAATTCCCAACTGTCAACAAACGCAACTAAAAGCCAAACAGGGTCATACTGGGGTGTATCATATGATTTTTTAAAAATATTTACTTTTGAAATTATTAGTGTAAGAATTTCTTAAAATTTAATCATTGTGAGCAAAATTTAAGGTTCCATTGAAGAAAAATGTGCTAAAATAAATATTCATTAACTAAGAGATACATAAAAAAGTGAACATTTTGAATAAAGTAGCATTGCCATAACTTATCAAAACATACAAACATACCATTTAAATTACTCAGATTCTGAGGAGCTACATGTGCTGCTGTCTTCGTCTGGATTTATTATTATGGGTTCGATATGGTTCTCTATTATATTGTCCAACTTCCACATTTTGGACTCACATTTATTTTGTTTGTGTGATTACCGAAGCTATTTTTACTTTTGATTAACAAATACTTTGTTTTTGGATACTAAAAATTCACTACACACTATAAACCTTAATACTAAACACTTAAACTAAACTCTAAAAAATAACACGACCAGTAAATGACTTAACAATAACTATAACATATAACACACAATATATTATCTTAAATACCAACACGCTAAAAATACAATTTAAATTTAACAGACTGGCAAGTTTGGACCTGTAAAATGAGAATCCGTCTGGCTTAAGGCAATAAATTATTTTTAATAGCCTCTTGACGAATGAGAGGGCGAATATCAACACGTGTTTGGGAATTTGCTGAACGCATGTACCATAGATATTCTCTCAAACTTTCAGGATTCCTTCATTAGGTCGAGTCTGACACGGTTTCCCTCTGCGACTTTTTTAGTTCTGGGACGATTTTCTCTTAATTTTCTCGAAACATGTCGATCCTACGACATACCGAAAGTTAATAGATACCTACTTCTATTTTTTTTAATTAAATAACTTAAAAATTATAAGAAAAATATGAAAATAAAATGATCTGATGATAAGTATAGGCCATTCAACGTATGTAAAGACTCGAACATGTCGGAAAACAGACTGTGCCGGAATTCATAGATAACGAGTTAATTTTTTCAGGCTACGTTCATAAACAGCAGAAAAAACAACTTTTCATATCGTCTGACAGAACTTGTTTTCAGATTTTCGTGTCTGACTAGTGAAAGTGGTTGATTTTATGACTATCAAAAAATTTATTAAGTCAGACATAAAAAGGTATTCATAGAAAACCAGCACTGACTACGCGGTACAGATACAATCTCTGACATATATATTGGGACATAACTAGAGTCTGAGGAGAAAAAGCAATTTTAAAGCAGTAACAGACCTACATTTGTAATCATTACAATCTTATAATTTGTTATTATTGTTATTTTAACAATCAATATTCAACTTGTTTAAAATATTCTAAAATAAAATACTTTATATGATGATTTTCTAATGAAAAGGTACTCAAAGTTTGAAGAGAGTATCTATCATAAATTTTTTGCTGACGGGCACTCTTATATGTTTAAGGAGAGCTTAACAAATAACTTGCAACTATGTTGTTACACTATTGACAATCTTGTTGAAGTGGTAATCACTATTTGTTTTTATTTTTATTATTTAGTGATAAATTCTTCACCAATGAATGATAATTCACTGATTATTTTTGTATAGCTTTACTAATATTAATTGATCTGTAGTAAATAAGTATCCATTTGATGGCAGGTGTTTTGTATGATACATTGTTTTCTATGTTCATAGTCATTGTATGAAATTATTTGTGTAATATATTGAAGGCTTATCAATGTTTATATAATTTATTTCCATTTCCCACGAGGTTAACATACATTCTTTTACAAATATTAGTTATGTCCAGTACAATTACAAAATATTGGTTATATTCAAAAGAAATATTTCCAGACAGTTACCCATAAACCAGGAAACACTCTCATTATCATACTTTGATTTATAAAGAATGAATATTATTTTTTACAGATTCCATAGCAGAAACTATTTAATGTTTCTCATTGTTTCAAATATAAAATACAAATTCAATAGTCAGCAGGTCTGACTATTGAATATGGTTTGTGATACACTGAATCCCAAAATGAATTTTTGCAGTAAGTATGATGATATCACTTACTTGGTAAGTCACATTACACAAACTATGTAGTTTAGTCAGAGACTAAAAAGAACTGAACATCTAAAAATTATACAAACAAGCTGAATTTTGTTGAGAATGTCAATTTTGGAGGCCCAAAAATGATGCAAAAAAGTTTGCCTTCTACTTCTATCCAAAGACTTCCCTTAAATCTCCCCTAATAGAAGGGAAACAAAACACTTTGATTTACCAAGAACAAATACACAACACAGAAAAAATGTTTGAAACAAAAAATGTAGCTGAGATAATTTTGAACAAAAACATTTACTATAAAATAGCATTTTTTTATAGAATAAACTATTGTCTCAAAAACAATCCTTGGATATAATAATATCAAATAAAATTTGATTTTATGAATAATAAAGAGCCACACAAGATAGCAACAACTTTTATTCAAGGAGAAATGTATGTAAAGGCCTGAAGTCTACTATATACAGATCTCCTGTGTGAATATTACATGCATGATATGGACAAAAGTGTTGGTTTTAAATAGTAAGAGAAGTGGTAAATAAGGGAAAGTGTTTACCTTTTGCCCTTTAAATTGTCCATATTAATAACCACAAAGCGGTTACTTGATTCACATAATAAGGAAAATAGTTAGATGGAACAATATGTAGATGATAAAAAAAAGAAAGAAACCAGAGACGCCCCAGTTGTCATACCTCAGGTTTTACAAAGAACCTTGAATTATTAAATAACCAAATATTTCCTTCATAATTATCAACAATAGCTAATTAATTTTATTAAATATTAAAATACAACAGTTTCAGTTATAAATAAAATATAAAACTCTATAAAAAGTGTAATACAAATTAATTCACCAATGTTAAATATTTTTGATCACTTCAGTTCTACTTTTTATCTCTTCCACATTGTCACTAACTTCTTTTGAGGTTTTCTCTACATCTTCAATTAACCGCCTTAACGTTTCATAAACAGCTTCTAGATTATTAGTCCCTGTTAAAAACTCTTCCATTTTAGCAAGTTTGTTTTCTTGTGGAGGTTTTTCATCTAGGGAATAAAACAACATATTTCGTTGGTCTTCACAGGTACATGCTGCTTCAATATCTTCTTTGATTTCTGAAGACGTTAGAGAAAATGGTCTTTTTTGTGGAGTAGTTGCAGTATTTCTTCTAAACATTTTTTATTTTCGACTTTTCCAGTTTTCTGACACTGATTAATGTCATCACAAAATAAATAATATAACCTTAATAGCAACTATTACAACACGACTGTATCACATCGTCTTCTTTTTTCCTTCGTAAAATAGTAGTAAATTGCGTAAAAATAAGAAAACCATTTGAAAAGAGCATTGCCTCCGTAAACAGGGGACCATGGAAAGCAGCAAGTAAAAAGATACTTAGGAATAAATGCCGTTTAAATCTCGGTACATTAATACATCTCAGTATAAATACTATTGTTGGCACGTATTTACTAGTACAACACTGGATGAAGCTATCGTAGGTAATATAATTGCTTTTCTGGGTCTATATAAAAAAGAAGAACCACATATATGTTTAATGTTTAGTTACACGTCAAAAGGTCACATACGTCAACAACACAGATTTAGGTTAGTTTGTTTGGTTTTATTATTTAAAAATCTTTAAAATAAAATTATGGAAAATGTACGCAACAGAAAAAACAAAAATGATTCCAAATTAGCTAGAAAATATGTAGAAGTAATTAAAGACAGCTCGAATAATGAACTCGAAAAGACCTGTGATAAACAAGATATTAATGATGACTATTCAGGAAGAAATTCTCCAAACATAACGGAACCAACCCCAGAAAAAGTGGATGTTAAATGGAAAGAAAAGCCAAAATTGTTTAGGATCAATTGTGAAATAGATGTTCTTTCATTAGTTTTATTTTTATTTGGAATTTTGACTCGAATGTACAATTTAGAAGAACCTAAAAATATTGTGTAAGTTATTTTTTTATTTTAAAATTTGTGAGTTCTTAGATGATTAACATCAAAACAATTCAGTAGTAAATAATAAGGGTAGAAAGTTATGTATCTTCACATCTATATTTATGTTTTTGTATCCTCAGATCACTGGGTTTGGGAATAATTTGGCAGTCTTTGTTGGAAACAATATAGCACAAAAATTTCTATTTCTCACTAAAAATAGCTAAAACATACTTACTGCTACAGACTTCTCTAACTGAAAAAAGAGGAATAATCATAAATAATGAAAGTGTAACTTTCTATTTGTAGATACTTATCTATAAATCATTATTAAATTTCAAAAATAAACATTTTACTTTTTTTAATTCTTATAGTTTTACTTTTTTAATAAACTGTATATAAATAAAGTGAAATCTGGATAATTTGAATCTAAGGGGACCCTTAAAAAAATTGAATTAAAAATATATCCTACAAAAAACGTTGATACATACAAAAGCTTCTGCAAACAATAAAAATCAACACTATTGCAGATGTTTTCGTTCCTATTCTTGCCTGAATTTTGTCAACCGAAAAAAATGGACAAACAAAATTCTACCAAGAATACCAATTAAAACATTTGCAAGCTATAAAAATGGTCAATTATTCTCATTATAACTGGTATTCTCATTGGTATTTGCGGCCAATCTTCTGTCAATATGTTTTCAACCAAAAAATGTGTTTTATGAACATTTTTTCTAATTTCACCAGTCATTTTTCGAAAAGATTCCTAGCCATCCAAGCTCTTGTGCTGCTCACATTTTCCACTGGTTTTGACTTGATGTTCTGAAAACAATGTGGATTAGCCGACTTATCAATCATCAGCAGAGGCAGCACTTCTGATCCGTCCATTTTTGCACTAATTAGGAGAGTGACTCCATGACATTTTTCATTTTTAAATGCCAGTGTTTTGGCAGGAGTGCATTTAAAAAAAGACCTGTCTCGTCAACATTGAGTAGAGTAGAGTAAATTTTTATTTGCATAGATTTTTAAACATAATTGAGCAAATAACGTTATATTATTAATTACAGATTAATATATATATATATATATATATATATATATATATATATATATATATATATATATATATATATATATGTATATTGACATCACACATTTAAAATATATTAACATTACAAATTAAATATACTGATCAAGGAGAAGGGTAGGTCAGGAACTCTGCCACAGTATATCAATGTCGTAGCAATGTCAATGTATATCACAGGCTAAATGTCAACTAGGTGTTGAAAAACCTTTCTTTTAAAAGCTCTATAGTGTGTTTCCTGTTGAATGTCAGATGGTAGACAAATTCAAATTAAGGCTTCTTGTATTATAATCATGATTGGAAAGCAGGTGATAAAATAAAGAAACATTTTTAAAAAGGAACATAATATATTCAAATATATAGATGGCTGAGAAAGTGAGTATATTGAGTGATTTGAATCAGCCTCTACCGGATTGAAGATATCTCTTTTATTATCCTTTCTATCCTTTCCGATCTCTTGAATCATCTCCAATTTTTTTCCATTTGTTGGCTTCTTGCTGATTAACGGCTCCACTTTATACACAAATGGATTTTAATGAAATTGTGTTCATTCTTTAAAGCCATCTAGCCACCCTGTACTCACTTTAAAGTTGTTTTTCCCTATTTCAACGATAAATTGTTCAGCTTTGCTTCTTATAAGGGGATGTGTTCACAGGAATCTCTTTATCCCTGGCTTGTTTGAACCAGTTTAAAACACATTTGGATTTTCTGGCTCCCTTAACCATTTTCGTTCTTTACCGCACTCACTTTCACTCTTGAGATTTTTTTCTTTATTCTTCAACTAGGTATATCCACCTACTTGCAGAAGTAGGTGTGAATTATCATGTGTTAGGAGGAATTCCAAATGCCTGGGCAGTCCAGAATTTTTCTTTGTCCCATTTTCTAGTGCTTTAATTGCCACTATTTTTACGATAACATCAAAGTTTTGTATGTTCGAAGTTTACTGAAGGGGCGTGCCTGATGGGGAGAATTTATGGCCAGTACAATGCCTGTACAAGGCCAGTACAATTGAATGTCTTGAAACAAGTGGCGTGTGAGGACAGAATAATACTACCTTTTTCCACAGAAATTTGAACAATATGACTCACAAATTTTCATCTTTGATAATTTGATTGAAAACTGAAATTTACTCATTCCATTTTGAATAAAAATGCTTACAATTTTTAATGTTGAAGTCCATCTGGTTTCACAGTTTTTTGGGATATTTCAATTTAGATTTGAATTCAGAATAAATGTTCTTTTCAGCAAATGATTAAATAAAATCAGGAATTGATGTAATATTTGCAAAAAATATCCTACAATTTCTAATACATTTTGAGCGACCTTGAAAAGCTAAATTTAATCAATGAGTACAACAATGTGTAAAGAAGCTTTTGGAGCATCTACTTTATTGTTTGATTGCGATCCATTTAAAGATGTGGCCATTACACTTGCACTATCGTAACATTGAGCAATCATTTTTTTTTGTAATCATATGGCTCAAGAACATTTGTAATTAAACTATATAGAGCTTCTAAAGATCTATTCTCGTTAATATAAAAAAAAACCCTAAACTTCACAAAGATATTTAAATTTAAATATATTTCTTTTCAGGTTTGATGAGCTGCATTATGGAAAATATGTTTCGCTATATATGAAAAACACATTTTTCTTCGATTCACACCCGCCTTTAGGCAAACAACTCATAGCTGTAATGGCATACCTAGCAGGATATGATGGTAAATTTAAGTTTGATAAAATAGGAAGCCCATACACTTCTACAATGCCTTTATTGGCACTAAGATTTGTTCCTGCTTTCTTTGGCAGTCTGATAGTACCAACTGTGTATCATCTCATGCTAGAAATGGGGTTATCTCAGTGGAGTTCCCTTTTGGCAGCTTTGTTGTTTTTGTTCGATAATGCATTTTTGACACAAAGTAGATTTATTCTGATGGAGTCAATGCTCATCTTTTTTTCTTTGTTTGGTATTCTAGCTTTGTTAAAGTTTAGAAAATATATAGAGAGGCCATATTCAGTCTTTTGGTTTTTTTGGATAGTAATTTCTTGTGTTTCTTTAACTTGTGCTCTTAGTATTAAGTATGTTGGCTTTTACACCTGTTGTCTAGGAGCTATTATTGTTTTACAAGATTTCTGGAGACTACTGCCTTCGAACAAACTATCAGATCAATCTCTTTGTCTAAGATTTTTGATTCAATCTATAACAGCTTTATTTATAGCAGGGTTAGTTTATATTAGTGTTTTCTATGTCCATCTTAACACTTTATATAAAGCTGGACCTCACGACAGTATTATGACCAGTGCATTCCAGGCTTCTTTGGAAGGTGGCTTGGCTAGTATTACCAAAGGACAGCCGTTGTTGGTTGCTCATGGATCACAAATTACACTACGGTATGTATTTATATTCGTTTTAAGAAAAAATTTTAACATGTTCAATAAGATAATGACAATATAATTAAAATATTAGTATGGAGCGATCTAGGAAATTCCCACTTGGATTAAGTTATGAAAATTAAATGTCCTAAGTCTTAAACAGTAGGCACATCATTATCTTTATATGGTAACATCTTCTTATGAAGATTGGCAACATTCTCAGCAAAGTAATGCCTATCTGGTGCAGTTCAAACCAGTCTGATCTCTTATATTTTTCAACCAAGAATATTGGCATCTTTCCTGCCCTCCCAGGCCTTCTATTTTCCCTTTGATGATTAACTTTTTCATATTTAACAGTTTTTTCATCTTTATTTCACTGTTGCGGGAATTACCAAGTATAAAGTTTATGGGGTGAAATCTTAATGTTGTTGCTCAAGTTTTTATTAAGACGAAATCTTCTTTATGACAGAATTGTATCAATGTACGCCTCGCTCATTGCGTTCTCCCAAACCATATTCATCAACAACATTTTTAAGTCTGCTGACTAGACTTTCATGCTCAAATTTTTCCATGAAAAAGCTTGTTTGGTGAAAAATTTGGATCATAATTGAAGCTCTTCTTGTTTTTACAAAACACAACAAGTCACTCTTGTTTTTGTGTAGATTATTAAATAAAAACAAATCGCAATATCCCGTTCTAAAGGTCACTCAGGTACCTTTTTTATAGTACTATCACAACCAAAATTTTCAAACTGTTTTATTATTTGAAAAATAAGTATGTAAACTTTGTTAATTAAATAACAAAACTTGGTGAAATTCATAAGAAGTATTTTGTTGTGCTTGCTGTTACTTGACATAACTTAGCACTCTTATCGTCAAGATAAAATGTATTTTACACTTTGACTTTTTTAAGTTGGTATCAATCACTGTATGTTATCTTTTTCAGCCATTCACATGGACGAACATGTTGGCTACATTCACACAATGCAGTTTACCCCATTAGATATCCAGACAAACGTGGTTCAAGCCATCAACAACAAGTCACCTGTTATTCTTTTAAGGATGTAAACAATTGGTGGATTGTTAAGAGACCAGAGAAGAACGATCTGATTGTTGAACAACCCATAGATGCTATCAAACATGGAGATGTCATTCAACTAGTTCATGGTATGTAACAGCTACATATAAAGTGTATATATATATATATATATATATATATATATATATATATATATATCATATATTGATTATAGGTATAAGTAGTCGTGCCCTCAACAGTCACGATGTAGCAGCGCCAATGTCACCACAATGTCAGGAAGTTTCCTGCTATATTGACTACAACATTTCCATGCCTGCCCAAAATCTTTGGAAAGTGGAAGTAATCAATAAAGAACAAAATGGAGATGCCTGGCATACTATTCAGTCGTTAGTGAGGCTGATACATGTTGATAGTAATACTGCCTTGAAATATACGGGAAGACAATTGCCAGACTGGGGTTTTCACCAACATGAGGTTGCAGCCGATAGGGTAATCATACAAGATGACACCGTGTGGAATGTTGAGGAACATAGATATACAAAATGTGAGTTAATTTTTATTGTTTAAAGTAATAATTCCAGATCTAAGCCCTAGATTAAAAATATTTTTACCTGAAATATCTGTTTCTATTTATATTTTATATATATTGTATATATATTTTTTAGTTGATGACATTAGAGCAATAACGGTAAAACCCACATTTAAAAATTAAAAAATATACACATTTTTAATTAGAATAGGCACCTATTAACTACTTATTATGTTTAAAAAAATTCACTTAATTTCAATAATAGCAGCCTTAAATAGGGGCGTAGGAAATTTCGACACTAAGCAGGTAGCGACTAAAATTTAATGGCAATTTTCGACACCAGTCCCAATTCCCGTTTTTATCTTACAGGTATATTCGACACCAAAGAAATAAAATACCATAATTAATTAATTTATTTATTTTAATAAAAGTAATGTGCATTTTATTTCTTTATAACTATAATAATATCTAAATATAATACAACTAGTACCTAATTTTTGTACATTTTACCGTTAATATACTTGTATACAATGATTTATTTGCTATTATAGGAATGATAAGATACAGCTTTTATAAAATCTAACCTACGTATTTGTTGGGATCGTAGTTTATCCATCATTTTCTCCAAAAATGCCAATTTAGCCTTAACAGTAGTATCTTTGATTTTTGCTGGTATATGTAAACTACATATTTATTTTGACATAAGTGTCTACTTGAAATTCTTTTAACTTTTCAATAAAAATAAAAATAGAAGGATGTGTTGAATAAAAAGAAGAATTAAATCTCGAATGAAAGGATTCACAGGCATTTGTGGTCCTCGCAATAGACGGATTCTGATTAGACCATATGTGTGGTGGAAATAGAGCGCTATCGAAAATGTAATTTTCCAGTAAATAATCTGCATGTATATCAAGTGTTGCGTTTATAGATTTATATGACATTAAATCATAAAGAAAGCATTTTTCAACTTCTGCTGGATTTAAATAAGTTAAACCAAACATATGCCTTAACCATTTCTCAATTTCTGAATTTGTATCCTTATATTCTTGTACCAAACCCAAAGATTGAATTTTTTTAAACCAGTTTTGGTGTAAGTGAAAACGGCATCCACTAATTTTTGCATTGGGCCACACATACAATAAAGCAGAGAGAATTGCTTTTTCAAAGTCCACAAATATTTCAGTTGGCTCTAATGATAATTGAAATATTTCAAAAATCTTAGACCTTAATAGAGAAAATAAATTTTTGTATATCATTGACAATTTGTTTTTTAACAAACAGTATGCTAAAGGAACATAATGTCCATTTTCCAAGTCATGTATAGTAAATAATTGTAGAAAATATTTGGTACTGTATGAAAATGTACCATCCATATACAAAGTTTTTAATTTACACAACAAACGAATATTTGTCTCGCATGAAAATACAATTACATTTAATTCGGATGATTTAAAAACAAAAAACTTTCATTGCGACAGGTTTTAGGAGAATAATTACTAACCGCGTTATGGACTTCTGATATGCTACTTGGTAACGGACCTGGTAACAGTTTACGACGACAGTTGTAAATGTTCTTTCTTATGCTAGCTATGTCAGGAACCGTCAGCAAATTGGCATCACACTCAGCAACACCAGTTCTTGTAATTTTGGCAGGCTTTTCCGATATGTCCTCTTGGGCTTTTCTTTTACATGCATTGGTTACCATCTTTACTTCAAGCTTTTTTGGATCGGCTTCATGATTATGTACCAAATCACTTCTTGTGATGGTGAGGTCCTCACAGCCTATTGTAAACACTTTTGCGGAACACTTAGTGTTTCTTTGGATGCAGCGCCAAAATATCTCGCCCCTTTTTAACACTTACTGTTTCGAAAACGAATGATGCTCCACCACTAATAAATCTCGACCACGGGAACTTTTTATCAAACTCATTTTTTAAATATCCGTATACGTGCACAAGTCAACGTCAAACAAGAAATAAATTACAACTGAAATAATTTAGTTACAAGTACACAAGTGTCACGCCCCCCGCCGTGACAATAAATATTGGGAAAACCCGCTTGTCCTGCTTGGGTGCAAATGTCCATCGCCGCTAATTACCTACCTACCTGCGTTACGCCGCGGTGTCGAAATTTCCTACAATAAAATTTGACCCTTCGATTACCCCAGGTACAAAGACAATTTGGTGTCGAAAGTTCGCCCGCCATTAAATAGTATAACTGTGAATCACTCTAAGTGATTTTTGCTCCGATTTTGGTTCTGGTGGCAGTTTTAAGAAATTAGAGAAGAAGAAATTTAAGCAAATAAATCCATAAATATTGGCGTTTGAAAATCAAATATGATGTTCATATTCCATTTTATTCATTCTCTCTTTGTATTTATTGAAAAAGCTTTCCTTTAGTGTAAATAATTTCAACGTTGACTGATAATTTAAATAGTACCACTGATAGTATGTTGATTTAAGATCTGGTATTCCAGGGTTTAGTTAAAACCTTGAAAGTTGATTTCCTCAAAAGCTTTTTTGTTTCGTGGCATATACCGTTGTTGTTCTAATCTAAGGTCTTCAGTTTTCCGTTGAATTAACATATACATATAATCACAAATCAACGATCTGTGCCTATAATACAGTCTATTATAACGTTTTTGTCGTCTATGTCATAATAATATATTAAATGAATTTTTCTTAACATTTTTACTTTTCTTCAAATACAAAAATTTTTTTCATTTTAATTCAATTCAATTTTACATTTTAACTTTTAATTTTCACAGCCGGGGACCAAAAAGAACGTGAAAGAGAAATGGTAACAGCAGAAATGATACCTACAACACCTACGAGATTGAGTTTCTGGCAGAAGTTTTTTGAACTTCATTACAAAATGATGTTTGCTAATACTGAAAATGTTCAGAATCATATGTACAGTTCTGAACCTCACGAATGGCCTTTCTTGTCCAGAGGAATTGCCTATTGGATATCTTCTACAAGTAATGTAAGTAGAACTGCTTTAATGTTTCATATTGTTACTACGACGTATTGATGTCTAATTAGCCTAGACCAGTTCCGCGGAAGTACTTTGGACATGTAATAAGTGGTCAAGAAAATATATGTTGCTACAAAATATTATGCCAGGGAAAATAGCAGGTAAATGCGGTCCAGGACAAAGAAGAACTTCATGGTTGAAGAACTTGCGAGATTGGTATGGTATTGATACAAGCATACTATTTCGGGTGGCAGTGAATAAAATTAAGATATCTGTGATGGCAACCAACGTTCTGAAAGAACATGGTTATTGAAAAATAACTTAGTAGACTTAGTGTGAAGTTTCACTTGTTAAAAAGGCACATTAGGGCAAACAAAAGCAATATTTATTACGCGGTTAAAAAACGACTAGTTTTATTAATGCTTTGTTTTTTTTAGGCTCAAGTTCACCTTTTGGGAAATATAGCGATATGGTATTCAGCTACATTTGGTCTATTTACATACTTTTCTCTGCTAGTAATATACCTTCTTCGGCGCAGAAGACAATGCTACGACTTACATCCACACATTTGGACACAGTTCCAGAAAACAGGAGAAATCTTCTTTACTGGCTATCTCTTCCACTACTTACCGTACTTTTTCGTAGATAGAACATTGTTTTTACACAATTACCTACCAGCTTACGCTTTTAAAACATTACTGCTAGTTGCTACTATAGAACACGTATATGTGGTTCTTCACGACGTGTTTAGAGTTAAGTTTTTAAAGATGTTGTTCCTTGTAGTTTTAGTGATCTGGTTAGGGTGGGTTGTTTATGTTTTTAAGAAGTTTTCTGTACTCAGTTACGGAACAACTGATCTGACTACTGAAGACATTCTTAAGTTAAGGTGGAAAGATACGTGGGATTTTATTGTACATAAGAATTAAAGAGAATTTTACACTTTTTGGAACTAAAATTGATTAATGGGTGTCTGTATACTGTCCCTTTAGAAGAAAACTACAAACTTTAGTGGTTATTTTTTTTTTGGTTTAATGGACAACTTTTCAAGGTACTGTTACAGATTAGAAAGCTAAAAAAATGCATAATTTCAAATAAAAATTTCTCGACTCTTATTAGATATGAAAATGAATTTTTTTAGATATTATTTTTGAAAACAAAAAAAATTGTTGAATCATCTCCTATATTAATTATCACCGGTTCAATATCTTCCTTCAAATTGTCCGCTGCAAACATTTTTTCTTCTACTTTCTTGACGTGGTTCACATAATTATGTCACTGCTCTTTAGATATGCGTTGGCAAGTTTCTTTTGTCAACCGTTCTACCGTTTTTTGTTTAAAATCGACGTTATTTGAAACCGCATACCTTTTCACTTGACTCCACACACAGCCACCTTTACTTTCAAGCCATGAAGCAAAAAAGGCAACACCGCATTCTATGACGTCGGTAGTCCGATAATCAGCTGTAAGGTCTACCAGAAAATTGAACTAATTTATTTGAATTTTAGGAAACTGATATTTTGAAAACTTTAATTCATTACAGAAATATTTTTAGGGAAATTAAATTAATAAAACCTTATATATACCTAATAAATCTATATAAAGTTTTATTATTATTAAGGTTATATTATCAATAAAATAATCATTAGAGTAAAATTTATTGCACTTAAAATACAGTGTCAAACAGTTAATCTTACAATCAAATGCAGTCAAGAATCTCTAGAAATTTTAAATATTAAGTACTTAAGCATATAAATAACACAATACATTAACACGACATTTAAAAAGATTATTAAAAATACAAAAGATATAAAATTTGTTAAGCAAAAACTTAGTGGAACTATTATGATTAAAAAATTCATCCTAAGAAATCAGACACAATATAAATATGGTTCTTCTTCTTCTTAAGGTTCCATCTTCTAACGAAGGTTGGATATCAACATGGCAATTCTTATTTTACTTACAGCAGCTCTAAATAGTTGGCTAGAGCTCAGACTAAACCATTCCCTTAGATTTCGTAGCCAGGAGGTTCGTCTTCTTCCTACATCTCTTTTACCTTTTATTTTGCCCTCTATAATCAAACGTAGTAGCCCATAACGAGGACCTCTTAATATATGACCGAAATATTCAAGTTTCCGCCTCTTAATTGTCTGTACAATTTCTTCCCTCTTATTAACCCTATCAAGGACTTCAATATTGGTAATTTTGTCTACCCATGCTATTCGTAGCATCCTTCGATAACACCAACGCTCAAAAGCTTCCAATTTCTTAATCTCCAGTTGTTTCAATGTCCATGCCTCAGATCCGTAGAGCAAAGTTGTAAAAATGTAGCAGCGCAATAACCTTATCCTTAGATCCATTCTTAGGTCTCTACTACACAATAGATGTTTCATTTTTACAAATTTTGTCCTTGCTATTTCTATACGGCTTTTAATCTCTTGTGTTTGTTCTGCGTTTTGACTAACCAATGTTCCTAGATATTTGTATTTATCTACCCTTTCTATCTGGATATTATTAATATGGAGTGTCTCGTTGTCTTTTGGATGTTTTGTAATGACCATGAATTTTGTTTTCTTTAAGTTCATTTTAATACCATATATGGTACACTTTTCATTCACCCGTTCCAGTATGTTTGTTAGACTTTGCAGAGTTGAAGTGAATATGACAGTATCATCGGCATATCTTATTATATTATTAATAATTTCACCATTTATTATCATTCCATCGTTACACTCTCCTAAAGCTTCTTGGAAAATGGCTTCGCTATATATATTAAACAGCAGTGGTGACAATACACAGCCCTGTCTCACACCCGAAGAATTTCTATTTCTTCCGACATTTGATTTTCAATTCTTATGGTTCTAAATTAATCTAATTGAAAATTAAATATTTTACTATTTACTTATAACTTTTGTTGAATTTTCATACTTAGGTATACGAAAGTAGCAATTTTATATATGAATAGGTTTTTTGTCATATAGACCAAGTTAAAAGAGGTATACATGAAAAATGTGTTAAATGTAACATACCATTTATAACTTGTATATCGATTTAAAATAGCCTATATTCTCAAAAGATTTTTGAATGTAATGCTCAAATTTGTTATCACTTATCTAAAAAGCAGATCTATATCGAGAAAGTAAGTTCTCTAATTGTGACCATCTTTTTAATTTACTATATTGTAAAATCCATTTCAAATCATTACTACTTAATCTATTCTTACCTACATTGAACGATTACACTAAAATTACTGCTAACTATTACACTACTTATTACACAAATATTATCACACTCGTGTCCCAACTGATTAATGTTTAATACATAGAAATATACACAGTCACTTGTAATTTTACTTGTCCAGTTTTTCAATTGGATATTATTATCTAAGACTCTTAAAAATGATTCAAATGGATCTATTAAATCATTGTCTAAGAATTCTGTTATTTCTTGTTCCCTCTTCTTATGCAAAAGTCTCTTCTGTCTTCGGGATTCCTTTTTTCTTTAGTACGATGAACAGTTACATACGATGGTACTTCAGAAAATATATTAGGAACTGCATTGTCTTTTAATTTGGGAAATATTAACTTTTCAATGTGTACATTTCCATCTTTATCTTCTCATTGTTCAGTCCGCTGAATATTATCTTCATGAAAATGTTTGGCACATACTACGGAAGATTTGGTAATTGTATAGCCTTCTCTATGAATAGAGCATAACCCAGTATACCTTCGTTGGGGATCTTTGGGAAACAAAAACGTACTTTCTGCCTGATTCGTTTTTAAAGCACTGGCATAATTGGTTTTGCTACCAGGTACACAACAATGCTAGGGCATCTGTAACAAAAAACAAAAGTATTATTATTGTTGTTTTTAGTTTACATATTTTGTAACAAGAAGTAAAAGTATTATTATTTTCAGTTTGTTATGTAGGTTATATTTATACTTGCCTTTTAAATTATCGTTAAGAATCTGCTAAACTTAATGAAATTTCACTTATATTAATATTTTCTAATTGATTTAAACACAATTTACAAATAAAACATTCGAATAAGGTTAAAAAACACTAAATTCAACAAACTTTACAAGCCTTCCTATATGAAATGTTAAACAAAACAAACCACGGTCGGACTACCACGCGTTGTTGCCAAATTTCTACTTCATGGCTTGGAAGTAAAGGTGGCTGTGCTCCACACCATCTCAATCGGATTCAGCTCGCAATGGTAAGGCGGTAGTGTCAAAATTTTAACGCCATATTTTTCCGACCATAACTAATGTACCCCCTAAAATATTTGTTTTTTATGAATCATTCAAGAAATAAAATAGGTCGTTTGAACCAAGAATCTATACCCAGACATTTTTGAAATTTTTTTTATCAGTGAAATTGTGTGATATATACTTTGTGTTGTTTCTTGTTTTGGAAAATATCACAGGAAAAAAGTAAAAGTAAGATATACTATAAATATACCTATCTCTTTCACTGTTTATGTTAGTTTAAAAAACAATATATTTTTGTGTCTAAAAATACCTTATTTGAAATTACATCCCAGATCCTTTACTTACAAAATAAATATTAATAATACAAAAATATTAATAATGGTAGTATTTTATTGTAACGTAGAGGAAACAAGTCTATAACTGTATTTATATATTATTCTCTCACCATATAAAAGCAAATCATCCAATAACCTCAAAAGTTTGCACTTTTCTTGTTTTTGAAGACAGTATCTTGATATCCTGTATATTATTTTTTATACGTAATGAAGGAAATACTCTGTTTATTCATAGAAAACTTTATAAGTGTTATTTAAAATATTAGTATATTTTTAAAGTGATAAAATGAGAATCTAATATTCCCTTTTAAAGTTAATTTTATTATTTTATATCATTTGTTTACAATGAAATTTATGTCAGACTCTATTTTTTAGGAACACTTATCTGTGTCATTTTAGTTTTATAATTTCTTATGGAAATACAGATCACAATACGCCAAAAAACAATTTTAAGTGATTTTTGTATCCCAAAGTGGCCCAAAAGTCTGGAAACGGCCAATTATCTCGTAAATTGCTAGTTATAATTGTACAAAATTTGAGGTACACCTATTTTTGGATACGAAGATTCCATATTTGATATTTACAATGTTGCCAGATTTGCCGTTTCTCTGATATTATTAGTAACTTTGGTTTTTCAAATTCATCACCCTGTATATTCAGTCATTATTAGAATCTTTTATTCAATACGAGTTTAACTATATGTAACACTTATGATTTTTTATAGTCTGGAAGGTTTTAAATACATAAAACAGAAGTCTGCCAACGCCTAATTGTTTCAATAAATTTTTTGATACTAATTATTTTCAACTACATTAAAACGTAACAATTGATAGATTAGACCATTTTTTAACAATAGTTACGTTATTAAGTGTTCAAAATGTGCTCAATTTGTGAGTTGACAGTACCCTAATCGATGGTAGAATGCGTCTACCACATTTCTTCATGATCGTCTAGAAATTATTTGAGATTAATCGATAATTCGTTGCCTTTGCTCTGCAAGACTTGGCTGGTAAAGTTTTGTAAAGTGAATTTTTCAAGTACCCTAATAAAAATAATCTTTAGGATTGAAATCGGGTGAACGTGGAGGCCATTCAATTCTACCTTGTCTACCAATTTATCGTACGGAAAATATCTCATCTAAATAACGCCGAACATTTACACCAACTATCTGACGTTAAATTTCCTTCGATAAAAAATGACCCAATTGACTAAATACCTACTAAACCTGATCTGACCTGAAATTTAAATGGCTTCTATAAAATGGCGTTCTCTAAACCGTTCTCCTATTCATAAGGCGACGGTACAAAAAACTGTAAAGCGATTTGAGAAATCTGAAGAAGGTAAAGATAGGTGGAAAGAGAAAAGTTTTGTTGAAGATCCACATACATCCTCAGGCAGGGTTGCACAAGTACATGATGTAGGTCGTTCTTCAGTCTTACGTATATTACGTAAAAATAAGTTTAAACCATACAAAATAAACTTATTGCAAGAATTAAGTGAAGATGACTTCGATCTTAGATTAGAGTTTACTGTGGTAATGATGGATAAAAT